GTGGGGCCTTCAATCTAGCGTGTGTGCGAGCGTGTTGTTGCCAGAGAGATAGCACCTGTCACATGGCATGACGTGCACCAAGGAATAGTGAGTGTGACGTGCCTTCGTATTTGGGTGGCTGGTGGGTTTGAGGATGCGTAGACGTCTCTCACAGTGCAATACCATGCGACTTGACTACTCACTCAGTCACTTGCACTCGCGTCACATCACGCCACATCAACCGACTTACCGAAAAGGCCAATACATCTCCCTCCCATTCCCTCATAGCTGTATGTATGCTTCTACATGTCATATAAGTCTGCTGAGAGCCTCCTTCTCCTCGTCGCTGCCCCCTCCCTCGACCAGCTTGAGCTGCCCCTCAACCCTCTCAGCCTCGCCCAGCTCCTCCAGACGCATCTTGTACTTCTGCTGCGCATACCTGACATACACACACACACACATGGACACATGAGGGCTATCACGTCAGCGAGGGTGGTGTGGGTGAGTACCTGAGCCGTGTGTCGGTGTTGGTTTGTAGCTGCGCCGTGTTCTTCTCAAAGGCATTCAGATGGTGGTCCATCGCGAGGAAACTCACCAACTGCAAACACATGCAACAGAGAAACCGCAAACGGGATGCAAACCAGTGTGCGCTATTCACGCCGCACGGTACCGTGATGTATTTGGGGTCTTCAGGGCCGGCGATGCCGAAGACATCGAGCCGATCTCGGACCCGATCCGGCAACAAGGGCATCTTCTGCAACCTGCAACAAGACACAAACACACACACAGACCGTGGCCAAAGTCTGTCGTCTGCAACACAGGGGTCTCTCTTTGTCATTGACCTTTCAAGCCTCTGTTTATCTCCGATGGTCTCCAGCAGCTTCACCTCGGCCTCCCTCACCCTCTCCTCCAACCTGCACTCACACACGTCTCACACACACGTGTCCCAATTTCCGCCATCCTGCCGATGAATCCCTCTCAATGCCGTACTCACCCAAACAGGTCTTCCACGATAAGCCGCGACCGCTCCAACGCCGCGGCTTCGGGCGGCTCGTCTGCCATCGGCTTGACGACCATGGCCATGCCCATGGCACTCTGCTGCAGAGTCACCAGCTCCACACGCCCCACTATCAGCGCCTTGACGTCAACGTGATCCTCAGTGGTGTGCGTGCCGATGATCTGGACAGAAAGATGTGGCACTGGATGAGAGAAGTGTGTGTGCGCGGGTATGGTTGTCGCATGTGCTGACCTTGGCGAGGAACGCCAGTTTTAGTACCTCCCCTGTTGGCTTGGTGACGAGAACACCCAGCAAGCCCTCTGGCATGCGTGCTATCTTTTTCAGATACTCCTCGCCCTGACCGCCATGGACATAGACAGACAATCATTGTACACGAGTGGATGCGGTGATCGGTCCGTTGCGCACCTCGCTGGTCCACAAGGTGTACACCGTCTCTTGCCCAACTGCATAATAAACATCCACCCATCCATCCCTTCGGTGCTGCCACCAGCTTGACTTACCAAATGGACTGGCGTCCCTGTCCGAGTCATCGACAGCAAATGGAATGGCAAGCATCTCCTCGCTCTCCCCCCACCCTTCAGGCCACTCGGTCAGCGTCATCCGCGTGCCGGAAGCAGGTGCGCTGAGAGCGCTCGACGACGCTGATGAGTGAGCCAACGGTGGCCGCCGCCTGAAGGGCATCGTGCTGTGCACCAGGAAGGCGTGGATGGGGTGGCAGAAGAGGAGGGAGAGCAGGGATGACAGCAGCAAGGGGAGCCGGGATGAACTCATCCGGACAAACCGCTGAGATGAATCCATGTGACAGATCCGTGTTTGCAAATGCCTCACACCGTCGGGACCTTTCATAACTGCACGGCTCCCTCGCCTCTCGTCATCTTGCGGCCTTCCGACGCTAGGGCCTTCCTCACAAGCGTTGCTAAGCTCGCAGGCGGATCGCCCCGTTGCAAAATGGCGCAAATGGTCCGTTTTCGCAAGTTTCATGCGTTGTCTGTTCTCCTTCTTGACTCTGATCTCCTCTCTAGCCGCCTATTAGAAACGTCATGCGTCGTTAGCCTTCTCTCTCTTCTCTCGGTCCTTCTCGCGGCGGGGTTCCTTCGCAGCAGCTGTGCTGTGCTGTGCCTGCAGATGGTGAAGCGCCAGATTGTCTGTACGTACGCTGCGTCGCGCTCAGCCTGAGGACCTGTTGATACTGTAGATTCGATTGCCCTCACCTCGTGCAGGCGCGTGGTGCCTTTTTGCCCTCGTCTGTAGTCCGCCAAGCACCGCCTGCCGCCCCTGTTGTGTACGAAGGAAGCGCAGAGCAGAGCGGCCCTCTTTTCAGTCACAAGTAATTCGTTCGGGTGTTGGTTGAGATGGACTCTTGGCGTCACTGGTGGGTTGTCTTGGCGAGTTGGGTGGTGGGCTTCTGGGCTATCGGGACACTCAGGTGAGCAACCCAAGGCACAGTCACTCTGACGGCACAGACAATCTGATTGTTTGTGTGTTTGCAGCACTTTGGGAGTTTTCCTGCCTTACTTGCTTGACGAATTCGATGGGAACAAGGGAGCGACTTCGATAATCTTTGCAGTGAGGGATTCGTCGTTTCTCATCTTCTCCGTCCTGCATGGAGCACTCGTCCACAGATACTGGGGCTTCAGAAGGTACGCAGTAGCAAGCAGGGCGCCTTGAGCTGCTCACATCGCCAGATTGCTGTTTGTGTGTGTCGCTGTCTGCGTCAGGACGGCCGTGGTTGGCAGCATAATCGCGGCCTCTGGCCTGTTCCTTGCCTCTTACGCCAGAGGACTGCTGCAGCTGTGCCTCACGTATGGGTTGATGACAGGCTTTGGGCTAGGCATGGTCTACATGTAAGCAGCACATCGTGGGTCTGCCCCACGGAGATCGGTGTACGTATTGGATGTTATCTGCTGTTGTTGTTCTCTCAGCCCTGCCACCTCTATCATTTCCCATTACTACCACAGACACAGGGCGACAGCATTCGGTGAGGACGCAACACAAATGCACCACCCGACACACATGCATCTCTACATATGCAGGCATTGTGTCATCTGGCAACAACATCGGAGCCCTCGTCCTCGCCCCCGTGCTCGACTGGCTGCTACAGACGGGCGGCTGGCGGATCACATTCACAGCACAGGCCCTCGCATGCGGTTCAATGCTCCTGCTGGCTTCACTCTTCCTGCGGCTTCCCTCTGACAAGGACCACGAGAGTGACATCGACGACAACACGTCGTCATCCACCCGCGACGGCGTCGAGGGAGAGGAGCTATACCGGGCCCTCTCTGACGACGCCATCATCTGGACCAGCGGGGACGATATCGAGAGCCAGCGGCTGGCACGACAGAGGACTTTGCTTTCCTGTCTTCCGGAGTGTTGTGACGCACCATTCGCGATCCTCTACATGGGAGTGTTTTTCGGCTCCCTGGCCTTCTTCCCGACTCTCTTATACTGGCCCTCATTCGGACAGATGACGCTCAGCCTCTCGGCGTCATCCTCTGCTTGGACTGTGACGGCCTATGGTGCGGCTGGGACCATTGCTCGCCCTCTGTTGGGTCTCGTTGCCGACCGCCTGATGGGCCGCACTCCGCTGCTGGTCGTCTGCTCATTGGTGATGGCCGTGGCCATCGCTTTGCTGTCGATCGCCTCGTCCCTCACACACCTGATGCTGTTCTCGGTGCTGTTTGGAGTCGTCAGCGGTTCTCTCATGGCCATGTGTCCCAACATCCTGGCGGACAGATACGGCGCGCAGCTGTTTCCCATCACTCTTGGGGTGCTTCAGAGCAGCTACGGCACGGCGACGCTGATTGGGCCCCCTCTGATGGGTTTTCTGGCCGACGCGATGGGCAGCTATCGACCGACGTTCGGTGCGGCAAGCGCCTGCATGTTCGTGGCCAGTGTGTGCTTCGCCGCCTTCTGGCTGGTGGTCAGGCGACGAGAAGCCGCCGCGAGGCGGCTGGCCGAGACGCGGGTGGAGGACTGGGTATGGCAGACGCCCAAAGAAATTGTCCGGGCGAGGCTCATCTGATTGATCTGCTCTGATCTGATTCTACATCGTGAAGGTGTGTGTAGTCTGTGATGCGTTGTGTGCCCTGCTGCTGTACATAGTTGTGTGAAAGATGGACGATATGATGATGAATTGCGCAGAGACAGTTTTGTGCTCAAGGGAGCTGTTGGTACCTGGCTGGTGGTGCGTGTACAGTTTTGCCCACCGATGTCCAATACATACATACCTTCACACACTGCGTACCGTTCGTTTTGTGTTTTTAGTGGGGGGTGCCTGTGCGCTCGCATTTCTGTCGCTGCTTTAGTTTGTCCCAGTGCACACCACTAGCTTTCTGGAGGGGAGCGCGGTAGGTAGCGTCGCGAACATTCACTGATTTGCATACCCTCCATAACGTCCCTGCAGAACCTCTCGGGATGTTTGATGTATACGTACATGGACACATCGATACGTGAAATTTACTTCTGCGTACAAGTAACCCAGACAACAACCCAGCCAATCCGTGCAAGTGAGATGCGGCCTTGCGGGAACGCGAGTTTTGCGCTCGCTCTCATCTTGCTTTTCACCTGTTGTGCATACCCATCGTGTCAATTCGATCAGAGGCGCCGAGAAGATCGCCACGGCCTCTCTTCGCCAAAGAGCGGCACAGACGTGAGCCGAAAGAGAGTGACGCAGGCTGCCATACAGCTGGTGAGCTGTGTGTACTGCGGCCGCAGCGTCGTGCCAGCGGGGCAGCCTCGTGTACGTGTCCCCTGTGTTTCTGTCCCCGATTACAATTGCCCTTTCTGTCCCAACTGATGGATGAGTCTGTGTCTCGTGTCGTCGTATTCGTGTTGTGCTGGTGGTTGGTATGCTCAGAGACTGTCTTTTCCTTCTTGCCATCAAACCACACCATCTTGTCTTTATCACCCTAGTCGAAACGGGCGTGTGTCTGTCTGCACATCAATCCATGCAAACACAGCATAGTACACACAGGCAAGTCTGCCTCTCTCTCCGTCTCCCCGCTCCCTTCCTTCTTCTTGTCGTCCGGGTCGTCCTGTACCTAGCTAATCATCAGCGCTACGCTACCCGCCCAGCTTGCTCTCATCCCCTCCCTCAGCCTTCCTTTCTTCCCCCAGCCCCCCTTCGGCATGGTGGTCGAGGTGCGTGAGGGGCGGCGAGTCAGCCGCCGACCTCGACGACAGCCCGGGGCTTGACCACTTGCTGCTGTCGGGCTGACCATGTGGGTGGTGGGGGTGGGGATTACTGGTGCTGGTGGTGCCAGATATGCCGGCGGGCGAGAGGCGGGGTCGGTCTCGGCCATGGTAGCCGGCGATGGATGAATGGCCGGGGGCCGCGCTGTCCTCATCGCCGAAACGAATGTCTGCATCCATACATTCATGGAGAGAGGAAGAAGGGCATTCATGCTGTGTGCCGGTGTGCCTGTAGTGGCCGATGTGGGCGGGCGAGGGGTGTGACACATGAGTACCTGGCAGCCATAGCCCGCATTCGCGAAGGTTCGGTGGGGGGACTTTTGAAGGGTTCTCCTGCGAATCCCTGCAGTCACCCACCCCGAGAGTGGCATGCATGCCGTGGTCAGGTGCGCGTGTGTGTATGTGTGTGTGTGTGCTCACCTTCTCCATGCCCTGACGGACTCGAGCACATGTGGGAGGACAAACGGGTCTGCCTGCTGGGCCTCAACGTCGTCGGCCACCTTGTGGAGGAACTCCTTGATGGGGTAGGTCGACACGCCGTGTCGGCGCAGCATCGGCACCACATCCAAATACTGACACCGTGCATGACACACGGACGGATGTGGTGTCTGGTTCGGTTTTCCCTCTCTCTCTCTCTCTCTACGTGTGGGTGTTTTGTTCACCTCTTTCAGGTCAATGAGTACGTCGGCGATGAGGCTCCACTCGCGCAGTCGGAGGCTCATGTCTATGTGAACACGCAGTCCCGTTTATGGTGGGTGAGTGTGTGTGTCTCCGTGTTGCCTGCTCCTTCTCACCGAGGCAAGCTTGTCGCGCCCAGGCATAGCCCGTCCGTTTCCACAGGCCGAACAACCTGTACGCACACAGACAGACAGACAGACAGACAGACAGAGGGAGGGAGGGAGGGAGGGAGGAAGAAATCACCATCAGCACATGAAGGCTCTCAGAGCCGTGTCCGTTGTGTCTTTGCGTACCTTTGGGCCAGGTCGATGGAGTCGAGCAGCACGTGATACTGCAGCAGCTGCTGCAGCAGGGAGTCTGCCGGCCAACGCCACACACATGCATGTGCTAATCGACAGTGCTCCTCTGTGTCTACACCTTGCACGTACCTTGTTCGAAGAAGACCCCCACCTCGAAGACAAAGGCCTGCAGTATCCTGTGCGGCAGTATCTGCAGGTTGAGGAGACTCCTCATGTACTCGAGCGCCACACTCATCAGATACGGCACCCCGTCACTCTTCAGCTCATCCATCCCCTTCTCGCCCTCGCCATCACCGCCACCACCATCACCTTCCCTGGCTGCTGCCGGTGCTGCTGGTTGTGTTGGCGGGCCGAATCGTCGCTGGTAGGCGAGCTCGAGGATGGGGGCGTTTGGGGGTGCCTTGGCGATGGCAAGGAGATAGGGGTACATGACCTCCAGCACCACGTCCTTCTCGGTCAAGATGGTCTGCTGCCCCTGCATCGCACCAGAAGCACACACACACAAAGCGATCGTGTCTCGGTTTTGTGTGTGTGGGTTGTGTGGCCGCACATACGCCCCTACCACGAACTGCAGGAGCATGTCGAGTGAGACGGTCGCGCGGCGCGTGGTGGCGGCCGCCACCTTGTGAGGCACCCTGACAGACAACAGGACAGGAGGAATGGCCATCTCTGTTGGCCTTGTCTGTGGTTGTGATGTGTCTGTCGGTGTCACCTTTCTATAGCGGCCCTGTACACCTGGTTGAGCACCGAAAAGAGCAAGGCAAGATCCTCCAATGGCGCCCTGCACACCACAGAAAGAAAGACACATGTTGTTGTGAGCAGGTCGAGTGGTCTGCCTGCGTGCCTGCTTGTCTTACTGTTGGTCGAGTGCCTTCCTGAGTGTGCTGACGACTCGCGGGCGGCAGTTGATGCGCCGCAGCAACACACGAACCACCTCAACCTAACGGGATGATGGACGGGTGGGTGGACAAATAGAGGCGAGAGCGTCCTATATAGTCCCCTCCCCACCTTGCTGATTTGCATGAGTTCATCGGCGACGGCATCCATGTTGAGCTCCAGCCGATACACCACACCAGCTGACAGAAAGAAACAACCAGCATCGACCCGGGTCCCTCCCTCTTTTGTGTATTCTTTAACATACACACACATTTACCTCCCTCGTCGACGATCATGTCGGCACTCACAAACCGCCACTGAGGCGAATCTGACAATATCCAACAAACACAATGAACCACACAGGCTACCTATGACGTCACACACACACACCGCCGCTCCCTCCAGCTTACAGAGCTCGACCGACGAGTGCGAGTCCGTCACCGACACGGCGTCGTCCTCGCCATGCCCCTCCACCTCACCAACCACACCCACGCCACGCATCCCGCTCCCCAGTGACAGCAGACCACCACCCGCATAGTCGTCAGGGCCGGAGCCCTCGTGCCTGACGGCCAGGGGGGCTGGCCTGCAGATGGGGGTGAGGGTCTTGCCCTGCTTGATGTCGAATATCAGGGAGATGCACTTGTCCAGCCGGTGGACCACCAGCAGGTTGTCGACACGGGACAGCCGCAGGGGGCCGGGGCCTTGCACATCCAGCACTATGTCCGCCTGATGCACACAGAGGATGGCATACGAGAGCCGGCGAGTGAGTGGCGTCGGTGTGTGTGCGTGCGTGGATCACTGACAGGGTGTGGTCCTGAGAGGGATCTGAGTGCGACCCGGCCGGCCATGGTGTCCATGTGGATGCAGAAGGTCCACTCGTAAAGGGTCATGATGGCCACGTCCTGCGCCTCGAGGCTGCCGTGACGCTGCAGATTCAACTCGAACTTGGGCAGCTTCGTGGGCGTCTGCACATACACAGAGAGAGAGAGGGAGAGTGACCGAACTAATGCCTGGTGTCTTGCCGTACTTTGCAGTAGAGGAGGTATGGCTGCAGAGTTCGCGGCCCGGTGGCCAGCACAACGAAGCCAGAGGAGCTCTGATTGAAGGTTACACACACGTGGGCGTCGATCGACACGCAACGGCTTCTCTCGCCTGTTGGCTCACCTCATACCAGCAGATGGATGCCGTGGCGGGAAAGCGACGCAGGTGCTTGACCGTCAATGTGTCATACGTAAACTGCCACACATAGCATCCACACGCATCAAGTGCCCACACCCAGCCCCCGGTCACATCACACCCACCCGGTAGACATCGATTCCCATGGTCGAGACGACCACTAGGTCAGCGAACTCCACATAGACGGCCGGGAGCCAGAAGAAGGCCAGTATGGTCCAGTCGCCACCCGCCGTCCGCAGCGGCACCGGCACGTCGATCGTCTCGGGATGCAACACGTTCACCGCACCCTTCAGGACACACACAGGCAGACACACAGACAGACAGACAGACAGGAAAGAAGTGCATACGTCCATCACATGGGTCATTGGTATGTGTCTGTCTGACCATGGTTGGCGGTTTGGTGTCTGCGAGGTAGGCGAAGTAGCTGCCGTCAGGCGAGAACCGGATGGCGCGGACGGGACGGAACCTGACACAACACACCACAGCACGCGAATGAGGTCTGCCAATCCATCCATTCATCCATCCATCCACCGATGTATCCCTTTACTTGACGAGCAGTCCGTCCCTTGCCAGTCCCTCCTTGGCAATGTCGATGGCGAAGAAGCCCTCGGGCTGCTGGTGCAGCACACGCTGGTGGAACTCATCGTAACTCACGTGGTCCTCGCCCGACACCTGCACCGCCGCATACACACATACACAGGCAGGCAGGCAGGCAGGCAGCGTAGATGCCCGCCCTTCATCTGTCGGTCTGTGTGCTCATGCTTGACGCACCTCCCATGTGTAAAGAGGCGCTGACAGATACAGCGGCGAGGCCGATGATGACGCTGCAGCCATGCTCTCGCTCAGCGACTCCTTCAGATCTGAAACAGGCGAGTGTTGTATTCTAAGCTCGCAAAATTAGGACGTTGCGTGAAACTGCTCGCGCGAGGTCAAGGTGTTTGCCGAAGAAAAGAGGATGACAAATCAGCAGGAGAGAGGCGAATCAGCTGCTTCCGATGAAGCCGTGTCGGGAGCCACCGACTCTCCCTCTGGACCGAGGGACAATGCCGTCAGGGAGCCGCCCGTCTGCAGCAACGAGTACGAAAACAAGCTGGAGGCTCACCGTCTGCTGGACCTGCATTTCGACCAGCTGCTGGCCAGCCTGCTTGACGACGAGAGTCTGCGGACCGTCATGAAGGAGGGACTGCACCGTGCATTGCGCGAAGACCGCGTGAGGGCGGCCGACGTATTCGGGGCTGCGCGACGGGCGCTGGGCGGGGACAAGGACGGCAGTGACGACGACGTTGCTGAGGAGGGCCGTATTTCGGTGCTGCCGGTGCCTGTGGTGCGACACGTCATGACTTTTTTGTCGGTCAAGGACATACTGGGTCGGGCGGCGTGCGTCTGTCGGGCTTTCGAGCGGCACAGCAGGGCGACCGAGTGCTACCAAGGTGAGGAAATGGCCGAGAGAGAGCCCATGCACACCTGCATGCATCATCGTTGTGTGTGTGGGTCCTGCTCTTTCTTTCAGCGCTCCATCTTGATGACGCGCTGACCAAGAGCATGTCCCGCGCGCGCATCTCGTTCGACCGTTTCCGCAGCACCGAGAAGGCCACCATCTCCCTCGCGCGCGTACCTCCACTGCAAGGCCGCCGGCAAACTGCTCTCAAGAAGCTCCTCTCATCCCTCCCCGGCCTCCGCCATCTGGTCCTGATGAAGCTCAAGACCCGACACGCCATCGACCTGCTCAGCACGCTGCACAAGACACCAGCCACCGCACAGTCGCTCCGCACTCTCAAGGTCAGCTTCTACAGTCGGCCGGGGATGCCAGCGAAGACCGTGACGGACTCCCACTCCTGGCCGCACATCGGCCGCCTGGAAGAGCTGGACATGTCGATGATTCCACCGTCTCTGAATCTGGCCCCAGTGGCGACGGGCGTGAGGGGGGTGCGGGAGAATGGGCTGGCGAGGGTGAAGCTGAATTTTGCGGCGCAGCCCCTGCAGGGCCTGGTGGAGCACGTCGCGCAGGTGAGCGGGCAAAGAGAAGGTCGCAGACAGCGTAGAGCCATTTCCCTCCCTTTGTGTGTGTGTTCGGTGTGTGCAGGTTGTGTGGGAGACGTCAAGGGCGACTCTGGTGCAGCTGCACATCGGTGAGCCACGGGAGGGCATGTGCCGCGGCGAGGAAAGGCTCTAGAGGCTGACGGTCGTCCATTCTTCCTTCTGGCTGGCTGTCCTCTTGTGCACACACAGGCGGGTCGATTGACAAGGGTGTGTTGCAGTATGTGCTGCACCAGCTCTACAGCTCCCCCAGCGCTCGGCTCCTGTCCCTCGACGCCACCGAGCTGACCCTCACCAACATGACGGCCGTCCTCACCCCCCCACCACCCATCCCACCGTACGACAACGCCGTCCAGCGGCCCCCACTTGGCTGCAGGCTCACAGCCGTGGCCATCCTGCTGCTGTCGAGGAGGCACCTGCTCTTCCTGCTGCAGCCGTTCATCTGTGTGGCGCCTGCTGCTGCCACTGGTGCAGGTGGTGAGGTGCCTGTGGTGACGGTGTATTTCCCTGCTGGGCTTGAGAGCCATCGCAGGCTGGCTGAGGCAGTGGGGAGGGCGATGGAGCGCATTCGGGGTGAGCGGCAAGGCGGGCTGGCGGAGACGGCTCATGTATCGTCGGATGACCGCGACACGAGCCAGTCCAAGCAGGTGGGTTGATGGTGGGGGAACAAGGCCGATGAATGGCTGGATGGACGGGTGATCCATGTGTGTGCATTGCGTGGTGTTAGGTTGGCCGGTTCTCGTTGGGCGGTTGGCTGTGGGGACTGCGGCGGCAGTGTCGGCTGCAGTGGAACTTGATGACCGGCAGCAAAGCGGTCGTATTCCTGTAGCTGGCTGCTGAAGAGGGAGGGAGACGGGCTGGACTGTATGTATGTATGGTGTATAGAGAGGGAGGGAGGGAGAGAGGGAAGAAGAGCGTTCTCTTCGGTTCAAGTGCTGTGGGGTGTCCGTCGGTTGCGGCGTCCCACGCTGCGCGTCGAGTGTCTGAGAGCCCAGCTGACTGGTGCTTGCAGTCACTCGAGTGCGGGTGTGAAAGCCCCAATGGCGGCAGTTCCTGCCCGTCAATGATTGACGAGCGTATTTTTGGCTCTCGCCACTCCTCCTTGTTTCTGTCTGACTTTTGTCCTTTTGTCTGGGGTGGGTTGTCATCTGATGGACTGACTGCTTGTCGCTCGCTGTGCAGTGCCCACTTGTCGCTTCCCGACCGACACACAACACAGGTACGCAACGGAAAGGCACGCACACACGGGGCAGGCAGACAGACAGGGAGGTGTGAATGGAGAGGTCGACCGATTGCACTTGGTATCTCCCCGAGAGAGCGTGTTGTGACTACTGACTCAACCCACCGCCCTTGGGGTCGTCGTGACGTGCAGAGAGCCAACACAGATCAGCCATGATAGGCGGGGGCACTTCACTTGCCCACGTGCACTCAATGAGTGGCCCCCTGTAGCGCTGAGCTACACCCCAATGCATGATCTCTCTGTTTCTGTGTCTGTGTCTGTCTGTGTGTGTGTGTTGTGCTGTTTTAGGTGAGAGTGAGGCTGTACCAGGGGAAGTGTGTTGCTGTCGGGATGGGTGGGCCGGAGTGATGAGACCAATCTGTATGTGTTAAGTGTATAGGTGTGTGGGTGCCGTGCACTGCATGTGTGCAGTGGCTGGCTGACGGACACATGAGTTTGATTGATTCCTTCAATTCAATCAGTGAGCATCCATCAGCCGTCAAAACAGATGCAATGCAGCAAGCAACCGTCAAAACTGCCAACCTCCATCACTCACGCACACACACACACACAGACACGCGTCAGCGTCACTTGCCCTTCTTCTTGCCCTTCCCTCCCTTGGTCTGCGGCGGCGCCTCTTTCAGCGCCGCATGGCCCACCTCCTTGATGTGCTTGAACAGCTTGGTCCGACTCTCGAACCGCTCACTGCACACCTGACACTCATGCACATCTGCCGCTGCTGGGGCTGGGGCTGAAGCTGCAGCAGCAGCAGCAGCAGTGTCGCCACCGCCCCTCTTGGCCTGCTTGCCGCCGCCCTTCCTCCTTCCCTTGTCGCGGCCCTGGTCTGATGTGCCCTCATCGAAAGAGCCGTTCTTGGTGTCTGATGAAGCCGCTGCTGCCGCTGGTGGTGGTGCAGGGGCATCTGTCCTGATGTTGGCCTTGGCGAAGCTGTGCAGCAGGTCCTCGTCGATGGGCTCATCCTCATCCTCCTCGTCGTCTTGTCCTTCATCATCGCTGTCCTCTTCATCTTCTTGTTGCATCTTGGCCTGCTGCTGCCTCTTCTGCTGCTGCTTCCGCTGCTTCTTACTCTTGTAAGAGGAAGACACACCTGGCATAGAGGGGCCGTCGGCTAGATCGTCCTCCAGCAGCTCGTCGAGGTCAGCGTCATCTACGTCTTGCTCTTGGCCTCTCTTGTGGTGGTGGTGTGGTGGTGGTGGTGGTTGCTGCTGCTGCTGCTGCTGCTGTCTCCTCTGTTGTTTCTTGGCCTTCTTCCTGCTCACGTTGGGGGCGGGGGCGGCGTCATCACTACACCCATCCTGCTGGTCGCCCTCGTCGGCATCATCAGTACCGTTCTCCGCTTCTCCAGCCGCAGCAGGCTCACCATCCTGGCGTATCAGATCTTCCTGGCAACCGACCGGCACAAACACACGACGCACACACATTCCTCCAACAGCACATTCGTCCGTATGCCGTCTGTTCTGTTGTGCCGATTGCCCACTGACCTCTTCCTCCATCTCTCTCTTGAGTGCGGCGAGGGCCTGCATGTGTTTCTTGGACCGCTCGTGGGACTGCAGCGTCTTCTCTGAGCCGAACTGCTTGTTGCACACGTCGCAGAAGTAGACGACGCCCTCCTCCTGCTCGTCTTCCGACTCCTCAGAGTAGGGGTTGCCCTCGTCGCCCTCCTGCATGAGCATGAATCAATCAAGGAAGGGGCGCCGTAGTGTGGTGGTGTGCCACTTGATTGTGTCGTGTGTCATTGTGTGGTGAGGGTACCTCACTCACCTCTCTCTCCTTGTCCACCTGAGCCCACCGCTCCAACTCAGCCGCACGGGCCAGCTCACGCTGACCAGAAGTGAGACGACATGTGCGCATGAGGGCGTGTGTGCGGGGGAATCCCTTGTCAGTCAGTCACCTGCTTCTTTTTGTTTTGCTCAGCGACCTTCTTGGCCCGCTCCTTGTCGGCCTTCTCCTTCTTCTCACGCTCTGCCTCGGACTCCTGCACGGACAGAGGCAATGTTCACAAGCACAGATGCGCCGCTGCATGTGTGTGTGTGTGTGCGTGTGGCCCGTGGTGTGATGTGTGTACCCTTCTGGCAATGACTCGTTTGTCCCTCTTCTTGACCCAGGCCACCAGTGCCCTCACAGTGTCGTTGAACTCCTTCTTGGCGCGCTTCCGCAACCGCTGATTCTCTGCACACAGACAGACAGACAGGCAGACAGACAGACCGTTGCTGCATTAGTGGTCGCCGTACCTTGCTCCATTGCCCGCCTGTAGCGGCGATCGGGGGCCTGGTGAGCGAATGGTGCATGGGAGAGAGAAGTGGGCAGTGTGCGTGTGTGTGTGTGTGTGTGTGTGTTACATACCTCTTTGAGGTTGTATTGGTCGGCGAATCCGAAAGGCTTCTTGCTGACGAAGTTGCTCCACCAGGTGTAGAAGGCAGCCACATCCTACATACATACGCACACAGCAGACGCCATGCATGGCTGTGGTGGTTGCTCATGTGACACATTCCTTCCTCCCTGCTTTTTACCTTCCAGCTCGATTGCGAGTCACCGAAAGAAGGCGCACCCTAAACGCACAAACCAACCAAAAAACCAACAGAGAGAAGGGCAGGGCAGGGCAGGGCGTCAAGTCCACCACCTCGCCACATCCATCCGGTCGCTCACGAGTTCGTCTTCATCGTCACTGAGGTGGTCCTCTTCCTCGGCCGCCAGGTTGGCGAACACCTCCCTGTAGACGCTGTAGAAGCCACTCCCATCGTCACCGAACCCCTTGTAGGCCGTCGTGGTGAAGTAGTGCCAGATGTCCACTCGAGTGGCCGCCTTGACCCCCCCGTCAGACACATCCCCTGTGCGGAGAAGGCAAGATGGGGAAACGGATGTGGCAATCGTGTCAGTCAATCGTGGCAGCATCGGTTTGTCTGCCTGTCGTGTGCAGCGTACGTACCTCCCGAGAGGATCTGCTCCTTGTGGCTGTCATACCTGACAAGCGCACACACAGACACACGCGCGGCGAGCGTCGTTGGCTTGCTCTCGTCTCTGTTTCTGTCTGTGGCGTACCACGCTCTCTCCTGTGCGTCAGAGAGGGTCTCATAAGCCTCCTGCAGCTCCTGGAACTTCTGCTCGGCCATAACAGCACACATCACACATCCACACCAACATGCACAACGCAACACATCCGGTGAAATGGAGTATGCTTATGTGTGCGAGTCTACGGACCTGTGTGGCCTCCTCTTGGTTGTCGCGGTTCTTGTCAGGGTGCCACTTGAGCGCCTGGCGTGGACAGACAGATGCATCAAAGGAAGGAAACAGACTACCGACATGAATCAATTGCACAAGATGCGTTGTCTGTGGTCGACTGTGCTCACCAGCTTGCGAAAGGCGCTCTTGATCTGACGGAAACACACAGACACACAGACAGACAGGACGTTCATCAAGCCATGCATCTGATTGTCTGTCTGCATACCTCATCGGCAGTGGCTCTCGGCTCCACGCCAAGCACTTCATAGAAGCACGTCTTCATCACGCTTTCTTCTAAGCGTGAAACGCATCGCAATCCTAACCTTGCGAGCTTCTTGCAGATCTCTGTGCGCCTTTTCGTTCTTTGCAGCCCTGCATTTCTTTCCCCTCCCACTGCACCGCTCCCGCGATGGCGACTCGCTTTGCGCTTTCTCAGCTTGCCCGTGGGCTGAGCAAGAGGCCTGCATCTGCCGGCGCGGTTGTGCCTCGTCTGGTGAACTCATCTATGGTGAGCAGGCAGCTCTTGCCTGCCGTGCAGTGCCGATTCTTCGCTGACAGCGGTGAGTGAGTGGGTGGGCGGCTGAGTGCAGGGCTGAGATGAGACACACGCGCAGCGCAGAGCGGACACGCGGACGGGTGTTTGGTTTGTGTGCTGTGGCGGCGTTGTCAGCGTCGTCCAAGTTGTCTGAGGTGGTGGCGAATGAGATCTCGCACGAGAAGTCACAGTACGAGAAGCCGCCGATCATTCAGGTGAGCAGGGAACAAGCACTGCAATGCACACCCGCTGCTGCCATCGGGGGTGCATTCACTGTGCCCCGTCTCTCTCTCTCTCTCTCTCTCTCTCTGTGTGTGTGTGTGTGTGTGCCTGCCTGTGTGTGCGTGTGCAGCGTTTCCTGGACAAGAAGGAGTGGAAGTTTGAGGAGAAGACTGCCGACGTCAACATGGTCCTCACCAAGGAGGTCGACGGCACCAAAGTCTCTGTCGAGTTCCAGCTCTCAACGTAAACAAGGCACTGCCCTTGCTGGTTGGCGTACATAAATGGACCTGGTGTGTCTGTGTGTGTGTGTGGCGTCATGTCATGTCATGTCAGTCCTTACAATCCGGAGGATGAGGGCGGCGAGGGCGAGGGTGGTGAGGAGAGCACCCCCACTGACTTCTCCATTACGGTTGAGAAGAAGGACAGCACGGGCGTCATCTTCTACTGCACCACAGACAGCACAGACCCATCACACCGGGTATCCATCGAAGACACACACAGCGCCTGTGCGTGTGCGTGTGTGTGTGGCATGTGTATCCCTGCGGCTGTGGTGTGTATGTCATCCGGTAATCTGTCAGTTTATGATTGGCAACGTCAAGTACTTCGCCACTGCGGAGGAGAAGGACAATGCCAGCAGCTACAACGGACCTGAGTTCGAAGACCTTGACGAGGTGAGCCTGTCAGTCATTGAGCAATACAGCGCCTGACAGCTCATGTCTACCCCAAATGTGTGTGCGTTGATGGGGGTTTGCTTTGCAGAGCATGCAGGAGCGGATGGACGAGTGGCTGGCGACATTGGGTGTGGGGGAGGAGCTCTGCGACTTTATTGATGCATGCGCCGTCGACAAGGTCACACCACACAGCCACCCAGACCAATACATGCACTCACACACGACCTATCCACATGACGTGTGTCTGTGTGTGTGTGACTTGCCTGTCTTGTGTGTGCGTCTGTCAGGAGCAACGCGAGTACATGAACTGGCTTACCGGCATCAAGAGCTTCATCGAGACCAAATAGACAGACGCATACGCACACCCATGTCCACACATTCCTTCCTTGTCCTCCCATTGCTCGCTATTCGCTGATTCTGTATGGCCAGTGTGTGGCCAACTGCCGCCTTCCCCCGACACGATGCCCGGGGATATCTGACAAGGTGATCCCCGAGAGCTGCGTGCGGGGTGGGGGTGGAGGCCTGCCGGTCACACATAGCCGCACACAGAGAGTACTTACTTTTTGGAACGGATCCGTGAGTGTATGTGTGTATTTAAGGCGATGATGACGACAGACACGGCCGCTGATGCGTTGTGTATGTGCGTGTGCATGCCCGCTTTTCAATGCTGGTGGGTGCTGGTCGGGTGCAGTGTGTGGTGGTGTACGCTAGAGGCCGTCTTCAAGAGATGCCTGGCCGAAACACACAACACAGCCGGCGTGTTTGCTTTTGCCAGTCACTCACCTTGTGTCGCTCTCTTTTCCTATGCTCCTTCTATCGCTGCATGCTGTCTGTCTGTCGATGGCTGGAGGTGTAGATGACCTCACGACACACACGTGTGTACCTGTATGTGTGTGTGTGTGTGCATGTGTTGGGTGCATTGATGTGTAAGGACGGAGCATCTGACCCTCATGGATGCCTGCAGTGAGTGTGTGTGTGGATGGATGGATGGATGGACCCCTATCGATGCACTTATTTACTTGTCATTCTCATTCAGCCATCCTCCATTCTATCTCTCACACGACTGTCTCTCTCTCTCTCTCTCTCTCACAGGCACTACCATCCATCCCTCCGTCCTTCCTAAGCCTGCATGTGTGGGTCGACGTCGAAGCACTCACTCCAATGCACACGCTTGTGCAGCACCGTTGACCTCGGGTCGCAAGGCAGCTGAAACTCAACCTGCACAACACACACACACACACAGATACATCATGAGTGACACAGGCAGTCTCAGTCAGTACCATAATGGCGTTGTGGTGGCTGAGTGACTCTTCGCTTAGCATGCTGTCAGTGATTTCCAGGTTGCCGCACCGCTTCACAAACGTGTCGGTCCCGATGGCGTCGAACAGCCATATCTCGCGCCACACACCGCTGAGGAAGAAGTTGCTGTGCTGCGCCGCTAGCCGCGTCATCAGGTCGCTCTGACATTTTGGTGTACACAGCACAAGTGTGTAGTACTCAAACGTGTCTTTCTCTCTCTCTCTCTCTCTGTGTGTGTGTGTGTGTGTGTGTGTGTACCGATAAGTATATCCAGTCGGTGATGCCGCCGAACTTGGTGCTGTAACACAGCCCCTGCACCCACGCAGTGGATGGAGACACACATGTTTCCCTGCCTGTGTGTGTTCTTTCGTTCAGTGTGTGCGCCTGCCTGGCAGTTGCTCTTGAGGCAGCACTTCCTGCTGTTGAGACACTGACCCCTCAGCCCGCCCACACTGCTATAGTAACCACCCCCGCCACCAGCAGCAGACGAGAACGGCCCCACTCCAGCACCAACTCTCTGCCTGGTGGCATTCAGCCCATAGAAGGCCCTCTGGGCCGCCTGCAGCTCCGACATGGATGGCACCGCCAGGTTGCCGAACACCCCTGCCCCTCCGCCGTGCTTTCTCTCCTCCCTTTGCAGTGAGGAAAAGACGCCCGTCTCGTTGTATGTGGTGGGCTTGTCGTGTGCCAGCTGTGGGGTCGGCTTGAGGAAAGGCAGAGAGGGCGGGCTGATCTGGGGCGATGAGGAGTTGATGTTGATGCTGATCTTGCTGTTTGGGCTGGTGGGGTTGATGGGCGACTTGGACTTTGACTTGTGGGCCTTCTCTTGCAGCAGGGCTGTGGGGGAGAACTCTTCTTCACACGGAAGGAACTCCTTGGGCGTGTACGCCGGGAAGAACCCCTGACGCACAACCACAAGCAGGAAGAGCAAAGTGGCAGAAAAAAGACGTGTCTCTCTCTTTCTGCATACGTTTTCCTGCAGCCATTCGTGTCCGCTGGTCATGTATCTCTGGAAGCCGTCCCTCCTGGTGCACTCGCTCTCCGCCAGACTGCGGTAGATGGGGTGGTTGCGGATGATCGGCAACACCACCTGTCAAATGAGCGTCGACCGAGTCACACATTGGGTAGGCGTACTGTCCAGCCTACCTCTGGGTCGTTGAAGTGAGTGTTGAAGTTGCCGGCGATGATCATGGGGATGCCTGGCCGCTTGTGTGAGGCGATCTTCTGCAGCTCCTTCTCCCGCTCGTCGATCAGACGCTCCCAGTGAAAGTCGTCGAAACGACCACCGGCCTGACCGACAGCGAGACATGACGGCATATGGGAGCTGCGCACAATCTCGTAGTGTTCATTCTTACTAGATGGCATGAGACGATGTCCACTGGCCCGATGTGGGGAATCTCAGTCCACAGCATTGCGGCAGATCTGAATGAGCAAGGGGCAGGTGCCAAAAGGCTATTGTGATGTTGGCCGCACGCGGGCTGACCTCGGTGGCATTTCGGGCACTTCTGCATCTTCTCTCCTTATTTGGAATGCGAATGAGTTCTTGACGCGGATGCCGCTCTTGCGGCGGATGAGGATGGCGTTGCTGAAGAAGCCCACCTGACCCGCAGGGGCCACCACCCACTGCACGACAAGAAACATACACACACACTCATGCACCCTCCTAATCAATGCACCCATTTCTCAATGACCATTTTGTAGACTTCGTCCTCAACCGGAACTTGGGCGTGGTGCTCCTGAGACACGCAAGTAGGTTGGTAGTGCGTGTGGTATTGGCCATCGTAATTACCTGCAGTGCGACAATGTCTGCTTTGGATGTCCTTATGAGCTCGAGGATGCGCTCCACCGCACATATCGACGCGTCCTTGGAGTTGCACCCCTCCCATATGTAGAAACACTCCTTCGCACCTGACCACACACACACAACCCAGTGTGTCTCTCACCCTATATGACACCATCTCCCCTCCCTCGCCCACCCTTCTTTTTCCTTAGGCACGGGGCAATGTACATCTGCACGTCAAAGGTCATGATCCGCAGATATCTGGTGCCGCCCGGCGACGGCACCCACGACGCGCCAGGGGGGAGGGGCCCCATGCCGGAAGACGTCTTTTGCGAAGCGATCGTCCCGGGGTCCATTCGCGAGGATGCGATCATCCCGGATGATGTCTCTTGTGAAGTGATCATCCCGGGGTCCATTCGTTTGGTCATGGACTGCCGCACGGCATACTGATGGAAGCCTGACGGCGCCTCTGCGAGGTTGTGGAGGTACGACTGGCCGGCTGTGGTCGGATCGAGGATCTGGTCCTGATCGAAGTTCTCTGCAGAGACACACGAGAAGTAGGCGTGTATGTTGTGGATGAGTGGCGTCGCCTACGCGCGTATCCGTCCCTTATCGGCCCCCTTGGGGGATTGCTCAGCCAAAAGTCAGGGTTGGGGCCTGTGTGGACCTCGAGGTCATGGCTTGATGGAATGTTAGTCTTACGATTGGCCTCGTTGACGTGCAGAACAGCGTCCCGATGTTCTGTGGACATGTCCTCTTCTATTGCCGCCACGTCATTGTACATTTCCTTCGGATGGCTCGCCCGAGACGCCACGTTTTCGAAGACTCGACCGCCAACAAAACCTGTCGTGCGAGAACGGGATGTCTCGCCCTGGGAAAGGCCCGCGAAGGAACGGGGCTCGGTACTCTCGCCGTCGGGCTCGTCTTGCCTTGACTTTCGTGCCTTCTGGTCGGTTGTTGCTGCTGTTGTTTGCACGACGAAAGAAGAGGGGACAGTGCGGTTGGACGAGAGGTTGGCTTGTGCTGTCTTGCGAATAGCCGCCGGACAGACACGGGTCAGCAAAAGGGTAAGTGCGATGAATAAGCCACAGGTCATTTTCCCTATTCCAAGGATCTCTTCAAGTTCCCACGTGCCCCCCTTCCGCTTTCCCCTTTCACCGGCCTCCAGCGATGAGGCGCGGCTCTGTCCAGATAGACTCGATACGAATTCATGACCTCCACTGGGACGATGAAGAGGACTTCGTTGGAGGTGGTGCGTTCGCTGAGGTCGGCCGAAAGAACAACTGCTGCAGTCAGTCATACAGTGACACACACCTCCTGATGTCCATGTTGCAGGTGTATAAGGCCATGTGGGGCGAGACGAGGGTCGCCATCAAGAAGGCGAAAAGAGAACTCGAGAAGGTCTTCGGCAGAGAGGTGATAGCCATCGGCAGGGGCGTCCCCGGTCTCGTGCTGATCTTTGTGTGATTGTGCAGGGTCTGAAAGACAAAGTTCTGCAGGAAGCCGACGCCCTGGCCCGCTTGAAGCACCCTCATGTCGTGAGGCTGCTAGGTGTGTGTTACGACACGAAGATTCCCCTTCTCGTCCTCGGTGAGAAAGAGAGATACGTCTGAGGATACACCTGAACACTGAACTGAAGAGGTAGGTGCCATCTATCGTGCAGAGTACTATGAGGATTCACTGGACAAATTTCTCAAGAAACTGGGCAGAAGGAAGTCAGGAGTCCCCGAGCACCTGCAGTACAAGTATGCCAAGCAGGTGAGGCGGACTTAAAGTTCGCGATTCCGTGTGTTTATCACTTTTGCTTTTTCTGTGTATCAGATATGTGGGGGTCTCATCCATGCCCATAGCAAAGGCATCGGCCATCGTGACCTCAAGCCCGAGAATATTCTGGTGGCTGAGACATGCAGCAGTAGCATAATTTGTTCACATCCATGTGTCTTCTCTGCTTGATGTGCAGCTGGACAACGACGGAAATGTGAAGCTCTCAGACTTCGGTCTGGCTTGGGTGATGCCCGAGGAGAGGTCGTACCTAAGCGTCCATGACTTCGGTAACAGACGCAAAGATCTAATCCCAAAGCGACCCATACTTGCGTGGCTGCAGCGGGAACTCCCCTATATGCCCCCCCAGAGGCCTACGCAGACAGTACTTGCAGAATGACATTGATAATCATACAGTTAGTGAGATTCCTGTCACCTCTCAGGGCCCCACTTGGAGCTCAGGTCGGACATCTGGCCAGTCAGATTGATCTTTGCAGAAATATTCGGCGGTGAGTGAGACACAGAGAAAGCACGGCACACAGGAGGGCTGGTGGCCCCTTGTATCTGTAGCATCTCCGGCTTTCGCTGGCCTCAGTAAAAGGGAGATCGCGAGGAAGATATACGAGAATAGAGAGGTGGCGGCTGCATAAGTGTGTGGACAAGCTTCTGTTAGCAGGCGTGTGTTCCTGTGTCATGCAGGCGCCCCCCATCCCCTCAGAAATCCCCGTCAATGTCAAGCAGGCCATCCAGGCAAGACACCGGACGCACAATGTTGCGTACATGGTGAATGCACCTGTCGCGTTGTTCACGTGGCCCACCAGAGTTGTTTCGCCTTCAATCCAAGAAGTCGGCCGAGCGCACAAGAGATGAAGTGACGCGCTCTGACTGAGGCTTTCAAGAGATGACGTTCCTGTGTCTCTGTGCTTCTGACGTGCTGCTCTGCGGCAGCTGCTCGACAAACTGACCAACGAAAGGCCGCGGCCAGGTGACACACCACCCCACCACCACTGCTCACCCAGATTGCCTCATGTGACGTGCTGTCGATGGCAGTGACCCCCGACCCACGGCCCAACAGCAGTCTCGGTGGGCTACTAATGCAGATGAGATGACCAATTTAAGGCTTACCGCATATGCAGTTACCCCGACGCCAGCCCCAGTACCCGTCTCGCCCTCAGCGCCCGGCACCCCATCTTTGTCACCACAACCGTCAAACGCCGAACACGTACGCACACGAAGTACATGCAACAGGGAGGCTGAGGGAGCGTCGAATGTACTTTGGCATTCTTAATGTGCAGGCCGATATCTTCGAGGCGGTCAAGGCTCGCGATGAGCAGTCCGTCCGTTTGTTCATCGAGCGAGACGGCAAGGACATTCTCGACAAACGAGACTTCATAGGAGTATGCAATCAAGAAGCCGACAGACATGCACCCAGCGGCCTGTATGTGGTGTTATTCCTGCGCGCAGTTCACACCCTTCCTTCACGCTGCACAGAGCGGTCACGTGGGCGTCATGTCAGTCATGTACGAAAGCAAACCTGACGTACTGCAGCAAACAGACAATGTAGCGACACATACACGCCATCCTGTGTGCTGCTGGTGGTGAGGAGACGTGTTGGCTTTGATGGAATGCAATAGGGTCGTGGAAATGCCCTCCACCAAGCTCTCTTGCTTTCCAAACCCGGCGATGTGGTGGCCAAGCTGTAAGAGACGCAGAGGAATGACACGACGAATTTATTCTCTGTCTGCGTACGGAGCTTCAGGCTCGAGTGGGCTGCTGAGGCTGGCGTCTCCCTCCTCGGCATCAAGAACAAGAAGGCAAGTCCCGACGAACGGTTGGATGGTCTATTCCTTTGAATTTGGCAGGGTAAGACGCCGTGGGATTTGGCGGCGGAGAGGTCGGACATCAGAGAGATCATGGAGAAGTACAAGAAACAAACAGGTCTGTCTGTCTTCATGCTGATCTGGACACATCATTGCATCCAATGCTGTGTGCGTGTCAGTGCCATCTGGCCAGCATATATCAGGACAGGCACCGGCACCGCAGATCAACGACGTGAGAGGGCACCTGATCATCACACACGACCCCTTTGTTTTGGCTTTGTGTTCGTAGACGACGAGAAAGGGCGATAAGCAGTCCGTCATGGCGGCGGCTCCCCGCCTGCGTATCGATCGGCAAAACATCACATTCAGCGAGGCAGACAGACTCGGTGAGCCCGAGACCAATCGCATACCGAGATGTGGTCAGCTAATGTGTGTGTGGGCCAGGAAAGGGAGGTTTTGGGACAGTGTACAAGGGGCTGTGGAAAGACCAGCCGGTGGCTATCAAGGTCGTCAATGAGGAGGACAGGAAACTCATACCGATCCACGTGGGAAAGCAACCCGATCCACGGACCGACGAATAGAGATGGATCTTTTCATACAGGTGCTCTATGATGACGTCTTGAAGGAGGTGGAGCCGATGCTGTCCCTCAAACATCCCTATGTCATCACCTTTTTAGGCATCTGCTCTCACGAAACTTACGGACCCATGATCATATCAGGTGGGTGGGTTGTCCATGTGCTCGTTACCCTCTGACTTTTCTTGCCTGGCGGTTGCTTTCGTGTGTCTCAGAGTTGTGCGAGGGTGGCTCACTGCAGTCATTTCTCGAGAGGACGAAGGGTCCTCTGCCGGCCAATCTCCGCGACAAGTTTGCGAGACAGGTAAGTAGCTAATACGGGCAAAGAGGGCTGAATCAGAGCACCCTTTTATCTGTCGCCCGATAGATTTGTGAGGGCGTGCAGTCATTTCACAACAAGAATATAGTACATCGTGACTTGAAGCCCGGCAACATACTTGTAAGTTGCAAGACTGCAACGTCCATTCGCACCCGTTTCTTTATTGTGCAGGTGACCAAGGAAGAAGACATCAAGATTACCGATTTTGGGCTAGTGATTGACCTCAACAGAACAGCGTCGGCTCAAGGCGGTGACAGACAAATGAGAGGAACACGCTGCCGCCGCGAGTCAGGCTACGTGTCCATGTGCACTCTTGCATCTGCAGGAGCGGGCACAAGGCTTTACATGGCGCCCGAAGCATTTGCGTTGAACGGTGAGCGACATTTAGCAGGAAAGAATTGTCAACTTCTTACTCTTTGGTAGCTGAGAATCTGACGACCAAGGCGGACATCTGGGCCCTCGGGATCATCATTCTCGAGCTGCATGGCGTCTCGCTGCTGGTTCTCTTCCAACAACTCATAAGACTTAGACAGGTCAACTGAAGAAAACGTGCGATAAAGAACGGCACATAGCTGAGGCATTGTCCATTGTCACCGCCATAGCTGAAGGCACTGTCACCGCCTTTGTACTCAGGCACCCGACATCCCCGACTCTGTGCCCCTACAGGCCAAAGAGGTCATCAAAGTAAGCGGACGTCGCCACGCTGCGACGCTTTGGGAACCCTTATCTCCCTGTCTCTGTGTGTGATGGATGGATCACCAGAAATGTTCTTCCCTAGAGCCTAACGATCGGCCCACAGCGGGACAGGTGAATGAGACGCATCATCTTGGGATGGACGAACGGCATGTTGTTGCCTACATCAGCTTCTCAAGGTGCTGACGGGGACTTCCACGCCCCCACCCAAGCCGGTCTCGCCCTCAGCGCCAGCCAGCCGACCGGCGTCTCCACAACCGTCAAACATCAAACACGTACACCCCGATGGACCCATGCAGCAGCAGCGCCTTCGGAGTAAGCTGTGTGTGTTCCTGACTGTCCTCGACAGGCTGACGAGTATGAGGTTGTCGAGGCCTCGTTCAAGGCCGCGAAGAAGGGCGAGTGTGCGGCTCTCACCCAAATGATCAAGACTCACGGTGTAGCAATACTGGATAAACGAAACGACCACGGGGTAATCAGACGAAAGAAAGGATTCAAAGGGGAGATTCTCATTGTTGGCTGCATGTAGGACACACCCTTCCTTGCCGCTGCATCGCGTGGTCAGGCCGGTGCCATGCCGCTCATGTACGACGCGTATGGGCCGTCGATTCTGAAGCAAACATACAAGGTGCATGTCCATCAGCTCAAATGAAGAGATGTTGGTTGTGATGCAATGCAACAGAATGGTCGGACCGCCATGCACTGGGCTGCCGCCAATGGCCATGTCGCGGCTGTCAATAAGCTGCTGGAGTGGGATCTCACACTGCTCGATGCATGCGACAAGGTTACAGCACACAAGTGTCTCTGACGCCTTGCTGGTGTCGATATTGTCTGTCTATCTGTCTGTCTCTGTCTGTCTGTCTGTGGGCTGCAGACTGGCACTACACCGTTCATCACAGCGCGTTATCACGTTGACGTGCTGAAAGCCCTGTATGCCAAAGGGCAGGACAAGCAGAACATGCTGACACACCAGACCAATGTGAGAAACAGCTAGATCTCTCGGTCATTCGTTGACGGCCTTTCTCTGTGAGCATCACACACAGCTCAGAGACACAGTGCTGCATGATGCTGTCAAGGCCAGTAAAGGCGATTCGGTGGCCCAGCTGTGAGGGACACTAATGAATAACGCAAATCAACTTTGCCGCTCTCTCCTCACCCTCTCTGTGTGCGAGTCCAGGTTGGAGTGGGGCGTTGAGGCCGGAGTCAATCTCCTCGACATCAAAGGCTATGAAGTGAGTGCACACAGACTTGTGAATGGACGAGAGGAGCGCTTTCGTGTGTCAGGGTAAGACGCCGTGGGACTTGGCGTCGGAGAAACCGGGCATGAGGAAGGTCATGGAAAAGTACAAGCAGTAGGTCAGTTCTCGGCGCTGTGTGCGGTTGGTGTATGACTTGGGCCTTCTAGTCTGTGTGTCGTGCCTTCGCGAGAGCGGCACATGAAGGAAGAACGTGTGATATTGTAGTAGGGGCGTGCCTGGCTGGGTGAATGGCAGAACTCAGTCTGGTGGGTGGGTGAAGTGCGTGTGTCTCTTCTTCCAGACAGACCGGTCGAGAACGGAGTGAACGGATACAAGGTACGAAGGCAGGTCACAACAAGGTACGAATTGATTGTGCCTCACAAGTGGCGTCCGGGAACTATGTGAGCTGCCTTGTCTCATATCTGTCTGACAATACATATAAACAGCCTGCTGTCTTCCTTGCCTATCGAATGAGAGCAATACGAATGAATTCATGCCTAGATTCATGCCGTGTCGCTGACACAACGGTGGAATGGATGGACGCAAGTTAGGCGCGTTAGAGCGAGGCGAGCTCGCAGTCTCCACTTCAACTCGTCCATCAGGAACCCACTTGGTTTCCACGATCCTCTCATAGGCCCGTCAATCTCCATTAAACACCCTCCGCCACAATGCTTCCCTCCGCCCAGCCGCACTCTCTGAACGTCGACAACAAGAAGATGGGGGTGGAGCCTGAGGAGTTGCCGAGGGCGCCCTCCCCCACGGCGCAACCGGACATGGAGCCGAGCCCCGCCGCTTACCTTTCGCCAACCATCGAGCAACTCAACAGCGAAGTCCGTCGCCTGAAACAGGAGAACCTGCGGCTGCAAAAGCACATCGTGCAGCAAGACACCCCCTCTAGCCGCCTCTCGCCAACAAGCGCCACTGGACGCTCAGGAGGTCGACGATCCAGCGACATCAGTGGCCGTGTGAACACTCTGCTGGCGGACCTCGGCATAGATCAGGACGCTAATGAGACCTCCCGCCGTTCCAGAGACAAGCGTGGCACGGAGGTGTTCGAGACACATGGCAGTGAAGAGTCGTCCGATGAGGAGCACGCGGACTCTCTGGCCAAGGCAGAGGTGCGAAGAGCGCAGCAGCAGGCGCATCAGATGCGGAAGCGCAACGCGTCCCTTCTGCGGGAAAACCAAGAGTGAGGGCACCCGGCGGCGGGCCACACACAAGTGCACTCTTCTCCCATGTGTGTCTCTGCACCTTGTATGTGTCAAGGCTACATGATATCGAGAGGGAGCTTCGAGAGCAGGTCGACTAGCTCAAGCACAAGTTAGAGCAAGCGCAGCGCAAGATCGACATCGAGACAGAGCGCCAAATCACGCTTCAAGAGAAAGTCAAGGAGGCCGAGGAGAAGGCCGAGACTCAGCAAAAGGCGAACCGACGCCTTCTCAACCTGCAAGCCGGCGCCGGCCGATCAGCAAGGGAGAAGTCAGTGGACTTCAGCGATGTGGCCTCGCAAGGAAAGGCCTCTGACGGCAGGGTGACACCCACCGGTGCCCTTACTCATCGTGGGACTTTTCGACCAGGGGGAAGGAAGTCACGTGTGTTTGAGGATGAGGTGAAGCTGCGTAGCGAATTTGAAAAAGGAAAGGAGGACATGTCGGAGCAGATCGAAGCACTGGAGGCGCTCATCACCGAGCTGAGGGGGAAGGAGGCGGACGCTCAGGTGAGGTGGGGGAGACACCGTGGGATCTATTATGAAGGCATGACGACATGAATCACGGTTGCCTTGTCAGACGCGTCTGAGAGACGAGATGGAGAAGAACGTCCACCTGCTGGCCCAGTCCAGGGCAGACCAGCAGCAGAAACAGCAACTTGAAGCCCTCGCGGTAGGTGGCACTGCACACGACATACACATTGGTCGACCTGCCCTGCTTGCCTCGTCTTGCTTCAGGCTGATCGGCTTCGCGAGCTCAGCGAACTGAAGAACCTGATGGAGGGGCAGCGCACGCAGGCATCCAACCTCAACACTGAGGTCGACACACTCCGAAGCAAGCTGATGGAGGCGCAGATGGCACAGACCAGGTGAATGGCTTAGTTTCTCTGTCCAGCATCACGCATTTGTTCCGACTTTCCAGCGGTTTCATGACGGAGCGAGGCCAGGACCCCAAGACGCCTCGCGTCCCAGGCGTGCTGCAGAGCCCCAGAGGCCGACCATCACCAGCAGCAGTCTCCATCCAGGCAGCCGAAGCCGCCATCCAGAGCGAAGCCACCGTCACTCCATCGCCAGCCTCCTCCTCGAAGCGCGACACTCTGTCCGCCTCTTTTTCGCGTCGTGGCACGCGCCGCATGTCAGCCCCTGTGGTGGAGATGAGTCTTGCTGACGAGATGGATGACTTGGAGGAGGATTTGGTGCAGCGCAATGCCGAGCTGGAGATGGAACTGCAGAAAGGCGAGGAGACGCGGACTCAGTTGGAGAAGCGGCTCAAAGAGAGGGATGATGCGATGGCGAGGCTCAAGTCGGAGCTGGATTCGGCGAAGAAGGTGAGTAAAGGGCCGCGGATGGGCCCTGGACCGATCGAGAGACACCATGCACCTGTTCTGCTCTCCCCGGTCCTCAGGCCAGTGACATGGCTGTCAGAGCAGACGAATCTCTGGCAGCCGAGACAGCCGAGGTAAGAGAGGCGCAGTCATACTCGGCCTGGCAGGACAATGTGGTCTTTCACCTGGACGCTGTGTGTGTGCTGTGGGTCCATCATTCAGCTGCAAGAGAAGATGCGTCTGCTTGAGGACAAGAATCGGTCACTGGAGAGTGAAGCGGCGCGTGTGCCAGACCTCCAAGACTCTCTCAAGAACATGGAGGACGAACTGGCAACTAAGACGGAGGCCGCGCAGCAGCTGGCCAAGCAGCGCGACGAGCTGCAGCAGTTGCTGGACCAGGGCGAGTGGGTGGCAGGCAAGCTCAAGGAGCAGCTGACAAGCAAGAGCGACGAGATCGAAAAGCTCACGACGACGATCACGGTGGGACGACATGCTGCGCGCAAGGCTTTGACCCTGCAGCCGTCATGTGCTCTGTATGCATATCTTCCTTTGCAGACGATCGGAGAAGACAAGACGAAGCTGCAGGAGTCGACACGCAAGCTTCAGCAAGAGAACGAGGAACTGACGGCGACGATCGAGTCTCTAAAGTCTTCATCCTCCGCCCTTGAATCACAGCTGTCGGGCCTCCAAGCATCGAATGCCCAGGCGTCTATTGAGTGGGCCACTACATCCAACCGAGTGTCGCATCTGGAGGCCCAAGTGACCGAGGCGCACCGGAAGGCCGAACAAGACGCCGAGACCATCCGATCGCTCAAGGCAGAAAAGCAAGTACGTAGGCTCTATCTGCAAATGTATTCGTGTCTCATATGGCATGTCGTTTGTGTGGCATCATGCATTGGTTGATGTCAGGGAGCCGAGCAGGCAGCCACGGCGGCAGAGGAGCAGCTCTCCAAGCTGCGGGCCGAGTTGAACGCTGTCACTCAACAGAGCAGCGTAAGAGTCACGTTGCCCCTTCACTCACGTCTTTGCGCGCAAAAATGAGCATTCTGGTTTCCAACAGGCGGCGAGAGATGAGCTTAAACGACTCTACGAGAGCCAGGTAGAGCAGGACAAGGCCCAGCAGCAGCTTACAGCTGATCTTGAGGCGGCAAACTCTGCCAAGACGCGCTTGGAGGCCGAAGTATCCGCCGCGCAGACAGCTGCCAGTGCCACTTTAGAGGAGCACGCCAAGGCAATCGCGGAACTGGAGAGCGCACTGGCGAGTGCGCAGCAAGCCGCGGCTGAGAGGGAGGGGGAAATCGAGACATTAAGGGCAGAAAGGAAGGTATTACCAATCACTAGTCCAGCGGCCATGAGCCACTCCCTATTGGTCTGTCATTGCTGCTTGCAGACGGTAGACGAGCAGCTGGCGGGCGCCCATTCGGCAACGAAGGGTTTGGAGGCGGAGGTTTCGTCACTGCGGTCGACTGCAGCACAAGGGGTGCTGGACGCTGCGGACACCCAGAAGACGATCAGTGGCTTGACTCAGCAGATCGAAGAAGAAAAAATGACGATCGAGGCGCTGTCGAAGGCCAACAAGGATCTGGCTGGCCGAGTCGAGACACTGCAAGGCGATATCGATGGCATGAAGGCGTCTTCCGTCGAGGGCGCCGCGGCGGCCAAGGATATGGAGGACCGCATCGCGTCCCTTACAGCGGAGAAGGAGGAGATGTCGAAGGCCAACAAGGATCTGGCTGGCCGAGTCGAGACACTGCAAGGCGATATCGATGGCATGAAGGCATCCTCCGTCGAGGGCGCCGCCGCGGCCAAGGGTATGGAGGACCGCATCGCGTCTTTCCAGAATGAGCTGCATGAGTCATCTTTGCGGGAAGCCACACTGCAGAAGTTCATTGAGAAGCTGCAGAGAGAGAACGACGTGAGTGACCAACCAGGACACATCTTCTCAATCGCCGGCTCTATCTCTATCTGCTGTGTATGTGTCTCTATTCAGTCCCTCAAAGAGGAGCTGGAGAGGGTCCGTCGAGAAGGCAAGCCAGCGCCCGTAAGTCGTGCACAAGAACTTTCTAAGTCGTCCTCGATTTCTGTGTCGGTTGCACCGATATGTCCACAATGTCTGTCTGCCCGTGTCTCAGATGCTGGCGGTGCAGGAGTCGCCGGCGGATGAGTCGAGCCAGTGACGCGACACGGTTCTTAAGTTGTCGCGCAAGAGCAAAGTGCAGCCTGCCCTGGCGCAGCCTAAGAAGGCCGTCAGGGACTGGAAGTTCTTCTGAGTCACTGAGCCGGCGGGCGGGCGGGCGGGCGGGGCGCGGCAGTTTTGTTCCTCGTGGTTGCAGTTGTGGCTGTGGTTGGTTAGACAACAGGTCGAATGATTCTGGTTCTGCGCTTCCGCTGTCACTGGGTCTGATTTTCTCGTTAAGGCAGTGTGTCTGCGCGTCTTGTTGTCTGTGCGTCTAATGGCGGTTCCCATGCATTTTTTGAGTACGGCCATGTGGATGGAGGGACAGATCGACACATGCACGCGAACCCCTCTTCAACGCGTGAACCAGTTCACGCACATAACACACACGCGACAAGACCAAGACCACGCAACGCATCACCATACTTCAAAATCGTTCGCTTCCACACGGCGCCACGGGCACGGCTGAATGAACTCAGGTCGCTCTTCGCCTCACTGCACGCCGTCTCCGGCTCGGAGCCCCTGCCTGCCCCGAGACAGAAAGGCGCTAGGAGTCGGACCAGGCGACCAATGAGTCGAGGAGCAACATGGGGGGAGGGGGCAACACATGTAGGTCGCAGGCACAAAAGTCACCAACGAACCACCGATCGACCACACAGACTGATGCATCGATAAAGGGGGTAGCGGGGGGTCGTGAATTGAATGCATACGCAACCCAACCCACGACAGCACGACACGAAAAACACCTCTCAAATCTTGCGTTGACGCGTGCACGAGGACGCCCGGAAAATCATGCACGCTGCCCGTTCAGAGCTTGTTGAAGGCAGCGATCTCGACCGACTGGACGAGGCCGAGGTCTTCTTCGTCCTCGTCCTAACACACACAGGCAACACAGGCAAAAAGAGCATGGGACATGACAGTCTCTCTCCCCTTCTCTCTCTCTGTGGTGTGTGTGTGTGTGTACCTCCGCGCCTTCCTCGTGTTCGGCCTCCTCGAGCTCCTTTCTCTTCTTGATCTGCTCCTCAGTCATGCCCACGTTCTCAATCAGCTCGCACAGCAGATCCGTCGACACCAAGTCGTCCTGGATCACACAACCGACCTGCACACACACACACACAGACACACATACAGACACACACACACAAACACAATGGTCAGCCTGTCTGTCTATCCTGTCCATTCTGGGGTGCGCAGCTTTCGGCGCACCTGGAGCTTGTTGAGCCCGAACGCCATGGGTATCTGCACACGCATAACCACACACCAATATGCCCACATATGCACATGGATGTGATGGTCGATGGCGCACGTACCTTCTTGGTCTGTTCCTTCCACTCCAGCCCCTCCATCTTAATCTGCTTGACCAGTTCAGCCAGCTTGTCGAGGTTGGTGTCGCTCGAGAAGGGTTTGCAGTCGATGAGCAGGAGCGACTTCTCCACCTTCTTCTTCTTGGACTTCTCTGCCTCGGCCTTCTTGCTCTCCGCCAGCTTCTTGGCGGCCTCCTTGTCGGCCTCAGTCTCCTCACCTGAACACACACAATCGCACACAGAATCACACCATGCTACAGATGCGGGTAGGTGTGCCTGCCTGCCTCACTATCGCTGACCGAAAAGGTCGATGTCGTCTTCATCGTCAGGTTTCTTGCTGCCCATCTCGCCCTTGGGGAACATCTTGCGCCTCACGGGGGTGTAGTGGGCAATGTGTCGGTACCATCGCGCCGCGTGTGGGTACTTCTTGCCATCGGGGCACGCCAGCATCTTGCCGAGACACGTGACGTCATTCTGCGTCGGGATGAAGCCGGTGATGTACGAGCACTTCTCCAAGCTGCACACAGACAGACAAGCCAGACAAGCACACGAGATGCACCACCACACCACCACACACGCGCTTGATCAATGGATGTGTGTGCTGCAGCAGACAGATCAGGGCCCCTCCTCCTCACTGTGTGTTGAGCTTGGCGATGCCCGCATCCGTCTTCAAGTTGCCGAACTCAACCATCGTTGCAACCAGCCTGAAGGCACCGACACAACACAGAGCAGATCTATCGTTGCAAAATGGCCACAAACTCCTCTCTGCATCCATCTTGCCTTGGGTGTGGCCAGCGTCTTGAAAAGGTAGCGCCTTCTTTTTTCGGGTTTTGCCTTTCAAGCTCGCCTTCCGTCGTGTTTTGCGGGCGAATTGTCTCTCGTGAATTCGTGCAGTCATGCATTTCCTGCGTAACATGCTGTTCCCTACGCGGGAGCCGCTCATCGACAGAGATGAGGTGGCATTCTACTTCGCAGGTGAGCCGTGACCTCACCAAGTCCGCAGATCCATCGGCACCTCTGCGGTGTGTTCTCTGTTCTGTGTGCAGCCCTGCTGACGTATTCCCACTCTGGAGGCTGCCCCAGCCACATCAAGAGGCAAGCAGACAATGGCTGGAACAATGGCATCGATGGCGTGGCGAGAAAGGTGTGTGCTTTGTGTGTGGGTGTAGTGTGTTGGATGAGTACCGCATGGCGGTGACGAACGTGTCCAAGCACAGCGACGCCGACGCGTGGGAGGCGCACAAGAGCTCCCTGCGCGACAAGGTGCTGCTGGACCTGCAGGGCAAGGGACTCATACACAGGTTCCAGGAGGAGATGAAGATTGTCCAGGAGGGACGCGCTGACTTCAATCGCGTACCAGCATCACCCAACACGGACCACACACATCGAGGGCGCTCACTCTCCCTCCGTCTGTGTGTGTGCCTGTGCGTGTGTGTGTGTGGTTTGGCTGCACAGATGCAGCAGGTTGTTCCGGGTCTGTGGCTGGTAAGGAAGGTCGTATGAGAACGAACAGAAGGTAGCATCATCTGCAAGGCTCGCCCGCCCATCTCTTTGCAGGGTTCGTTTCACCCTGCCAACGACCGCTACCAGCTTCGCACTCAGGGCATCACACACAGTGAGTCAAGTTAGGAGGCCACCCGGACGGGCCAGTGTGACTGACTATGACGATGCTGCTTGTTCATTGCCTGGGTGCAGTTTGCTGCTGTGTGAATCTGCCGCCCCGGTTCCCTAGCGATTTCGAGTACCACGTCATTCCCGCAGACGACACGCCCTCAGGTCAGTGCATGGCGGACACATCACAGTGGCCAACAACACAGGTGCAGGTGTCTTGTGTACTTGTGTGTGTCTGTGTGTCAGAAAACATATCTCGGTTCTTCCCCAAAGCGATAGAGTTCATCAGGGACGCCATACACAGAGGGGGCAAGGTTAGAGAGAGGGAGAGGGGGGCTGGACGGCATAGAGGCTGCAGAACGTCGTGTGTACGTATGTATCTGTGTTTGATGGATGTGTCGGTCAGGTGTTGGTTCACTGCGGTGCGGGCATCAGCCGGGCACCCACCATTTGTACTGCGTTCCTCATGGTAAGCCAGCCGGAAAGAGCACACACACAGACAGATGTGTGGGTGTCAGGATGAGTTCCATCTGCCGATGGACAAGGCGCTCAACTTGGTGCAGACACAGCGACCATTCGCCTCGCCAAACACAGGTCAACGCCCACCCATCCATCCGATTCCCACTCGCCCATCTCGGGTGCGCATGTCTGCAGGTTTCATGGCTCAGCTGCGCGTGTTGGACAGCAGCCTGGCTGTGCGGCGGAACAGCAAGGGTGCGGCGGGCGGTGAGTCGGCCAACCCCGGACCGGCCGGCCCCGCTGCTGCGCCCCCCGCCATCGCCGTGGGCCACCTGGCCGCACAGCCCAAGAGAGAGAGGAACGAATGAACGAACGAACCATGAATGAGAGGCTTACTAGTCAGTCAGTCAGTCAGACGAGTGGGTGGGTGTGCGTGAGGGGCATGGTGAGGTGAGATGAGATGTGTGGCTGGGCTGGTGTGTATGTGGTGTGGTGTGGTGTGGTGTGTACAGATGGACAGGCTGCCCGTGCTTAGACTGTCATTCGTTTGGTCCGTATACATACATACAAACATCTGTGGGTTTATGTGCGTATTTTGACACTTTTGGCGGCATGGCATGGCATGGCGTGGCATGGAGTGCGTAGTAGGGGCGATTGGCTGACCGACGGGTACATACACGCAGGACACATGTGCCTACATTTGTGGTGTGGTGCCTACACGAATGCGCATTTTGTGACCGATTTTGCAGCCGAAATGCAATGCAATGCAATCCGGAGGGAGTAACGGCCGTGGGGTCACAAACCCTGCTGACTCTTGCTCACCCAGCCGACCAGCCGATGACGCACTTTCTTGCCTTTCCCCTGCTGTCCTTGCTGGCCTCCATCCGCACAACAGATGCGTCGCTCGGCCTGCAGATCTCACAACACAATTCTGGCGCCAGCCGCCAGTATGGCAGAGATGGGATCTCAGTAGCTGTGTCGGCGCTGGGCTACTCGCGGATGCTGCAGCAGCCGAGCGACGACGAGGAGAATGAAGACGACGACGAGTATGAGAGGCTGTCACCGGATAGCAACCGGCTGGTGGTGTTTGACAGGACCTTCGGCTGCAAGTGAGTGACGGGCACAGCACACCATTGCACGGCAGATCTGTATGACACGGTGACACCTGCTTTTGCGTGGTTTTCTGTGTGTGTGTGTGTGTGTGCAGGTGGGCGCGTGGAGACTGCAAGAACCACCAGAGCCACCACTGGCTGCTCACCAGGTACTGAACTTCGTGTGGCGTATGAAAGGCATAGGCATCTCCTGATTGTCGGGTTTGCCTGTGTGGCTGTTTGTGCCTGTGTCTGTGTGTTCGTGTGTGCAGCGACGAGTTGGCGGACTGCAAGAGGATAGTGCAGGTGGCGGAGATGAAGTTCGTCGTCACTCTCGACATGTGGTCAGCAAACAGCCCACTCGCCACCTCTGCGCCCATGCTCGTACCCACTCTCTCTCTCTCTCTCTGTTTCTCGCTGTGTGTGTGTGCAGGTGTGCCAAGACGACCCTCTGGGGCCGTTTGCCGAGCTGCGACAAGCTGGGCCCCACCAACGCCTGGCCGATGTTCTCCAACTGCGAGCACGACGACATGGTCTCCTCCGTCTGCGAGATCCTGTGCGACACTGGCGCAGAGGGCGAGAGGAGGCCCATGCTCAAGTACCTAACACCACTCAATGCTCGACGATGACAGCGATGCGATGGATGTGTGTGGCCAGGTGCACGTTTCAGTACGACCACTCGGGCGCCCTAGGTCTGCGGAAGGACCACATAGGGATGTGCTACATCCTCGACGGGGAGTGCGAGACCGACTTTGACGAGCGGCACCGCATCATGTGCACGGGCTTCGACGCCGACGAGACGCGGCTGCCGGCAGGGGGCAACGCCACGACCGTCGATGGCTTTGCTGAGGGTGCGCCTGTGCCAGGCGATGGTACGTAGACCACACTGCCACACACAAATGGCCACCGGAGGTATCTTTGTTGCTGTGTTGTGCTGCTTCTCTCTCTCAGATGACCGCGTGGCATTGTGTCAGAGCAATGGCACCACAGAGGGGTGCCAGTCAGAGTGCCTGGTAGACACACACACAGCACAACACAGCACAACACAGCACACACACACACGCACGCGCGCAAGAAAGGCACATCTGTGTCACTTCCCTCTCACACAAATGCAGGTGCACTACGACAACGTTGAATCGAAAATTCGCAGCGGCTGCCCCAACGCCGCCTGGCATTGGGGAGCCTACGGCCCGGCGTGCTATGCCAGCAGGTCTAGGCGCAGCGACACATCCACATCCACACAGATGCCCTGCTTCGTCTACGCCGACCGATCCGTCTCTGACCAATTCGGCTCCGTCAACGGCACTACCGCTATGAGCTTCCGTAAGCAAGCCCCATGCACAGGCAACAAACGCGTAGGAGTCAGTCATGTGTGTGCCGTGACTCTCCTGCTGCAGACACGCCTCACGTGAGCTGCAAGGGCGAGTGGACCCAGTGGTCGGTGTGTGACGACTCCTGCAAGCAGACCCGCAGCTTCACCATCACCCAGCCACATGTCGGCCGAGGGTCACGCTGCAAACACGAGGAGGGCGCCCAGCAGACGCGCAAGTGCGCCTGCCCAGAGACAGCCACCGTGGAGGCCAAACAGGAGGCCGAGAAAGAGGACCAAGAGGCCGGCGAGAAGAGCGTCGATTGTGTGGGCGTGTGGGCCGACTGGTCTCAGTGCCAGGCCAACTGCAAGCACATCAAGAGCTTCAGGGTGACGCAGGAGAAGCAGGGCGACGGCAAGGAGTGCCCCGTAGCCGACGGCACACAGATCGTCCGGGCCTGCAGGGACGGCCAGTGCGGCAACATGGAAACCGAGGCCGAGAAGAACACCACTGCATCGGCAACCAGCAATGCGATGGCGTGTGAGGGCCGGTGGAGCCAGTGGAGTGCGTGTGGGGCGGAGTGTCTGCGGATGAGGACCTTCAAGGTCACCAAGCTGCAATCCCAGGGAGGGGAGCCTTGCCCCGCAGCCGACGGCCAATTCGACGTCAGGCCGTGCAACTCGGATGCATGCGAGCCAGCCAACGGTACACCACTCTCTCGTAACACACATCCCGGCCACAACAACCTTTTTCTCTGACCATTGTTCTGTTGCTCTCGTCTCATCAGTCAAGAATTGTTACGGCGCCTTCAGCGAGTGGTCCAAGTGCATGGCGCAGCGGAACCGCACCTGCGCGCGATCTCGCGTCTACTCTGTCATCCGCCCGGCATACGGCAAGGGCACGGCCTGCCTCCACCCAGATCAGACAGTCGAACTCGACTCTGACAAATGCGAGGAGTCCGAGTGCGAGCTCAGTGATCTCAGCGACAAGCAGCAGCTGATCGAGGAGGTTGAGGGCGTCAGTGTGGGGTGCGAGGGCAAATGGGGCGAGTGGGGGCCGTGCAGCAAGCAGTGCGTCAAGGAGAGGCTGTACACTGTCACAAAGCGGCCTGAGGGGGAGGGGCGTGCGTGTGCGATTGATGCCGGGTACGTCCAGCGCGTCGGATGCCAGGGGGACCAGTGCCCAAGTAAGGGAGACATACAAACTGAGAGGGAGGGAGTAGCAGACACACATGACACCAATGACACCAATGGCCCTCCCCTCCCTCCCCTGTTTGCAGATAAGTCGTGCAACGGCACGTGGAGCGAGTGGTCAGCCTGCGGGTCTGACTGCATGCGCAACCGGACGTTCATCGTGGCGCAGCAGAGGGAGGGCGACGGCAACGAGTGCCCCCACAAACACATGGAGTCACAGCAGCAGCCCTGCTACACCGACCAGTGCTCCGAAGGCGAGTGGCCCCTACCCACACACACACATACACACATATGCCCTCCCCCCTCTCTGTTGCTGCACAGGCCTGTCCTACGCCCCAGTGGGGTGCTACGAGAAGCTGGAGCACCCCTCCGTTACTGTCGCCGTCCCCCGCCCCATCCACGACCCCTCCGTCATGACCGTCGACCTCTGCTTCTACCTCTGTTCTCACGTAAACACGCCAGCACTCTTGCAGGCGGCTTACGGCAACAACACTCTACCATCAGCAGCTGAAGAGAACGACACAGCCATCGCTCTCGCGAGTGCGCGCCCAGAGGCGGTGACGTTCCCGGGCTACCCTTTCTTTGGTCTGAGTGGGGGCAACGAGTGTGTCTGTGGGCTGATGGCGCCGCAGGGGGTCCCTGTCGATGCGGCAGGGGGCACCAACACCAACAGCAGCATGACCCTGCTGCAAAAGGACGAGGGCGTGCGTTCGGATGCCAACAAGATCGACCACCGTGTGCGTGTGTTGGGTGAGGGGGATGAGGAGCCCACTCTGGTGCTCGACGGCCTTAGCGCGGGCCCGACGGTCACCAGAAGTGACAATGCCGGTGGTCAGTGCTCGACGGCGTGTGAGGGCGACAGGGAGCAGTCGTGTGGGGGGCCCTCACACGTGCAGATGTACCAGAGGAGTGAGCGCACACACAACACGGGCAAAAAGATCTGGGATCTGGGATTGCACTTTGATGACGTGTGATGATGCAGACGTCGATTGCCGTGGCACCTGGTCGATGTGGGAGCCCTGTGACGAGACCTGCACCAAACACCGGACCTACACCATCACAAGGACCCCACAGAACGACGGCACGCCCTGCAAGCGCCAGTCGGGGTTCGTCCAGTCCATTGCCTGCAACCTCCACCTCTGCACCAAACAGCAGACCGAGAACCAACAGATCGTCGCGCAAAAGGCAAAGGACAAGGACAAGGAAAAGGCCAACAAAGACAACGATAAAGAGGCGGCCAACAGCACCACAGCGGCAGCAGGGGCAGAAGCAGCAGCTGGTGCTTCGTCAAGCGGCGATCCGTATGTGTGCGGCGACCCCGAGTATGGGGAGTGGTCCAAGTGCAGCGCCGAGTGCGAGAGGTGGCGGGAAAAGACGGTGCGGCGGGCCACCAAAAGGGGCGGGTACGATTGCGACAAGGGGCCGCTGGATGAGGTCACAACGAAGGTCACCGAGAAATGCACCGGCGACATGTGCCTGCCAAGTGAGTCCCCCGCGGCTCCCCCCTCCCAAAGCACATTGCTTCTTTCATCTCTCTCTCTCTCTCTCTGTGTGTGTGTGGTGGCAGCCATTGACTGCAAGGGCGTGTGGGGGGCTTGGTCCGTCTGCGATGACAACTGCCTCCGGCGGCGGACGTACCAGGTGCTCACGGAAGCACAGGGAGGGGGCAGGAAGTGCCTCCACGACGACGGCGAAACCAAGGCAGAGATATGCACAGAGGGACAGGACTCTTCATGTGGAGGGGCAGGTGCGAACGAGGGAGGGATGGATGGATCAATGCCAAGGCGACACACCTGAAGGGATTCCCGTCTGTCTGTCTGCCTGTCTGTGTGTGTGTCTGTCTGTGTGCAGCTGAGTGTGAGGGCAGATGGGGCAAGTGGGGCGAGTGCGACAGCCAATGCAGGAGGACACGCAGATTCATGTAAGCGCAGCGATATACACACACACTATTGGCCTCCCTCGCCCTCTTGTCATTGCGTTCTCTCTGCAGAGTGGAGGGGAACTGCCCCTCCGAGAAGCAGACTGACCAAATGCAGGTGTCCACCTGCCCGCCAGACATGTGTCAAAGCACCAAGCCATCATCGGGTGACCAGTTCCTCCCGAAGAGCAGCCAGGAGGGCTCTGTCACTGTCGACCTCACACTCAACGTCCAATACGGAGAGGTCAGTCGGTGAAGACACTCTCGACCCACCGCACTTCTCTCTCCCCCTTCTCTCTCTTTGTTTGTTCAGGTGGCCGATGTGGCCACTGTGTTCACAGACACCCTGTCGAATCGCCTCAGTCAACTGACTGAGGTGCCGCGGGAGCGTCTGTCCGTCGACATGGCCACCCCGCCCCTCTCAGAGGACAACGAGAAGGACAACGTGACGGTCGAGGTGGTCATTGCCAAGGGAGACCAGCCCTCTGCAGCCGATGTGCTGGCCAGGCTGCGGGAGAGATACACCGAGCGGCTGAGGATGGGCCGGTTTGGCAACGACGTGCGCATCATCGGGTTGGATGGAAAGGTGCAGGCCGCCCCTGCTGCAGGTGAGCAGAGATTGGGAGGGAGGGCGGTGGGCTGGATGTGATGTGATGTGGCCTGGCTGCCAAATGTGCTGATTGATGTCTTGTGTCTGCCAGCAGCGGTGGAGGAACCATTAGGCCCTGGCGATGGCGGCGATTCGCCCGTGCTGCCGATCGGCCTGCCAGTGATATTCGGTAGGGCCAGCCAGCGGAGCACAGCTACTCGGCGACCAGCACCCACCATGTTATGTTGTCTGGTGTTCCCCTTTCAGCTTTCATCATCATGGTCGCCCTGATCTGTGGAGGCTGGTGCATGTGCCGCCGGTGCAAAGGCAAGGCGCGTCTGCTGCAGTCCGCCGACGACTCATCATCCTCCAAGGCCTCACACAGCAGCTGGGTGCAGACCAGAAGCACCACTGGATCGACATCGGCCTCTTCGCGGGCCACGTCGAGAAAGGTCAGAAATGCGGCCTTATTGGAGACAGACGTGGTGGAATGATCCATCCATGTGTGTGTCTCCCAGGCTGACATGAAGTCTAGCAGGGCGCCCCGGACTGGCCGGGGCTTTGGCTATGATGGCATGAAGGTGAGCGGCTTAACATCCGCCACACGCACAGCCCGACGAGAGACACTGTGTGTGTGTCCATGAGTGTCAGGACGAAGCTGAGGATATGGGTGGCGACATATCGCTGGGCGTGGCGCCCACCCCGACGAGCCAGACGCCCAGCAGCCGGTCGGTGGTGCCCGATGACGCCACGCCGTCCCAGTTGAGGTCGCCCAACCCCACTGTGCTGGGACGCTCAGCGTGAGCATGCCAGTAGTCGATGGACGGGGTCCATTTAGCTGCGTGTTGCTATGGTATCTGTGTTATCTGTGTGGCTAATTCACTGTGTGTATGTGTGGGTGAGTCGGCGGTTTGTTTATCTGTGTGCGTGTCCACTTGTGCCTATCTGCCTTTCGTGTGACGAGAGAGAGCATCGCATGGCGTCGGTCTTTATCTAACTGAGATGGCCAGCTAGCGTAGCGTGATTCATGAAGGGCGTCGTGATGCCTGAGGGCATGCAGCCGTCCATCTGCTTCGACCCGTCGCCTTTGTCTGTACGTGTGTTTTTGTGTGTGTGTGTGGGTTTATGGGTGTGATGTGCCGTGTGTAATTAATTGGGGTGAGGCTGTAGATATGGGTGGAGGGCTGTAAGTAGGGTGGGGAGCTGGTGGCCTTGTCTTTCTCTGCTGATGTGATCGCACGAACTCGGCTGCTGCCGTGTCTATCGCATGGATGGATCACCGCTGTCTGTCTGTATACACACATCGATGGAACATGTCTCTGAGGAAACGAGGGACCTCGCTCAAGGAGGGCGCAATGGAGAAAATCGTGTTGAGTGGCGACTCCCAACGCAATGTGCATACAAGACATCGACTTCATCACCCACGGCAGCCGACATGAATGGCGTGGTGCCATGCTGAAATCAACACACGCACACAGAATCGACACACCGAGGCGTCAGAGACATGTGTGAGCTCTCTTTTCTGCAATTGAAACTGACGTTGGTGCGTGCGTCGATCAGTTTGGGATCCCACTTTATCAACTTATTGACCGCAGCAACATGGCCCCCCCTGCTATGCATATTGGAATCTTTTCTAAGAGGGATGGGCGCATGACTCGAGGCGAATGATGGACACGGAGCAGCAATCGCGTTGAATCGATCCCGAGTCGCTCACAGTCATCCAAACAGAATACATGCATGTAGCTGCATTGCAGCCATCATCCAGCCATCCAGCCATCCAGCCAGCTAGCCAGCCAGCCATTCATCCATCCAGCCATCAGTCCTAGCCTCACGATCGACCGATCGACAAATACAGACTTGCGCAACACACACACACACATACACAATACCAAAATACATACACGACTTCCCGCCAGCCCCATGCCCCTCTCCCCCTCCCTCCCCCAAGTCGCGTTGCCTCGCTCTCCTCCCCTTTCCACCGGCCGGCGGCGCAGCCCCCCCCTACACCCATAGGGAGCCACACAGCAGACCAACAGGCCAGAGAAGCTCTCAGGCCGCACCGAGCCCCGCTGTAGGGGGTTTGACGGTGCAGCCATCATCCGCGGCAAGGCAAGCGAAGATGGGGGCAGGAGGGCGGAGGGGGAGACGGCGTCAGGGCTACCTCTCTCTTTCGATTGTTCACTGTGGGGGCGGCGCACGAGCGATGACCTGGTCGATGTCCGGAATGAGCGACCTAACAGTTGGGAATGGCAACGTGACAGAGAGAGAGGTTCGTGACATCAACGGTGGTCGCTTCACTTACTTAGGCATGACTTCGGGCCCGTAGTACTTCACGACATGGCCGTCCTGGTCCACCAAAAACTTCCCTGGTAATTGACGACCAACAGACGCAGGAGCGTCTGTCTCGTCTCGTCTCGTGTGTGTCAATCGCTGTCGTTTCTGTCTGTCCTTGTTTCTGGTGACTGACCGAAGTTCCACGAGATCGGACTGGCCGCATTGGACTGGTCGTCATAGAGGCTGGAGTGGTACTTGAGGAACGAGAACACCGGATGCATATTCGGGCCGTTCACTGCACCCACACCGACAAGGCAACACCCACCCATGCAACGAGATCGACCAATGGCCTGAATGGCCTGGCGAGTAACCCGACACGACCGACGCACCGTCGATTTTCTCCATCATTCTGACGTTGTATTTCTCAGGGATGTTGTAGGCCGCGACGAATTTCTTGATGTCGGCCGCGTCCGGGAACTCCTGCCAGCCGAATGTCAGTCACCACACCACGTGCAGCCTGGCAGCCTGCAGCCTGCCTACCTACCTACCTACCTCGTTGGCAAACTGAGCGCACGGGAAAGCGAATATCTCGAAGCCGCCCTCCTCCTCCCCTCCCTTGAAGCGGTCCTGATACTGCTGCCAGATCTCCGTGAATTGGGTGTAGTGGGTCTGAAGCCATCCACCCAGACAGACAGACAGACAGGCGGTGGGTGAAGAATACCGCTTGAAGGGCCTCTTGTGTGGTGTGGTGTTGTTGTCACCTCGGTGAGGCCTCATTTGGATGCCACGTTGGTGACGAGCAGGACCTTGCCCGCATAGTCCTTGAAGTTGACCGTGGCCCTGCGTGTCGTAGACATTCCCACACACGCACACAGACACACAGACACACAGACACACAGACACACAGACACACGACATGAATCACTTCCTCGCCTGCTGTGCGGCGCTGTTGCTCTTGTACTGTACTCACCCGTCGAGTGCCTTGGCACTGAGCTCGTGAAGGCTCTTGCTGGACGACTTCAGTGACTGCATACCTCGTAGTCTCCTCGTTTGTTGAGTATGCCCTTGCCCTCTCGTATCGACAAGGCAAGGTCTGGGCGAAAAGCTGGTCCCCTCCCCACAGCAAATGTGCGCTAAGCTCGCAACCAGCCGTCTCGCCCCGGGTGCTCCCTGAAACCGCTGCTGCCGTCTCGCCCCCTCCCCGTCGGGGCGCCCCTGCGTCGCCTTTCAAGCGCTTCCGTCGCCGCGCATTGGCATCAGCCCCAGCAAGAGATGGTGGGGTGTGGGACGCGTGGTTGGCCCTTTTGAGTGGTGCGCATGTTCATGACTGTCCTCGACAGGCTGACGAGTATGAGGTTGTTGAGGCCTTGTTCAAGGCCGCGGAAAAGGGCGAGTGTGCGTCTGTCACCCAAATGATCAAAACTCACGGTGTAGCAATACTGGACAAACGAAACGACAGCGGGGTGAGCAGACGAAAGAAAGGAGGGATTGTCTCGTCACTTTCATTTTGTTGGCTGCGCGTAGAACACACCCTTTCTTGCAGCGCTTGATGAGGTCGGTGCCATGCAAGTCATGTACGACGCGTATGGGCCGTCGATTCTGAAGCAAACAGACAAGGTGCCAACACAAAGGAACCATCCTCTGTCCTGCTACTGAAATGAAGAGATGTGTTGGTTGTGATACAATGCAACAGCTTGGTCGGACCGCAATGCACGAGGCTGCACTCCTTGGCAAGCTTGCAGCTGTCAATCAACTGCTGGAGTGGGATCCCAAACTGATCGATGCACGCGATATTGTAAGAGAAAAGTGCACGTGTCTCTTGACTCCTTTTTGGTATCGATATTGTGTGCATGTCTGTCTGTGGATTGCAGACTGATACCGCTAAGAGGCGAACGTTAACGCACAGACCTTTGCGTGCAGCTTGATTCGACTGAATGGACGTGTGAGCGGTTGTGAAGCACGTCAACCGATAGATCTACATCTGATAGGAGGATATCCATTTCTGGCATTCCTTCTGAATCGTCTCCCCCTTCCGTCTCTTCCCTCTCCCCCTCCCCTTCCCCCTTCCCCTTCCTGGTCGTGTCCCTTCGGTTCGTCCCCCTTTCCCGTTCCCTTCCGGCACCCTGTCGGCTTCCCCAACCATGAGCCACGCCCCCTCCCGCTTCGTGGACGTCCTTCGCGACATCGGCGCCGGCGACCAGTCGGCTCCGTCCCGTACACGCTCCCACACGGATCGTGACACGGAGGTCCGCTTTGTCGATGACCCGCTCAACCCTCACGGCATTGCCGCCCACAATCAAGGCCGCTTCAAGGCATGTTTTTATACTACCGAGGGGATCGTGCGGGTCATCCGGAACGGGAACATGAAGTACATCATGGTGAAGAACGACCAAACCGACGGCATCCGACACCTCAGCGAGAAGGACGCCTTCCTCACACTCGGCCACCCCGACAGCCACATACGCGGCGTCACCGTCAAGACGCTCCTCGTCGTGGGGACGGCGTTGAAGCTGCTGTGCGACAAGCACAACTCGCAGCCCCACCGGAGCATCCTCAATGACATCGCCGCCGCTAAGCCATTCGTCAGCAACCCCAACCTACGTAGTGTACAGCGCACAGACCTCGAGCAGCAAATCAGCCTCCTCCTGTAAGGCGTCAACGGTGTCGTGAGTTTCGTCATCAATGAGACCAACCCACAGAAGGTGGCGGACGCTATCGCCGCCCTCCCCCGCCTCCTCGAGGACTATCACCAGACCAACACCCATCGAGGCCGCAAACGCACAGCCCCCTCGTCTGCAGCAGCAGCTGCTGCTTCTGCTGTCGACACCCACATGCCCACCGCCGACGATACTCAGCCCACCAACGACGAGGACATCAATGACAGCGGTAGCATCATAGAGATCGACATCGACGCCGCCATCCCCAACAGAGCACTCGTCAATATGAGCGCGCTCACTTCTCGAGCTGCACTCGCCCGCCGCATCCGCGATCTGCCGGACACATTCGACATCTACAAGGGAGACGTCGACAAACCCACTGGCATCACCATCATGATGTCCAGCGAGGAGTGCGACATCGACACGGTATTTGACAATGAGGACGACATGGGGGAAGCCTGGGGCCACGCCAGACGTCTCGTTCGTGCCGTCGAGTCGCTGGGTGCTAGTATGGCTGACATGGTGTAGACGCTATTGCTGACGTGAGGCAAGCGCATCAGCGCCAATGCGGTGGGCCTGTCGCCGCGCCAGATTCTCTGGTATGTGGCCATCAACTACACCAAACGCCGCCTCCGACCGAAACGCGACTAAAGTAAGACGCCACTGCGTCTCGCGCCGTAGTGGCATACACGAACAATACCTGTGTTGCCCCCCTTTCTGTTCCCTATCGGTACTGTGCCTTCGGATACTGTCTCGTGCAGGAGTGCTGTATTGTCTTCTGACTCTGTACGGTCGCGCGATGAGGTAGAAAGTACACACATCCATCGACACTGTGCCAACACCTGTTCTCACTGTCTCGTTTGTCAATGTACGCATATGGATACACATATGTATGAATCTCGTGTTGCACTACATGTCTCGAAAGCTGCTTTGGAACGTGTTGTGTTTGTGTGTGAGTCGTCTGTAGGTCATCTTGTATCGTCACATCACTTTTTCCGATTTGTGCGGTTCCTCACTCGTATACATCACCTCCTGCACTACCTGCGTACACACAATCGCTGCTCATACTGTAAAAGCACATGGCGTATGTGTCGATGTGACATACTTTTTGTTGTGCAGCCGGGAGATGCGGAGCACTTTCGGACGGTCCACTGCGACGGTCTGCGAGACTTTGCATCTCCTTGCTCCATCCATTGCGTCACGCCATCTGTGCTTAAGGCCCTGTCGGATCGTTTGCATGCTGTACACACAACTGCTATGGCTGAGCTCGTCAGTAAGACCCCTACACACTTTCTCTCTAAGATACGAGCATTCAGAGCGCGCCTCAGTGAGCTCTTTATGCCCGCCTCCTCACGTATGTGCCACGGGCTATCCTTTGTTGTTTCTCCATGGACACGCCACACTTATCTGGGCTTCACGGGTTGGGGCATTCTTTTTCAATGGCCTGAACACATTGCAAAGGCATTTCCTGCCTGCGCGACCTACCACGCTCCCAAACTCATCTCTATTCTACCCTGTCGCGTACTGATGTGTGTGCATATGGATGTATTCCTTTGTGTTCGTTCGATGGTCTGCGATTGTCGGTGCGTCAGATGAAGTCTGTTGAGCTGCAAGCCATTCATATTTTTCAACCATCACTCAACTCCCACCGCAGCTCGTCGTCTCGAACCCACCTCTCTGTGTTGCATCGTCCGTATCGTAGTATGCCAGGCTGTCGTCCTGTGCGTCGTCTGCATGTCAAATATGTGTCTGTCGCTGTGCCTGTCATGTCATCTTATCCGTGATTTTACCCCACTACACCTACACCTAATAAGTTGCATACAGTACTTACTGCTGACAAAGTGTCGCATACTACACTTCTCGCTACTGCCGCTCTCCTTGCACGTCGACCTCGGCTATTCGATACATTGCTTGCTGCTGTTCGTGCATTGAATGATCGTGATCGCTGTTGTTTGTATGTCTCTGCTCTGCGGACATTGTCTAGTGTGCATTAAGAATGCTTCCATGCTGCGTATCGCCGAGCTGTCACCACACGTGTCAACCTGCGAGTCTGGCGGCCGCGACTTTTTCATCGTGTCTACGTCCCACTCATGCTTAATGATATGCCGGTGTTTCGTGCTGCTGCCATTGATGCTACACGAGAGATGTTTCGCCACTTACCATCAGATTCGATGTGTCATATCGAAGCAACCTTTGTCTTCTCTTCATATCCCTCATTAACGTCACTTTACTACAATGCTAAGCGTGTTGCGTCTCTGCCCATGCATGAGGTGTCATGTCCGTGTACATTGCATGTGTTTGATGATTGGCCCAAGATGAATGGGCATGTGTGTGTGTTGTTGAGTGATCCATTTATGCGTGCGTTGCTTTGCCTTTCTGACCATTGGAATAGAAATAGCACACTGCTACCTACTTTTTCATCTGTGAAACGTCAATTTGTTCGCACGGTGGTGCGTGTCTTTCCTCGTGTGTCACACCCAGAGCCCTACACCCCTGTTATCGAAGAGTGCGTCGATTCTTTTTTGAAGCCGGCTTATGATAAGTTAGTTGAGTCACAGCAATACGTACGTATGCATGTTGTAATGCGTCATGCGTCTCTGCTGCGTCGTTTGGTGTGTACACCAGTAGACAAGAGTAAGGGATGTCTTGCATGGATGTGTCCGCTTAAGTACATGGAAGCTAATTGGTGTCTGCACTTAGGCAATCCATCGTATGTTATCCCGCTACAAAACGATGACGTGATTCATACTGACTTTCTCAATCTGCCTTCGTTTCTCAATGGCCCACGCCCAGCAGCACCTCGGCGCACTCACGTGTGGGGTACTACTGTGCTGTGGCCAAAGATGAAGTCATTTTGTGCGAATGTGAGCGAATGGTCTGCAATGAAATGACGGCCTCTCAACTCATACTTCCGCCACCGTTTTGCACGCATATATGCCGATGTAGGACGTGTGTTGAGTATGTGGAATGATTGGATGCCTGACCATTTCTCGTTTATGCGTGTGTCTTCTCTGTTCGATGCACTGGCTCGCCACAATCGATTCATACATGGCCATGCTGTCGTGTCGAATGCCATTCCGTCCTCGCCCACTGTACACATCCATGACATCGGTAACTTCTACCGCAGCTGCCCATGTGATGATGCGATTCGTGCGCTGTATTCTTTATACTACTTTCTAAAGGACCAACACGCTACAAGTTCGTCAATGTACCTCGTCGACGACCCTGGCCTGTGTTGCATGCGTCTGCTTGTTTGTATCCGTCTATGTATGGCTGTGATCGTCGGTCTGTCTCCACCCGCCACAAGCCTTTTTTCACTACAAACTGCAACTATGTGTCGTGTCGTACATATACCATAAAGGATGTCATTCGTGTGGTTGAGCATGATCTTCTCTACGGTTACACACGCCTGAGTGGTCTGTTGCTGTACCAGTGTGAGGGTTTCCCTCAGGGCAGTCAGCTCAGTCCAGGGCTGGCGAACATATTTGCTGCTGGTCGTGAGAGAGAATTCATTCATGGCCTGTCAGTGCATGAGAAGGAAGCCTTTCGTTTCTGCTTCGTACGTCGCTGAATGGATGATCGGCTGTTTGTCTCCCCACCCCTCACTTGTGTGCCGTCACGTCTGCATGGAGCATTGTGTCGTGTGCATGATCGTCTGCTGTCCCCCACTTTCTATCATGACAAATGTGTGTTGGAGAAGGATAAGTCAGGAGTGTATGTTGGATGCACGGTACACATTCGCGCCACTAACGTGCTGCTCTCGCAGCACAACCCCAATGCCCTGGCACTGACTGCTGCCTGTCCTGTCTTGCCCTTCATTCGTTAAGTACACTCTCGCTCTGCTATGTCTCGTGGGCGCAAAGCCAATGTCGTCTATGGCCATCTGCTGCGTGTGCTTGACTTCACGATGCGTGAGTGCAATGACCAGGTACCTGCCACTTTGAAGCTGTGCATGCGGGAAATGGGTTTCTTTGGCTATTCCCAGCACTTTCTACATAGGCAGCTCCATCGTATTACCCGTTATTTTCCATCGTTGCTGTCTGCTGCTGATCTGACGTAATGGTGCTGCTCTCTAGCTCCTTTGTTTCGTCGTGTCACCGCATCTCGCGAGACTAATACCGCTGCGGTTTGCTGCATGTCGATCTATCTACAGTGCATCGTGTACCGCCAAGAGGCGACCGTTAACGCACAGACCTTTGCGTGCAGCTTGATTTGACTGAATGGACGTGTGAGCGGTTGTAAAGCACGTCAACCGATAGATCTACACTGGTCAGACGCCGTTTATTGCTGCGAATTATTGGGTTGATGTGCTGAAAGCCATGTATGCCAAAGGGCACGACAAGCAGAACATCCTCACACACCAGACCGAGGTGAGAAGCAGATTCCCTTCTCGCAGTCCTTCCTTGACGGCCCTGCTCTGAGCATCACACACACAGGTCGGAGAGACAGTGCTGCACGAGGCTGTCAAGAACAGCGGACGCGATTCGGTGGCTCAGCTGTAAGCGGCACTAATGAACAACCCAAACCAACCATTATGTAGTCTCTCTCTCCTCACCCTCTGTGCCCAAATGCAGCTTGGAGTGGGGCGTTGAGGCCGGGGTCAATCTCCTCGACATCAAGAACGACGAAACAAGTGCACACAGACTTGTGAATGGTCGAATGATTCAGTGACGCATTTGAATTTGGCAGGGAAAAACGCCGTGGGATTTGGCGGCTGGGAAGCCGAAAATCAGAGAGATCATGGAAAAATACAAGCAGCAAACAGGTCTGTCTGTCTTCACATGCTGATCTGGCACATCATTGCATCCAATGCTGTGTGCGTTGCAGTGCCATCTGGCCAGAATGCATCAGGACAGGCACCGGCACCGCCGATGAAATACGTGAGAGGGCACCTGCTCATCACACACGACCCACTTGCTTTGGCTTTGTGTTCGTAGACGACGAAAAAGGGCGATAAGCAGTCCGTCATGGCGGCGGCTCTCCGCCTGCGCATCGATCGGCAAAACATCAGATTCAGCGAGGCAGACAGACTCGGTGAGCCAGAGGCCATCGCATGCCCACATCTGGTCAATTGAATGTGTGCGTCTGTCAAGGAGCCGGAGGCTTTGGCACGGTTTACAAGGGGCTGTGGAAAGGTCAGCCGGTGGCTATCAAGGTCGTCAATGAGGAGGACAGGAAAATCATACCCATCCACGTCGGCACGGCAGCTCGATCCACGGACCAACGAATAGATACGACATGTTTTCATACAGGTTCTCTATGACGACGTCTTGAAGGAGGTGGAGCCGATGTTGCATATCAGGCACCCCTATGTCATCACCTTTCTGGGCATCTGCTCTCACGAAACTTACGGACCCATGATCATATCAGGTGGGTGGGTTGTCCATGTGCTCGTTACCCTCTGACTTTTCTTGCCTGGTGGTTGCTTTCGTGTGTCTCAGAGTTGTGCGAGGGTGGCTCACTGCAGTCGTTTCTCGAGAGGACGAAGGGTCCTCTGCCGGCCAATCTCCGCGACAAGTTTGCGAAACAGGTAAGTAGCTAATACGGGCACAGAGGGCTGAATCAGAGCACCCGTTCATCTGTCGTCGGATAGATTTGTGAGGGCGTGCAGTCATTTCACGACAAGAATATAGTACATCGTGACTTGAAGCCCGGCAACATACTTGTAAGTTGCAAGACTGCAACGTCCATTCGCACCCATTTCTTTATTGTGCAGGTGACCAAGGGAGAAGACATCAAGATTACCGATTTCGGGCTCGTCATCGATCTCAACAGAACAGTGTCGGCTCAAGGCGGTGACAGACAAACGAGAAGAAGACGCTGCCGCCGCGAGTCAGGCTAGGTGTCCATGTGCACAATTGCGTGTGCAGGAGCGGGCACAAGGCTTTACATGGCGCCCGAAGCGTTTGGTTTGAATGGTGAGCCATGTTTAGGGGTGAGCAATCGTCAACTTGTTACTCTTTGGTAGCTGAGAATCTGACGACCCCTCATGGCCATGAGCACCCCCGCCATCCATCCAGGCCTTGATCATGTCCGCCTTGGCCTTGCGCTGCTCGCGCTCCTCACCAGCGGCCGCATACTGATGCACACGCACACACACAGAGAGAGAAACGAGTGCTGCTGGTTCAGTCCTTTGCTTGGGTGTGAGTGGATGCAGTTGGCCAATTTGCTCACCTCGGCGGGCGACAGGCTATCCTCCGATTTGTACTTGCCGACCACGTACTTGCTCTGCGCACACACACACATACACACACACACACAGACCACCACGTGTGTGTGTAGGTGTCTGTGTGTGTGACAAACAGGTCTGCGTACCTTTGCGTGCTGGCGGTAGAAATTGTTGTATCCGCCATCGAAGATGAATACCTTCGAGTACGAGAAACCCTACACACACACACACAGACATTCATGAGGGTGTCTGTGTGTCACTGGCACACATGTCATCGTGAACACGTGTGTGTCTGACCATGCATGAAGGAACTGTTCGGCTAGGCCCTCGAGCCTTCGAGTACTCGCAGTGGAAAACTATCACCTGTTGCCGACACACACACACACAAACGCGCAGACAGATGCATCGATGGACATACATACACACTGGTCTCTCCCATCCATCCATCGGTCGGTCGGTCGCTTACGTGCTCGTTGGTGTACTTGGGCTGTCCGTTGGGCTTCCACAGCGCCTCCTTGACCACGTCGATCGACTTGCCGTGCAGCGCACCCCGAATGTGCCCACCTGCATACACACCACCAGACCGACACACATCGATGAGCGAGCACTCACACAGGCACATCTTTTGTGCGTGAGTGTGTGTGTGCGTGTGTGTGTGTGAGCCCACCATTGAACTCGGCCCCGTATCGGCAGTCCACGATGGTCACAGTCTTGGCACCGAAGTTCCTGTCCATCACACTCTTCAACTGCATGATACACACAAGACAAGACAAGACAAGACAAGACAAGACAACACAACACAACACAACATTCACTGCAGCCCGCCCTCCCTCCCTCCCTCCCTCTCTGGCGGCCTGTGTTGTGGTGCTCCGGGAGTGGTGGTTGTGGTGCTTGGAGGCTCTCTCGGTAACCAAAGGAAGGCTGCATGATGAGACACATATCCTCATGTAGGCTTTCTCTGTGTCTAAGGCCTTGGAAACGGCTGTTGACTGTGCCTCGGGCTTCTGCCAAACAAGACAAAACAAAACAGATGCAAAATGAATGCAACGGGCCGTGTCAAAGTGCGTGGCTCACCGATGGGCGACTTACATGATGTGACGTGGCCCAGTTTGGCAGAGCCCGTTGCAATCATGCTCCTCAACAGCAGCAGCCGTCTTGGGCGTCGGCACGTCCACTGGCGGCTTGGCCTCTTCGCCGGGCGGCGGTAGGCCTTGGTGGGACGACACCTCGCGAGGTGTCGTCTTGGGCAGGGGCAGGTGCGGACCCGCGCCGTTGATGGGCGATTTGGAGCTGACCTTGTTCTTGCGATTCTTGCGCTTCTTCTTCTCTTGCCGCCCCCCTCGGTCTCGCTGTCTGCCTGGTCGCTCTCGATGAAGACGGAGAATGATTCAAGTTAACGTTGTGATTTCGTCCAGGGGTGGGCTCTCCACACCATCGCTGCGCTATGAAGTGTGTGTGTTCCTCTTTTGAAAAGCGAGGATAGACCGAAAACAACGGTAGGGTTTGCGGGGTTTGATTGTCTCGGCGAGAAATCTCGCCTCCCTCGTATACCTTAATGGCGTCAGAGTCCGCCAGTGCGTCCGCCCGCAGCCCCGCTGAATGCCAGCGGCTGGCATGCACTTAACGGCGGGGAAAATCTCACGAGGCAGAAGGCTGCACTTGAAGGTAGGGACCCTCCTGCACGATTCGTGTGTATCTGCGCACGGCATCGCCCTGATTTATCAAAGTGTCCGACTGCCGACCCACACAACACGCCACAACACACGCCACAACACACATACATACATCCTCCATACATCCGTGTGCCCATGCATGGCACACCGATCCACAACGAATAAAAACAGCCCCATCAAAGTAACGAACGGCGCTAGCCAGCTGCCCATACACCCACACACTACTGAGAGAGATGAAAATGAGTTCACAAATAAACACCGAAACACACCCAGCCATACAGGAAGCGCATCCTGGCGGCTGGCTGCTCAGGCGGTGTAGTAAACGTCCAGCCATTTCTTGACCAGCGACTCCACCAACATCCTGTGCACATACGCGGCAACACACAGCAGAGGCAGAGAGCCGCAGATAGATGGCAACACCGAGACCCTCAGCTCTTTGCTTCCTCTCTCTGCCTCACTTTGGCACGGTCTTGGCCGATCCGTAGATAGCGGCGGTTCCCTTGGCGTACGCCTTCGGGTCACTCTTCTGCACACACACACACACACACACAAACAGAGAGAGAGAGAGAGAGCATTGCATGTGTGTGTATCATTTGAGCTGCTGCTTCGTCTCATCTTCCTGACCACTTGTTCGACGGCCTCTGCCAGGTCGTCGAGGAAGCGACGACTGCCGCCATTGGCGACGGGCAGCGTTACAGCTAGGTGAACCTACACACACATGACAGGAAGCGCGTCAGTTACGGTCACAGGCATGCTCGCGCTCGCCCTGTCCTTACTGCGTCAGGCTTCTGCAGGAGGTTCAGCTTCCACCCTCGGTCGCCCATGGCCTCGCCAATCTGACGCACACACACACACACACAGACACGCACTCAGAAGACCTCTTTCAGCATCCGGTGCTCTCCTCACAGGCAGTGTGGGCAGGTTGGGGTTGGTCGATCGGAACGCCACCACACAGGTGTCGCCGTGACCGATAACCTGACCAGGAGGACAAACAAGAAATCAGACTGACATGGGTGGCTGTGCGTCGCTGTGTGGGTGGTGTGGACCTCCAGATCGGGCATTTTGTCGATGCCGGCCGCCAGCTCGCGAGTGAAGTTGACAACCTTCTTGGTCGCAGCCACATAGCCTACACACCAAAGGCCACACACGAGAGGAAATGGGTCTGCAAGTCCTGTCTGCGCGGCGAGGGTGATTGGTACCTTGTTTGCCCGTGTACATCATGGCTGCCCATGTGGCTGCGATGAGACCGCCAGGCCTGCTGCCCGCCACGCTGTGCGACGCGTACATGCCGCCCATCCAGTCGACCGTCGTGAAATACTGCACCACACACAAATATTTGCATTGCACCCATCCATCCATCTATCCTTGCATTCATCACCTGGTATGCCCTCAGTTCAGGGGACCGGTAGAGCAACACGGAGGTGCCTTTCGGCGCAAAGCCAAACTTGTGTGTGTCGCACGACAGAGACGTCACCCCGGGCACACGGAAGTCGAAGGCCGGCATGTCGAAGCCGCTGCTCTCCATGCAGGCTACCACAAAGCTCCCCAGACAGGCGTCGACGTGGCATGGGATCCTCCTCGTGCGCGCGATGGACGCGATGTGCTGGACGGGGTCGAGTGTGCCGTGTGGCCAGGAGGGGCATGACGCGACGATGGCCACCGTGTTTGGGGTGATGGCACCGATGAGCTGAACACACAACAGCACGAGAATGGCATGAAGGAGGGATCGAGGGTGTTCGTGTGATGCGGTTATTCTCACATCACCCACCCGCGATAGGTCGATGGTGCCTGAGGGCATGTTGACGGGTATCTTCGTGATGCGCATCTTGAAGTAGGCGGCGGCCTTGTCGAACGCGGGGTGGGCCGTGGCGGGCACGATGATCTGTGGCGTGATGATGCCGCGCTCGGCCCGGCCCCACTCACGATACGCACGCATCGCCATCATGATGCTCTCCGTCCCACCGCTGAATGGGTGATTGACATACACAGACAACATGACAGAGAATGTCGGTTGTATGGAGATTTTCTGTCACTCAAATATGTACCTCGTGACACATCCGCAAGTCTGTTCGTCGCCGTTGAACAGGTCAGCCACCATAGACACAACCTCTGAACACACACGCCGGCAAAGAGATAGCACGGGACTCTCGCCATCTTTGTCGTCGTCTTGCCACTCACCTGCCTCCATCTGCCTTGTGAACGGGAAGATATCTGGGTGCAGGGGGTTGCTGAGGCTGAATCGCTTGTACACCTCCCCAATAAGGTCCATGAGGTCGTCCTGCCCCGAGTAGACGGCCCCGCTGGCCTTACCCTCACGCCACTCCCTCTTCTCCAGCTCACTCCACTGACCCACTCGGTCCAGAATCAGATCCGCATCCCAACCCTGTTTGGCAAACAGACATCCCACAATGCACAGTGCATGAACAGCTCAAGTCAATGGGTTGTCACCTACCGCTTCGGGCAGTTCGGTGGTGCGTGTGGTCCTGCACTTGAGCAGCGACTTCCTGATGTCGTCCTCGGCCTCTTGAGTCTTCTTGGCGACGATCTCCCTCACAACCGGCACATACGGCAGCAGCCTCGCCCACTTGGCGTTCACGACGACGTCAACAATGCTCTCGCCGATCCGCATGAGCCAGTACAGGACGGCCACTCCTGTGAGGAAGAGGATGCCCGTGTCCATAGCGTCCATGTGGCGGAGAGATCTGTCGAGTGTGGCCCGCAGGGCGCCGATTTCCGAGGTGATGGTGGTGTAGTAGGGGTTGCTGAACGATGGGATGGCTTTGCGGCCGTGGAAAGATTGGTAGAGGTAGTAGATGAGGCATCCCCACAGGCAGTACTGGATGAGAGATGCCAGGCGGTCAGACAAAGATGGACGCAGGTATGCTACAGCTGATGAGATCATCGATTCAGTGAGCCCGTTTGCTGCGGTTTCAGGGAGCACCCTAGGCGGCCTGGCGGAAGTCATTCATTCATTCATTCATCCACTCATGCATCCCAACACGCACCCCAACATGCATCCCGGACACGCAACACGCAGCCCGTTTGAGTCTGCGAGCCAGAGAGTTCGCTTTCACAGAAGCATGGGAAGGCAGGCAATCACAGTAACACACGCGCACCACACGACATCAATGATAGTAGCACAGGGGAGACAAACCGAGAGAGTTTAGAGAAAGGGGGGAGCGGGTTTACCCGGCTGCCGAATCGCCACTGCAAAATGCAAGTGAGCGACACGCGGCAACAGCAGACGGACAAACTGAAGAACAGACAGGCAGACGACTCAATACACAAACCAAAAAGACACGACGTATGTACGCTACGCTATTGTCTGTACACGTACCGTGTTCATTGTGCGTGCCTTCCTTCCTTTCCTTCCTTTCCTTCCTGCTGAGCTGATGGGCACCGGCACGACCACACGAACGAACGAACGAACGAACAAACGAGGAGGCAAAGAGACGACGGTATTGTACCATACTGCAAACAGCGACACGCGGACAGACAACCAGCGCAGCGCGCGCGCGTCGCAACTCGAAGCGTCAGTCAGTACGTACATATGCATGAATTATGCATGAATTGCCAGATGTGACACGCACGGGTTGTACGCACACAAGGCGCACAGACACGATACGCAAGAATCGATCGCATACGTACATACGGCTGTTGTAGCACAATCAATCAATCAATGAATCACTGGAGGGGAGGCAACGAATGAAAGGACGCCGACTCACACGCTCACAGAGACACAGAGAGGTAATGCATCACACACACATGCATTTGCTAGGCCCTATATTATATACATATTTGCTAGGGCATATACATATTTGCAATTGCTAGGCCCCTGTACATACGTAGACGCAATACATGGAATACACGACACGCAATTGGTACACGACAATCGTACACACATGTACACACACACATGTACACACACAGATGTACACACACACACATGTACACACATGTACACACACACACATGTACACAAATGTACACACACATACACACGTACACAGGTGCATACATACATGTACACAGATACGTACGTATAGCGATAGCAAGATATACACATATGAAACAAAACTGCCGCACAGGAAAATCTCATTCACACCATCCATACAGATACAACAGGTAAAGAAATCACTGTCAGGCAGCCGAAAAGCAACCCATTCTCCTCCACTTGAGACTTCAACTCAAATTCACACATAAGCCACACTACAAAAAAGGCCACAGCCATGCACACCCACAGGTGCAGGTAGGTTCGCTACATCCGCTACGAAACGAAACGTCGTGCGGGGGCGTCCCACATCGAGCGATCCCGTAGATCCCTTACAGCTGCATTGCGTCAGAGATCCACGCGACCATCACAGGTAGTCACACCGTCACTCCCTCGTGCCTTTGGCTCTTGTCGGTCTTGAGCTAGTGCTTGAAGCTGGCCACCCAGGTGGACATGCGGAACGTCGCGGAAACTCTTGCCCGAGCCGTTGTCCCCTTGCCGATCGCTAATGGCTGTGTCTTCGTCTCAGCCGGTTGCCTCTCGCCCTCCTTTCTCATCCAGACGGAGGAAAGGAGAAGCAGGCTCTTCTTGTGCACGCCCTGATGATCAGTCGCGACACGCCATTCTTACATATGCGCATGTGTGCGGTGGTGCCTTGTGCCACTGTACTTATCTCTTCTCACCGGCATGTAGTTGCAGATGTAGAATTGTCCGAAGAGCACCGCGTATGAGAAGTACATGGCCAGCGCCCCCATGGCGTTGTTGAAGTGAGAGGGCTCGCCCGTCACCTCGGGGTTCAGCAACGCTGCTATTGTGATGGACAGGCCGACAAACATCTGCACAGCACATCGAACGCATGGCATCAGTCTCCTGCTCTGAGTGTGTGTGTGTGTGTGTGGGTGGGTGGGTGCGGGTGTGTGGGTGTCGTATCCCTCCATGCGTCTCACCTGGGTGAGTTGGGCCCCCGTTATGTATGGCCTCAGTTTATGCAAAGCCCTGATCGGCAATACACGGACACATCAGTTCATGTGTGAAACTGTGTGTGTGGATGGGTGTGTGTGTGGGGCAGATGCGCACTTGTTTTTGGAGAGGAGCACCGAGAGAGCGTAGTAGAGGTACATGACGCCGTGGATGCAGAGGTTGATGAACACAAACAGGTGGGCGAACGACACACTCAGCAACTGCGCGTGCCAGCAATACAGCGCCTGAAAGACAGAAAGACCAGACGACACCACTCACTTCAAGCAGCCAGCAGCTGTGCAGGTGTTCGTGTCATCTTCCTTACCACGCTCAGGTGGTGGTAGGCGTGCAGGAACGTGATTGGTCGCTTCCGCAGCGCCAGCAGCACTGTGTCGCCGAACTCCAACGCCTTCGTCAGAGTGAACAGCGTCACCACTGCACGAGTGTTGGGCTGGTCGAACACACAGACGCATGTCACCGGACTGTGTATGGAGCCTGTCTGTCTCCTCTAAGCCCACCATGATATCCTTCTCGTGGGCAAACGGCGTCGTAATCAACCGCCAGTCGTCCAGAAGCTGCACACAGCACACAACACGATCACTAATTGTTCACGGACACCCCTCTGGCTGCTTACGATCAGCGCCGCGCCAAGAAGCGAGAACAATGATAGCGTCGCATTCCAGGCAAAAATAAAGGGCTTGATGGGCAGCGGGTCCCTCTTCCTCATCCACCGCCGCAACGAGAATACCACAGGCAGGTACACAGCCATCGACGCAAGCAAAGGCCACTTGAGCTCTGCCGCCAGCTGTGCACCGCGGCCGGGTGTCCAATACCCCTCGTTCAGGAAAGATGTCGATGTCGCCGCCATCACGGTCAAGGAGATCTTGCTTGCACACAGAGATGCCAGACAGACAGGTGGTGGTGGTGGTTTCGTTGACAGGGAAGCAGAAGACAGCCGAGTTCTCTCGAAAGGAAGGACAGCAGCACAGTTCTCGAGAAGAGATCAGATGCGGCAGTTCAATTGAAGGAAAATGTCTACCAGACAGCGCGACCGTGCTTCTCTCTCTCGCTGATAGGTCGAGGAGAACGCGCGATCCGCTGGGACAATCGCAAGGACGGGTCAAACAGGGGACAGACAGCCTCACCGAAGGCACACGCCTCCGTGAGAGATCTCCCTTCCCTCCTTCGATGGCACTCGTAGCTGCGAGCTTTGTTGCGAGCTTAAAGAAGAAGCTCGCTCTCTCAGGGAGTTTTTCCCCCTCCCGACACGTGCAAGAGCCCTTCCGCGCTGAGAACTGATGTTGCGAATTGGCGCAGCCGCATTTCCCAGCAGATGTCAGGTGCTGCTTCGGTGACGCAAAAGCACAAGAACGCGCCGCCGGGGAAGAACAAGAGCACCTGCCAGACGGCGCGAGGCATTCAGGACCATAGATTGGCCTACTCACCAAGCGAAAAGTGAGGAAAAGAGAGAGGGCCCGGTAAGGAGGGATGGAGAGAGCTGATGCTGTGCTTTTCGGTGTGTGGTGGTGTGTTCAGAGCTCTTTTCTCATCCGGGCGGTCATCGCCGGCTCGCGACTCCACCGCATCTCTCTCGGCCTTCCTCTCACAGCTGTGGCCCGACCAACCATCGGACGCCGCTTCCGGGGGCAGCCCATCAGAGGCACGCCGCTCCACCCGCTATTACTCGTTCCTTTATCCTGCACACATGGATGACCGCATCGTCGACAAAGATGACGACACCGACACCAACACGTCACAGTCCTTCAAGTCGGCCATCCCATCGCCAAACATCCGCAGGAGCCCCAAGCCCGTCCCGCTGCACCGTGAGCACTCGGCCGGCGCCGTGTCGCCCCACAGCACTTCGAGCGGCGGCTGGGTGCACGTCCCCATGAGCAACTCGCCCAAGGGCAGGGGAGGCAAGATGGCGCCATCGGTGTCGTTTGCCGGGTCCGCAACGAGCACCACCACGGCGTGGGAGAAGATTCTCGGTCAAATGGGCTTTGCGCCGACCGCAGGGAGGAGGGGTGGAGGGGGGTGGGGCGGCTGGCGGCTGGGCGCTGGCCTGGTGAGCGAGTGGGACGGCGAGAGTGCGTCATCTCTGGGTGGTGGGAGGGATAGGGGAGGGCGCTATCGTGATGATAACAGTGAGGATGATGAGAATGCAACGGTGCAGAGGCGGCAGGTACGTTTGGACACGGCAGCACGTCTGATGAGACGACCTCTTTATGTCTGTGTCTGTCTGTCTGTCTGTCTGTGGTTCAGCTTTGGCGCCATCTCCGCAGCTACTGGAAGCCGAATCTTGAGGCAGTGCCACTGCCCGACCCCCTGCCCCCTCTTCGCTCCACCCAATCATCCCCCCAGCCATCACACCCACTCGGCCTGCGACACTCTCGCGGGCCCAACCTGATGCTACTGCCGCCGTCGGTCGACTCGCTCCCACGTGTACTCAAACCACCCCCGTCGTCGAGCTCCTCGCCGTCTCTTTTCCCCCCACCCCCAATCCAATCGACGCCCTCCGACAGCGACTTGCTGCCGATGGCCGGCCTGGTGGATGTGGGGGGCGGCTGGTCGCTTGCGGACTCCGGTCGTGGGGGTGCGGAGAGGGGCGGGTCGCCTGGGCAGTCGAGCGACATGAGTAGTGGGAGCGGGGGTGGGGGCAGGGGTGTGCGGCCGACGGTGGGTGTGGTCAATCGGAGTCGGCTCGAGGCCATTGGGGATCGGTTGAGTGAGATGCTGGGGCCGCCGGACCAGGAGGCCATCCAGGTGGGTGGGGGGGTGTGGGTGGGTGCACGGACACGCATCATGGAATGCCTGGATTCTGTATGGGTGGATCGCGTTGTTCTTACCTTCAGGCGTTGGATCGGTATGGCGATGAGCCCTTCACCGACGTGAGAGGCACTCGCGTCACCGACGCTATCGCAAGGGACACGCACAGGTAGCCTCTTGTCGCTCAGAATTGACCGTCATACCCACTGTCCCTTGCTCCCTCCTCATCCGTCAGGACGTTTCCCGGCATTTTGGACGCGTCGCACGAGTTGTCGCTGCATCGCATCCTCAACGCCTTCGCCCACCTGCACCCCACCCTGGGCTACATCCAGGGCATGAACTTCCTCGCGGCCTTCCTCCTCATCTACACCCACTTCGACACCCCATCGGCCTTCTCGTACTTCGTGCGGCTCATGCGCGACTTCCACGGGATGGAGCTCTTTGGGTTTGCCAACCACGACGTGGGCGAGGGGAACCGGCTGCTGCTGCATTTGCTGGGGGCGTTTGACCGGCTGTGTGAGAGGGAGCTGCCGGCGTTGTATGAGCACTTTGTGTCGGAGAGCTACCCGCCACAGGCCGTGGCCACCAGATGGTGAGTGGGGACGCCAAGGGTGCGTGGAGCCGTGTCTTGTGGATGGATGGATTCATGGATCGGTGGTGGGTGGGCGTTTTCAGGTTTCCCACGCTGTATGTGAATACTTTACCTATCGCTGCTATTCCGCCTGTGTGGACATACATCCTCTCAGAGGTCAGCACACACGCACACACAGGCTCTTTGCGCTGTATCATTGTGTCTCTTTGTGTCTGTTAAGGGTCTTGAGAGCGTTGTTGCGATCGGATTGGCGCTCCTCCGTCTGCTCGAGGGTTTCATCGTCCAGGGCAACATGGACATGGAAGACCTCAACAACCTCTTCAAGTAGATCAACCAAACAGCAACGAGCCACTCATCCATATGTGTGAGTGTTCCTTTCACCGTGCCATCTTGGGCCGTTCAGGAACATCCGCAGCGGCTCTGAGGAGGACGCCCTCTTCTTCGGTCGGCTGGTAGTGTTCCAGGCGCAGGTGCTCGGCCTCTCCGACGCCGTCAAGACGGCCATCGACGACCTCAGCATGACCAACGAGCCATCCCCCCTCCCGCCCTCATCCCTCTCGCCCTCGTCGGTGCCGTCCGACCCCACACCCGCCGCCCCATCGTCGACAGCCGTGACGGACGATATGGCGTCCAGGCGCGAGAGCTCGTTCTCGGTGCCGCCTTTATCGTGGTTTCTGGGGCCTCTCTCGGTGAGTGGGTCTCAGGGCGAGGAGGGGTTCCCTGCCGCAGGACCGCAGGACAGCTTCGAAAGCCAGAGCCCTGACGCTGGTGAGTGAGTACGAGTACGGTGGTCTGAGAGACATCCATATACAGCTAGTTCATGTGTCGCTTGTGTGATGTGTGGTCTGTGTGGTTGTTGCCAGTCAGACCTTTCGCTGTCCCCCCAATGGGCGGGGTCCGCGGGTGGGTCCCCTACGTCTCCCGGGAGGGCACGGCGGCTCTCCCCAGTGGCGCCCCAGCCACTCTCGTCAACCACACGACAGCGAATACTGTCTATGCGGTCAGAGAGAGGCCGGAAGGGCCCACCCAACCCACCGCCAGACCTGTCTTCCCCCTCACGACATCAGCGGATCAACCAAGACGGCCCGTTCTCTCCCAGCCACGACGAGAATGGGGCAGCATCGGAGTGACATCATCTGTGCAGCGAGATAAGCACGAGGGAGAGGGGGCGGTGGACGAGTGCCCTCCCTCGCCAAGGCTGCCGCCCGTCCCGCCCCCCTCCCCCGTCGACACGTCTGTCCCGTGGGCCATGAAGGAGGCGTTCTACAAGCGCGTCCACGAGACCAGCCGCATTCCCGAGCGGCCGCCTGTCGCCACGCAGAGCTCCGATGGACACAACGGTGCATACGATGGGCTGACTGCGGGCCATCTGTCCCCTCCTGGGGCCTCTTCGTTCTATCGGACCGTGCCGTCGCCAGAGGCGGCAGGCGAACAGGTCAGCAAGCGGAAATGGCATGAATGCAAAAAGTTAGTTCAGTGCATTTGTGGGGCTTGTTTGTTTGTGTCGTGTCAGGTTCATTCCTGTCCTCCGGCTTATGTTGTTCCTTCTATGCGCGACAGCTCTTGCCGACCGTTTGTTAGCTCACCCGAGCCACATGCTGTCCATCGGCAGCAATGAAATGACACGAAGGAGCAGTCAGGCAGGCTGGCTGGCTGGCTGGGACGTAGAAACGTTGTGGGTCGGGCATTTTGGCCATCTGTGTCCTCGCGATGATGAGTACCGATGAGAGACTGCTTCCGCTTGCGTTGCCGAGTCTCGCTGAACGTGAACTGCATGTTGGAGTTCTCATCGTTTACATTCAAGTTGCCCTCCCTTTCTACCTTCTTTCTCCCTTTTGCCTCCCTTTTCTCATCATGACGCATAACCACAAGCGCGATTCACCGTCATCACCAGCAAGACAGCGGTCCCTCTCACCGCCAGCCTCCCTGCGTCGCTCGCGCATCTCGTCACCCATCCTCTCAATCCATCAGCAAAGCCGCCCAGGGCCTCTGCACCGGCTTCACGAGTCCACAACTGGTGTCAGAAGCGGGGCTGTTGTCAAGAAAGGGCTGTTTGATGGGCTACAGGGAGCAGCAGCCGAGGCGAGCGGCTCACTGACGCCCAAGTCGGACCATGGAGGGCGGGCGAGGACGAGGAGCTCCCTTGGGATGGGCAGGAGCGATGAGCTCCGTCGACATGGTCGTCCGTCAGCCCCCCTTTTGGCGCCCACACCTCTCAACACGAGCCGGTATCACTGCCAGCTGGCCATGCCTGTCAGTGCCAACACCTCGCAGCGCAAGAAAGGTACACACACAGACTGTCTACATGCCCTCCCTCATTGTCACGAGTGTTTATTGCGCTGTCCGTTATCAGGTGTCAATCGCACTCTAGCTTTTGAGAACTTGTCACCGTCGATGCCGTCTGTCCCGCTGTCAGGGCACCCTTCGATGCAGCTGAAGGACGCGGCCAGCCCCTACCGCTCGTCTGCAGATCGTCATGGTGCGGCTGGCTCACGGACAGTGACGCTGCGGAACGTGTGTGTGGCGGCGCCGGCATTGGGGGTTGACGGGTGTCCTAGATGCGCGCAGCTGATAGCAAGGATTAGGTGGGTGGGAGAGGGAAGGGAACGGAATGAGGGATGAGAGGGAGGTGAATGCTCGCCGTGTGCCACTCAGATGCGTTGAGGCTGAGAATGAACTGCTCAAGGCACAGCTGGAGCTGCGAGAGATACAGGTATTGTAGATACGAACACACACTCACTCACGGAGAGGCATCTGTCATAAAAAAAAACATGTGAGTGAGTCTGTGTGTCTGTGTGGCCACAGGTCAGGGCATCACCGGCGGTGCCCGCACCAGAATCCGACGTGATCGAGTCCCTCCCGCCATCCCGCCACTGGACTCGACCAGCCTCCCCCTCTGTCCCCTCTCGCACACTGCCGCCTCAGGGCAGCCTCAGCCTCAGGACGCCGGCTGCCAGCACCCTGACGACTGTCCCCCAACCACTTTTCCACATGGGGAGGGTGCGTGCTGCTCATGATCAGGGGAGTGGGGAGGCTACTGGGCTGCGAGGGCTTGGTGAGGTCCAGCATGATTCGGCAGAGGCGCCGTCAGTTCACCCTGCTGCCGATGGTCATGAGGAAGAAGACGAGGAGCAGCTGTCGGGTCTTCCGACCACCCGACGGCACACCGCCACCCCGCCCTCACACGCTGTCTTCCCTCCACCCACCCACCACCAGCCGCACCATCGGCTACCTGAAGATGAGCGAAATCGTATGCTCGAGACGATCGAGCGCTTTGTCGAGGCGGGTGGCGAGAATGAGGCCGATAAGAGCACGGCTGGAGGGGAGAAGGGCAGGGGGGTGTCGGGCGAGGAGAGAGAACTTGAGACGGGGATGGTGCACGTGGTGGAGAGCGCCGACAAGTCCACCATCGCCTCCATGACGCTCACGACGGCTGCCATACGCATCAGTGGGGCCGCGCAGGAAGCGGACAAGGGCGACCAGGATGCCCCACCGCGGATCTTCCCCCTCTCGTCGGCTGCTCGTGTGGAGATGGCGGCCGAATCGCGGCAGTTCACGGTGCACTTCAAGCCCACCACCCCGTCCCTCCCCCCTCTGACCATTCTCTGCTCGACCGAGCGACGGGCGGCCATGTGGGCGGACGTAATACGTGAGCAGATCGGCCACCAGAGCGACGCGACCAGCGGGCAGCCAGGAGAAGAGCGCCAAGCCGCGGACACGACCACCCCGCCCCTCAAAGTATCAGACACGCCAGTGGGGGAGACGCCGGCCGAGGAGAGCGCTGATGGGGGCCAGAGTCCAGTGCCGGAGGTGAAGCCCTTCGTCCCACCACCAGCGGCCAAATCGGCGACTGCCTTTCCATCGCTGTCTGTCGCCCCATATCAGCATCAGCAGCAGCAGCACTACCCTGTCGTCCGGCCCCGTCCCAGCGGCGCGTCGTTTCTGCCCGGGTACTGCAATGTCCCCTCGACGCGTGCGCGCTACCTCGGTAGCATTCGCCCGCCCCTCACCCCTCCCCACCCGTCGGCCAGCCTGTCGCCGTATCGACCCATTTTCGCCTCGCCCTTCCCCCGACCCGCATCACCCTTCCCACCAGTGAGACACCCATTCTCATCGGTTGTGGTGCCTGACTGGCCGTCTGCATCAGTGCAGACGAGAGATGGGCAGACAGCGGGAGGGGGCGGCAATGTGGGGAGTGGGTGCTCGAGAGAGGGAGAGGTTGGAGTGGGTGAGGGTTTCAGGTTCGACCCTGATAGTGTGTGTGTGGATGAAGGTGGGGAGGCGGGTGTGGGGCAGAGGGAGGGGGACAACTAGCCTAGCCATGTCGGTAGACTGTCGTTTTCTTAATTGATTGGTGGCGTGTGTCTACATATGGAGTGTTTTCTCGAATGACGATGATGATGGGACTGGGTCTGATCAATCTCATTGCAGCGGTCATTGGCGGTGTCCACATATGCATGGAACATGTTACGACAGATATCAACGAGTGGGGGGTTGTCGGGGGTAAGGCAGTCGATTGCATACACACTCACACAAACACAAACACACACACACACACACACCACGACCACCCCCATGCGCGCGCGCCACCCATCGCTTTTCGCCTCGCCTCATCCATCCGTCCATCCATCCATCATCCGATCACTAATCCCGCATCCACCATGTATGCACACTTAGTAGCTCGCTAGGTCCATGGGAAGGCTACGGCTACACTGGCTTGAACGCCTGTACAAACGAACGACACAACCACTGTTAAGGACAATCCAAACATGTCCCCATTGCCCTGTTTATTCTCTCACCTGCCTTAGAGGTCCGACTCGTCCGCATCGGCCTCGTATTCTAAGGTGAATGTCGTCGTGCCGGCCGCACCAGCATTGCACGTACACTGGATGCACCTCTCGTCGAAGCCCAGCGGCGAACGGGCCAGCTGCCGCACGCCTGTGCTCTTCCCGTCGCCATCGACGTTCCACTCGACGACGGCCGATTCCTCCAGACCGGCCTTGCCAAACACACCTGAGGAAGTATATACACCACACCACCTATAGTGTTTTCGCATCCATGCACTCATTAACCTATGCGGCGGTCGTCTCTGAGCACGAAGGTCTCGCTCACGAGGTCGAATGTGTCAAATTCAATGCTCGAGATGGAGAGTCTCACGCTCGCCCCCGCCGTCCCGCTCACCGACAGGCAGAACTTGCCCTCATTGGGATATGCAAACTGCAGCCCCACTTCGCTCTGCCAGGCCTCTCCTCCGTTGCGCTCGATGGTCAGCTTGCCCTCCTTGTTCGACCAACTGGCATTGGTGCCGGCCCTGTCGGGACCCTCCATCTTGACCAGCTTCAGCGGAAACGCCGCCTTGGCCAGCGGGATGCCCACGAGGTCGCACAACTCGTCATAGTTGCGCCTCATCTCGCTAGGGATCTTGATGCCGTCCGCACTGCCGTCCGTCGCCTCCTTCTCCATCCGCTGCAGCAGCAGCTCGAAGCTGTCCGCATCCCAGTCAGCCAGGATGATGTTGCCCTCATGGTCACGCTTGAGGCTGCTGGACCACTGGCTACTGAGCATGACGGTAAGCACGGAGCGGGGGTGCTTGCGCCGCAGATGCGAGATGACGCTACCGGGCAGGACGAATGCGCGGCCGCCGACCTTCAAGTGCATGTCAGCGGGGCTGCGGGCGGATGCACTGGCGGACTCTGACGCCATTAAGCTACGAGGGTCACCTGAACAGACGCATTAACACAGACAGTGATTGCAGCCTTTGTTTTCATTCCACGCTACCCCCTTTCCCCGCTGTACCTGACAACAAGCTATGAATCCCTCTTACATGCGATTTCTCGCCGGGAGACAAACCATGCAACCCAGCAAACCCTAGGCGTTTTTGGCGTCTCTGTCCGCGTGGCGCAGTTCGGCTCCCCCGCTCACAAGGCGGCGATGGTGTGGGGAGTCGGAGATCCGCGAGGTACGTGTGTGGGACGAGATGTGCGACGCCCGGGGCTGCATGTCAGTGAGAGCGCACACACACAGCGTCACACACGGACACGCACAGTGTGTGACGGGGCCAGATAATGCATGAATCGGGAAGCTTTGTGTGCATGTGTGTCTGTCTATGTGTGTGTGTGTGTGTGTGTGTGTGATTGTTTGTCAGGCGATATTGCGTCTTCAACGTGAGTTGCAGGCGGCTGCGTTAGAGAATCGGCGGCTCAAGAGCTGCCTCGACAAGGAGAGGGCCAGACAGACTGTCAACCAACAGGTGTGTGTGAGCCAATGACAGAGACTGCTAATCTGCGTGAGGTGTGTGTCTCCTTATGTCACTGATGCAGACGTTCGGCTCTTTGCACGAGGAGAATCGCAGCCTCCGCGAGCAGCTGACCAGCCGGCAGGGCAGCATCATTGCAGAGAGAAACTGAGGGCTGGATGCTCACGTGTGGATGGACATGATTTCCAATCAAGTCTTGATGTCTCATGGCAAACACACAACACCTCACAGCCCCTCGCAATGGTCGATGAAGACACAAGAAAGAAACCGAGGGCTGCAATTCGTATTTGCCATGTCATTTACGACGACACATGATCAATCGGGTCTCACTGTCAGATCACCCACTCACAACGCCTCCTAGCTTCTTATTCGATGCACACCCGAGCGACTGACAGACTCTGACTCACATGATCACGCAGCAAGGCCCACAAGCAGGCTTGTACGGCCGCATGATCTCTCTGATCTCCGGCTTGCCCTCTGCCTTGTCCCAGGGCGTCTCCTTCTGTTGTCATGAGATGAGATGAAATAAGCAGACCACTCAGCCCATCGATGGTGTTAATCTCTGTGGGCACTCACCGAGTTGTTTTTGATGTCCAGCAGAGCACCGCCGCCCCACTCGAGCCTTTGAGAATGACACACACACACAGAGAGAGAGAGAGAGAGTGTGGATGAGACATTCGCATCAGTCAGTCATTTGTGTCTCACAGCTGAGACACAGCTGCAGAGCTGCCCCAGTACGCAGCCAAATGGAGTGGCGTGTCTCCTTTCTGTGTGTGTCATGCACAGAAGGCAATCAATCAGATGAGAGAAGACTGTGTTGTCTCACGTTGTCGGTCTGTGTGAGCAGGTCCTTTCGTTTCTCATACAGGGCCTCCATCACATCCACATGACCCTTCATGGCACCCTTCATGAGTGGCGTCCAGCCATACTGCAATCGACACACACACACACAGAGAATCGACACATTGAGGCGTCAGAGACATGTGTGTGCTCTGTTACTTTGGCAACGCGTGAATCGATCAGTTTGGGATCCCACTCCAGCAGCTTATTGACGACCGCAAGATGGCCCTCTTGGGCAGCCGCATGTATTGCATTCCAACCATCCTGCATTCCATCACAGCCAACACACATCTTCTCACCATGACCAGCAGCAGCACAGAAGATGCTCAGGTTGGTACCTGGCCCTTTTGCTGTAGGATGGACCCGTCCATCTCGTACAGGAACTTCATCACTTCAATTTTGCCTTTGTACGCAGCCTGATGGAGTGCCGTGTCGCCGTTCTGTGTGTGTCATGCATGCAAAGAAAGGCAATCAATTAGATGAGAGGCATTCTGTGTATCTCCATGCGTGCCTCACATTGGTTGTCTGTGTGAGCAGGTCCTTTCGTTTGGCATACAGAAACTCCATCACATCGACACGACCCTGCCCAGCAGCCACTATGAATGGCGTCATGCCACCCTGCAATCAACACACAAACACACACTGAGGCGTCAGAGACATGTGTGTGCTCTGTTACATTGGTGGTGCGTGCATCGACCAGTTTGGGATCCCACTCCATCAGCTTATTGACCGCCGCAACATGGCCCTCGTGGGCAGCCCAGTGCAAAGCGGTGTAGCCATCCTATTGCATTCCATCACAGCCAACACACATCTTCTCACCATGACCAGCAGCACAGAAGGTGCTTAGGTTGGTACCTGGCCTGTTTGCTGCAGGATGGACCCGTCCATCTCATACAGAAACTTCATCGCTTCAATTTTGCCATTCATTGCAGCCAAATGGAGTGCCGTGTTGCCGCTCTGTGTGTGGCGTGCACACATAGGGAAAGGCGATCAAGCAGTGAGAGAAGACTGTGTTGTCTCACCTTGTCCGTCTAAGTGAGCAGGTCCTTTCGTTTGGCATACAGGGCCTTCATCACATCGACATGACCATTGTTGGCAGCCCGCATGAATGACGTGAAGCCAAACTGCAATCAACACACACACGTACAATCGACACACTGAGGCGTCAGAGACATGTCTGTGCTCTGGTACATTGGTGCGTGCATCGATCAGTTTGGGATCCCACTCTAGCAGCTTATTAACAGCCGCAACACGGCCCTTCTCGGCAGCCAAGTGTATTGCATTCCAACCATCCTGCATTCCATCACAGCCAACACACATCTTCTCACCATAACCAGCAGCATAGAAGATGCTCAGGTTGGTACCGGGCCTGTCTGCTGTAGGATGGACCCGTCCATCTCGTACAGAAACTTCATTGCTTCAATTTGATCAAACCAGGCAGCCAAGTACAGGGCAGTGAAACCATTCTATTACATCCCATCACACCCAAACGCACATCTCTTTATCACCAGCAGCACACGAGATGGTTTGTCTGTGTTGTTACCTGGTCTGTTTGCTTCAGTACGTCAGGTTTGCTCTCATGCATGACCGACATGACGCCCACGTGACCCTTCTTTGCAGCCAACAGGAAAGGTGTATTCTGTAGGAACGAATACACAGACAGACCACTGAGGGCATTTCTGTCATCTTCAAAGTTGCATACCTCGAAGTGGCCTCGTTTGTCGAGTATGTCCTTGCCGTCTCGCTCGATGAGCCAACGAACGGATTGCACATCATTTTCCTCGACGGCTTTGAAGATGTCAGTCTGACACACAACCAGCACAATAAGAGCGGCCCATTGACGTGTGGGATTCAGTTTCTGTCTCTCTTACGTGTTTGATCTGCGGCTGTGGGACGTTGGGCGGTGTCTTCGCTGACGGCTGCTGGGTAGGGAACGCTGCACCATACAAATCATGAATGACCAGTCGTATCTCTCTCTGTGTGTGTGTACGTGCCTTCCACAGCCGACCTGTCTGCTCTTGCGGAACCAAAAGCTTGATCTGTGTGGGCGAGACCGCACTCGGCGGCCCCGTTGCGGTGCTGGCCATGCTCACGTGAACGCCCGATGAATGGCCAGTGGGAGACACGACAGCAGGAGACACAGGGGCAGGGTGAACCAACACCGGCTCTGCACGCAGTCAAGCAGTCAGGATGAAGCGACTGGGCCTTCTCGTGTCATTTGACAGTCAGTGGACCTGCACCTTTTGACGGAGACGACGACATGCCCAGCTTAGCTAACAACTACCGAGCAGTCAGGCAAGCAGACATTCGACATGCGCACGCCTCTGTCCAATAGTCTATGACCGCTACCTCTCTGGCTGTGGGACGATCTTCCGGCTTGAAGGCAAAACAACTCTGAGAAGCAATCACACTCAGAAGCCAAACGCGGCACATGAAAGTCTCTCGGCTTGCCTCGATGGCAGCTTTGATGTGCGCAGGCACGGAATCGGGGATGCGGGGAATCTAATGAGAACAGACAAAGCAAGTCGCGTCTGTCATGTCATACGCGTGAACGTCACCTGTTTATCGACCACAACTGCCATCATGATGCTGACGGGACTTTGGCCTTCGAAGGGCGGCCCGCCTAAGCATCACGATCAGCCACCATCTCATAGTGCGTCTGACATGTGGACTTATGAATCCGCTGCCCTCCGTGTAGCTCGCTCAGAATCCCGCCCAACGTCCAGATATCCGACTTGGTAGAAGGCTTGACCACTGCACAAATGGGCAGTCACGGGACGCCGCCCTTCACAGGGATCCTTCCTTACATTTCTCTGGATTCATTGTTTCCGGTGACATAAAGTTGTACGTCCCCCCGCCTGCAGCAAAGGTATGAATGCATTGGATGCATTCTGTCTCCGTGTGAGTGTCTCTGTCCACCTGCAAAAGAACTCGTTGTCCTCTGAGTGTTGCGCGTCATACCGAAGTCAGATATTTTGATCACCAGATACTTCGCCAACTGACAAACAAGTGGGACATGAAACCAGCCTGCGGCCGTTGACCGGGAGATGGCTCTCCCTCACCAGAATGTTCCCTGGTTTGAGATCCAGGTGAGCGATCCCGTGGTCGTGAAGGTACTGGACACCCTCACATATCTGACGGCAATCGACACACCGGTAGATGAGACGCGTGACGCTGTCTGCAGTGCGTACCTCTCTCACAAATCTGTCTCGCACATCGGGGGGCAAAGGTCTGTTCTTGGCCAAATATTTGTCCAGCGATCCGCACTCACACAACTCTGAGAATGGCGGCAGACGCACAGAGGAAGACAATTGGATGAAGCGAAGGAGACGCAGCGCCTGCCAGTGACGATCATAAGGCCGTGCTTTTCGTCTGCCGCACACACGCCCAGGAACTCCACGATGTTGGGATGGCGCAGGTGGAACATGGGCTCCACCTCTCGCAGAACCTCAATGAACTGCTCCTGCACACAACACACAGATGCGAGGTCACCCCACGAGTGAGGTCAATTCTGCCGCTCTGTGTACGCACGTGCGGGGCGAGCTCTTCGCTGGGGTGAGCGACCTTGACGGCCACGGGCCGCCCTTTGAAGACGCCCCGATAGACGACACCGAATCCCCCCCTCCCTGCCCCAGACACAAAGATCATGCCCATGCGGACAGCATGCTGACCCCCTCGCTCACCCCCTCGCTCACCGAGTTTGTCATCCTCACTGAAGGTGAGGTCCCTGGCGTAGATCACCAGACGAGGCACCCCAGCCATTGCCGGAGTCCGGGAAGGGAGAGAGGACCGACTCGATGGTCTCGAATGCTGGGCCCCCACGGGGCCCCCAACCGAACGGCCCATGCCGGTCATTTGAACCCAAAATGACCATCAAACACCACTCAATGCCCCACAAGTAAAACAATCCTCACCATCGGGCCAGACGTGTGTCGGAATTCAGCTACCTCGTCCAAAGGCCGGGTTACATAAGGCAAGACATTAGGAGGTTAAAGAGGGAGAGACATCGCCATCTTACCTGTTGCTTGGGCAAGACAAGGCAAGAACCAATGAATGGATTGGAAGCAGATGAAGACGATCCATTCATCTAATGACATCCCTTCTTCCCTCCGCCTGTCTGCCTGCCTGCCTGCCTTTCAAGACTCTTAGTACTAGTGTCTGTATCTCTCTGTCTCTCGTTCACGCGGCGAAAAGCTGGTGCTTCGGCCGGCAAGTGGGCCCTCCACTCAGAAAGCTGGACAGACACTCAGAAAAGCCAGCCAGCGCCACGGAAAGCCAGCTTTGCAGTGCAGAAGGCCAGCTTTCCAGGCGGAAATCCAGCTTTCCATGCGGAAAACTCACGCAAAAACGGCGGTTTGGACAAGCAGAAGGACCGAGGAGATCCCTCGTTCATTGAAGCACGTTTGCTTGTCTTCCGGGTGATCCCTCTATGAGTGATCCCTCCATTTGTATGTGTTTGGTCTGATGCGTGGTGGGCTCATTCATGATCCCAATAGGCTCGAAGAGACTCACCAGTACACATGCACGGACAAACACGAACTTACACGGTATTACTGCCATTTTTCACTGCCCCTTTGATGGTGGCAGTCAATGTTCATCTTTCTCTCTGTCAAAAGACACAACATACAGCCTATAATCCGGCCACACCAAGTGCATACGACAAAGAGAATCCTGCGCTGCTCATGTCTCTCTATGGCTGCTCAGCCACAAGTCTCTAAGCCTCAGACCTATTGTCTGTATTTCTTCATCACTCCCCTAATTCGCCCAAAGAAAGGTGCTTTATCCCACGCCGTGCGACCCTGTGGAAAACAACAAACAAGGGTAGCCATTGGCTTTCTGTCAACCGGTGTGCGCTCACGTCGTTGTTCTTTATTTCTAGAAGAATCGGTCCTCCCCATTCCATCCTGATCCACGTGACACATCCTGATGCAGATGTCCCATCATTCCCTGTCCTCTGTCCCTTACAGCTGGGCCACAGCACGATATTGTTCTGCCCTCACGGCGTAATGCAAGGGTGTATCACCTTCCTGCAACAAATGGCGTGTACACAAGACAAACGCCAGTCAACCGGACTGGACATCTTGGTGTGCCTTTGGGCGACTCTTACAGAGTCCTGCTGTGTAAGCAGTTTTGTCTCTAAGTTTTCCCCATCTTGGCGTACATGAGTTTCATCACATCAATATGGCCATAGCAGACAGCGAAGATGAAGGGAGTGATAGACTGCAGGAAAGACCCAGTCAGATTGGCGTGTGGACGAGATTCCAGCAGGTTGAATTTCTACGCACCTTGAAGGCAGCTTTTGTCTCGAGTAGTTCAGTGCCTTCCAAGAAGTGAAGCATGGTCTCGACAACTCCGGCGCTGCCCCTCATGGCAGCACAATGAAGGGGAGTACAGCCAAACTGCATTCAATCACAGTCAAGACATCTCATCATCAGACATCAGGCGAGACATGTGTGGTGGTATCTCGCCATGGTTGTTCTGAACGTGAGGAGATCGAAGCCGCCAACCTCTAGCAACCACGCGACCGCTTTCTGATGGCCCTCCATGGCAGCCAAGTGCACGGCAGACCAACCACCAGCGCCCCTCTGCAGCAGAATCGGAAGCCCCGCTTTGCTGTACATGTGATTGATGATCTCAACATGCCCTTTGCGCGATGCGAAAAGGAAAGGCGTCATCCCATAAAGCTGCAAGAATGGACAGGTGAAGATCTCAGCGAATTGATCGCTTGCAACCTGAAATGGCATTACCCCATCGAGGTAACAGGCGCATGTTCTATACCAACACGGCTCACAGCCGCTCTCTCTCTTTTCGACAGTCTCCGGCCCGTGCAGTTTCATCAGCTGAGTGACCGATGTGAGATCACCGGCCTTCACAGCTGCAAAGATGTTCCGCTGAGACAGAGATACATCATGTGAAAGCAAATGGCATCTTTTCTTGTCCTCGTACACGTTTGATCTGTCTCAGGACGACATCGACGGCTTTCTTTGGGACCTCAGTGCATATTTCAAACATTCCCTGGATGGCAGGGCTTCTGTTGGCATACTGCCACGGCGTTTCGCCCTGTTCAGGCAAAGTGCGTCACCAGCGATCGATGGTCTGCAAAAGTATGTGCACTCACCGAATCATCTTTGATGCGCAGAAGGGACGGCCCACCCCACTGCAGCCTGCAGCACCATGCGCAGACGGAGACACTGCAAATGAGATGTCGAGTGGCTAGGTTTCCCTCTCACAGCTGAGCAACGACTGCGTCTTCGCCCTTGTAAACAGCAACGTGCAGTGCCGTCTGTCCAGCCTGGCAGACAGGCCGACAGAGGGAGAAGCATGACCCGCCGACCCCTGTGCGGCTTGGCCACCTCCTCGGTCTCTTACATTGTCCTGCTGAATGAGCAAACCCTTCCCCCCTTTGCCATACATCGATTTCAGCACATCCAAATGCCCGTTCTCAGCAGCACGCATGAACGGCGAGAATCTCCGCTGCAATCCGACGCAGAGCCGCTCACAGAATCAGCGCAGGGAGCCGCCTTGAGACATGTGTGGTCTCTTACCGCGCCACCGCGTGCGGACAGCAGCTTGGGGCCCCCCCAGTCCAGCAGCTGATTGACAGCCGCAAGGTGACAGTTCATCGCAGCCCAGTAAGTTGCCGTGCCGTCATTCTGCAGGACAGAGAACACCGCCGACACATTTGCAAATCACTCCCTCAGCCACCAGGCAGGCACCTGAGTTGTTTGCTGCAAGAGTTCCGGGCTGCTGCATCTCTCATACATGACCTTCATGGCCTCAACTTGACCGTCCTTCGCAGCTGCGATGAAAGGAGTGAACTGCGCCCAGATAGGGAAACAGAGGAATCAACGACACACCACCGGGGGGTCTCTTCTCTCTCACTTCTCGTTTGTCTCGCTTTTTGAGTATTTGAGTCCCATCCCTGTCCATCAGCGCCGTGACTGAATCCACGCTGCCTGCCTTGACAGCGTCGAAGATGTCGATATATATACCTGCCTCGGCCTGGACACACCCGATGGACCCCCAGAACGCGTAGACGCAAATGGGGCTTTGGGTTTTTCCTTCGCCCTCACCTCCACCGCCATTGTTGGAGGTCGATCGATCTCGAGTCAGGCTTTCGCGTGCCCGTTGTGGATGGTCACAGCACCGGCCGTCCACGTTCGTCAGAGTCATGCAGATGGCGCAGCCTTGTGCAGAGGGGAGCGACAGCGGATGGGGAAGAACTGACGGAGAAAGATGACAACGTGGGCACACAGGACAATAGGCGTAGGGGTGCTGTCTGAATCTCGGAGGGGGAACACCGCGATCTGCGAGCTTAGCTCAGTGCGCCTATGTGTCACCCTCAGCCACTTTAGGACCCCGATCGCCCTCATTCCCCGGAGTGAAAGGCAGGAGACGGGTGCCTACACGGCAGGAGGACAAGAGGTCAAGACAATCGAAGATGTGAGGGTCCGGATAATGCACGAATCGGGGAGGGCGTGTGTGTGTGTGTGTGTTTGTCAGGCGATAGTGCATCTTCAGCGTGAGTTGCAGGCGGCTGCGTTAGAGAATCGGCGGCTCTAGAGCTGCCTCGACAAGGAGAGGGCCAGACAGACTGTCAACCAACAGGTGTGTGTGAGCCAATGACAGAGACTGCTAATCGGCGTAAGTCTGTGTCTCCTTATGTCACTGATGCAGACTTTCGGCGCTCTGCACGAGGAGAATCGCAGCCTCCGCGAGCAGCTGACCAGCCGGCAGGGCAGCATCAATACAGAGAGAGATTCAGGGCTACATGCTCACGTGTTGATGGACATCTCCAATCAAGTCTTGATGTCTCATGGCAAACACACAGCACCTCACAGCCCCTCGCAATGGTCCACATGAAGACACAAGAAAGAAACCGAGGGCTGCATTTCGCCGTGTCGTTTACGACGACACATGATCAATCGGGTCTCATTGTCAAATCACCCACTCACAATGCCTCCTAGACTCTCATTCGATGCACCTCCGAGCGACTGACAGACTCTGACTCACATGATCACACAGCAAGACCCAGAAGCAGGCTTGTACGGCCGCATGATCTCTCTGATCTCCGGCTTCTTCTCCGCCAAATCCCAGGGCGTACATCCCTGTTTGTGATGAGTGAGCACACCACTCAGCCCATCGATGGTGTGAATCTCTGTGTGCACTCACATCGTTGTTTTTGATGTAGAGCAGAAAAGCGCCGCCCCACTCGAGCCTTTGAGAATGACACAGAGAGAGAGAGAGAGAGAGGGTGTGGATGAGACGTTCGCGTCAGTCATTCATCTGTGTCGCTCACAGCAGAGACACAGCCGCAGAGTGGCCTCCGGCTGCAGCCAAATGGAGTGCCGTGTGTCCGTACTGTGTGTGTCATGCACATAGTGAAAGCCAATCAATCAGATGAGAGGCATCCTGTGTGTCTCTCACCTTGTTCGTCTGTGTCAGCAGTTTTTCCCCCCCTTCGGCATACAGAAACTTCATCACATCGACATGACCATTGTAGGCAGCCAACATGAATGGCGTGTCGCCATTCTGCAATCAACACACTCACACATCAGAGAGGCACTCCCTATGTGTCTTCGGCTGTGTTGTCTCACGATGGCCTTCTGTGTGAGCAGGTCCTTTCGCTCGGCATACAGGGCCTCCAACACATCGACATGACCCTTTATGGCAGCCGTGATGAATGGCGTGAGGCCCTCCTGCAACGAACACAATCGACACAGTGAGGCGTCAGAGACATATGTGTGCTCTGTTACATTGTTGCGTGCGTCGATCAGTTTGGGATCCCACTCCAGCAGCTGATTGACGACCGCAACATGGCCCTCCTGGGCAGCCGCATGTATTGCATTCCAACCAGTCTGCACCATCACACCCAACGCACATCTTCTCACCATGACCAGCAGCACACAAGATGCTTAGGTTGGTACGTCGCCTTTTTGCTGCAGGATGGGCGCGTCCATCTCGTACAGGAACTTCATCACTTCAATTCTACCATCGAGTGTAGCGAAATGGAGTGCCGTGTCTCCGTCCTGTGTATGTCATGCACACAAAGAAAGGCAATCAATTAGACGAGAGGCATTCTGTGTATCTCACCTTGTTCTGCTGTGTGAGCACGTCCTTTCGTTTGGCATACAGAAACTCCATCACATCGACACGACCACCTATGGCAGCCACCATGAATGGCGTGTGGCCAACCTGCAATCAACACACACACACACACAATCGACAGACTGAGGCGTCAGAGACATGTGTGTGCTCTGTTACATTGGTGGTGCGTGCATCGATCAGTTTGGGATCCCACTCCACCAGCTGATTGACGACCGCAACATGGCCATTCATGGCAGCGAAGTGCAGGGCATTCGCACCATGCTACATTCCATCACACCCAAACGCACATCTCCTCATCATCAGCAGCACACAAGATGGTTTGTCTGTGTCGGTACCACGCTGTCTGTTTGTTGCGATACGTCAGGTTTGCTCTCATACATAACCGACATGACGCCCACGTGGCCCTTCTCCGCAGCCAACAGGAAGGGGGTCATCTGCAGGAATGAGAACACACACACAGACCACTGAGTGCATTCTTGTCGTCGGCACTCACCCCATTGTTTTTGATGTCCAGCAGCGCACCGCCGCCCCACTCGAGCCTTTGAGAAGGACACACACACACACACACACGCAGAGAGAGAGAGAGTGTGTGTGGATGAGATGTCCGCGTCAGTCAGTCATCTCTGTCGCTCACAGCTGAGACACAACCGCAGAGTGGCCATAAAGTGCAGCCAAATGGAGTGCCGTGTCGCCGTTCTGTGTGTGTCATGCACACAGGGAAAGGCAATCAGGCTGTGAGAGAAGACTGTGTTGTCTCACCTTGTCGGTCTTTGTGAGCACGTCCTTTCGTTTGGCATACAGAAACTCCATCACATCGACATGACCATAGGTGGCAGCCACCATGAATGGCGTGCGGCCATTCTGCAATCAAGACACACACACAATCGACACACTGAGGCGTCAGAGCCATGTGTGTGGTCTGTAACTTCGGTGCGTGCATCGAGCAGTTTGAGATCCCACTCCAGCAGCTGATTGACAGCCGCAACACGACCATTGAAGGCAGCCCAGTGCACGGCAGAGTCACCAAGCTGCATTCCATCACAGCGAACATCTCTCCTCACCAGCCGCACAGAAGATGGTTTGTCTTCGATTGTGACCTTGCTCTTCTGTGTGAGGCAGCCCTTCCCTCCTTTGGCATACAGGGTCTCCATCACATCAATTTGACCCTTCCAGGCAGCATCGATGAATGGGATCTTGCCATCCTGCAATCAAAACACACCAGCACACACTGAGGCGTCAGAGACATGTGTGTGCTCTGTTACCTTGTCGCGTGCATCGATCAGTTTGAGATCCCACTCCAGCAGCTTATTGACCGCCGCAACCTGGCCCTCCTGGGCAGCCTCGTGCGGGGCATTCGCACCATGCTACATTCCGTCACACCAAACACATCTTTTTCCATCTCCACCGGCACAGAAGGTGCTTTGTGTGCGTCAGTACAGTGTCTGTTTGCTGCAAGACGTCAGGTTTGCGTTCATACATGACCGACATGACGCCCACGTGACCCTCCTGTGCAGCCATGCCGAAGGGTGTGACCTGCGCGCAGAAATGAGAACACACATACAGACGACAAGGGCATTCATGTCGTCCTCACGACTGCATACATCGGAATTGTATTTGTCTCGTTTCGTTTTATTGAGTATGGCTGTGCCGTCCCGGTCGATCAGCGCCGTGACAGAATCCGCGTCGCCCTTCTTGACGGCGTCGAAGATGTCGATCTCCGACTCAGCCTGGACACAAGCAACGAACCCCCAGAAGGCATAAACACAAAAGGGGCTTTGGGTTTTTCCTTCGCCTCACCTCCACCGCCATTGCTTGAGGCCGATTGATTTCGAGTCAGGCTTTCGCGTGCCCGTTGTGAATGGTCACAGCACCGGCCGTCCACCTTCGTCAGGTTGAGTCATTCAGATGGCGCAGCCTTGTGCAGAGGGGAGCCGGACGGGGAAAAATTGACGGAGAAAGATGACAACGTGGGCACACAAGACAATAGCCGTACGGGTGTTGAAACTTGGAAGGGGGAACACCCCGATCTGCGAGCTTAGCTAGTAGTCGAGTGATACCTTCCATGCCCTTTCTCGGGTACGTGCGCGTGTGCGGTCAATGGTGCATGCACGGCTGAGTTCAAGGACACTCAGACCCTCCCTTTGCTCTGGCCGGCGGCTGTCGCGAACCGACGGGCGCGCCGCTCAGTCACCGTCGATTCATGTGTAGACCGATAGCCGAGTCATTTGACACATCCCCCCCTTCCATGTGGACGGCCCACACAACCATCCATCTGTCCCCTCCTATGCACACACCACCCAAATCCCACCCCTCCCTCCCTCCCTCCCTCCCTCTAGACATTCCCGCCTGTCTACTCATCCTCCATTCCTCTACACGAGGCCCTGAGTGCTCAGCAGGACATCTAATTCGGACACTCTGTGGCCGTCACTCGTCGTCAGCAGAGGGCCATCTATGTGCTCGTAGTAGTCGGCAGGCTGGCAGCTACGGATGGCCTGAATCTGGGGCGGGTACTGCAGGTTCATCGCCTCTAGCTCCGTCTCGATGCGGCGCAGCTCGCCGTCGGTCACGTCGGCGAATTCCGCAAAGGACTTGCCGAAGGGGAACGGCCGGAAGTCCTTGGCGTAGTTGACCAGATGCCACCTTCGTACACACAGACAGGAAAACGGAAAGACAGACAGATTGGCCAATGATCAGAAACCAATAACACACAATGAAGGGGAGAGACACTCACCGGAACACATCCGTGAATTTTTTATGCTTCCATGCGAAACTCACGCTGCACAGCCCCAACCTCGACGCCCAACTACACAGAACGCACAGACAGACAGACAGCCAGAGAGAGACAGAGAGACAGAGAGGTATGCTTTGGTAGACGTTGAGGGGTGCTGAGGCCTGCATACCTCCTTTGCCCGGTCGTGGTATAGTTTGATCAGCGCCGCGGGCAGCCCCTCCGTGCTCATGATCTCGTAAATGATGTCCCTCTGCCACTCTCCACCTGCAATCAATCGCTCACACACACACACACACACGGGAAGGAATGGACATCGGCGTGTGTGAATGGATTGCTGTGAGGATCCTTACGCGTGAGTTGAGCCTTGAGGCTGACGATCTTGTAGGCTTTGCTAGCACTGAGGGGCAGCAGCCGGTCTATCTCATCGTAGCCTGCCTGGCCAAACACGGCACAGGCTGCGTGGAGAAGGGCTGAGCGCACAACGAGGTTATGCGAGGGGATGAACAGACACTCTATCGTGAGCTCCGGGACGAACGGGGCTCTGTGGGTGACATCCACCACACACACACACACAAAGACAGCGTCACATGCAGTATCCATGTGTTTGTCCCTCCCACGCCCGCCAAGTGCGTACTCGCCGATCTGCACTTGAATTTTGTCGCCACGCCAGAAGAAGATGTCGACATGCCCCTCGATGATGGGCCAGGGCACAGCAGGAAATGCCTTGAGGAACCCTCCGTCACGGCTGTGCCCGTGTACTATGTCCTCGACAAGTCGCTTGACCACCGCCACGCCCCTCCCCCGCGTGTGCAGATGAAGCGGAAGCGGCAGATCGGAACGAGCGGCCTCGACCAGTGACAGGGGCGCGATGCGGTAGGCGGTATGAAAGTGTGTGGGGCCTATCGCCATGACTGCAGGGTCAGCGATTGACGGGCCGGGCACATCGTCACCGTTGGGCCCCCGGCTTAGCTGAATGCCGCACCACTCCTTGTACTGCGCGGCATTGGGCAGCGTCAGGAAGTAGGCGGACAGATTGACGAGCCGCGTGTTGTTGAGGGCCGGGCTCCGGGGCACCTCTCGCTGGATCGCCGCGTTCTTGGCCCGCTGCAGCCGGTAGAAGGCGTCGGGATCCAGCCGACCCTTGACGTAGCGCACAGCATGCTCATTGCCCCTCAACTGGTGGCCCTCAAACAGCGACTTGGCGTCCCCGCACTCACCCCTGTGCCGCGTGTCCCAATCCTCCCGCTGGCAATCGATGCTGCAGTACCGCATGGCGTGGCACCGCTGGCACAGCAGGAACCGTGCGCCCGCTGCTGGCGATTTGCGGCACACGACGCATTTGTGGAGCTCGAGAGAGGGGTCGGGCGCCGACGCATCAAACCGCACCTTGTAGTTGTGCATCTCGGCCTTGGTGAATGGCAAACGGCCGTCCGCTGGCGGGGGGCCGCTGGATGAGCTGGTCGAGGGCTTGACACGTGCCGCGCTGCTGTCCCGGGTGCTGCTGCTGGTGCTGCCCGTGTAGTCGAGATTCATCGCATTGAGGGCCTGCTCGGCGGCTCGCATGATTGCCCTGACGTCCGCCGCTTGGGTATCCGACGCATTGAGACTGAACGGGAGCTGGCCCAGGGGAGCCCTCCTCGGCGCGGTCACTTCCTCCTCGTCACTCTTGTCATCCACCAGCTTGTCCCATTTCGAGTAATCGACGCCCTTCTTGGACATGCTGGCGGTCACACGATGATCAGAGGGTTGACCCTGATGCCAACGCTATTGTGCCAGCCACGTCGTCAGGATGGCAGATCCGATGGACGAAGGGACGGCGAAAGGCGACAATGGAGCTGTGCGATGGGGCGTAGGAGGAGGCTTCGACGGGCCTTCGTCGTTTGTCGGATGCGGTTTGGCAGCGGTTTGAGGGAGGCATGGCTCGACATCTGCGAGCTTGACGTGCGAAAATCGGAAGGACGCTCCTTTCTGACGTGCTCGTTAGCCGCTGCTGACGTGAGATCTGCCCTCGTAATCATCTGCTCTCGTCCTTTTTTCTTCCGTGTCATCACTGATCTATTGACTCACTCACGGGGCCTCCTCTGCCTGTCCATTCATCCATTTGACTCAAGATCTCCGCCTCTGCCACCTCTCGATGACCGTCCTTACCTTGTTACTATCGCTATTGGCAATGTCATCCGCTCGGCCCTCTCGCAAGCCCTCGCCCAAGCTCGACGGCACACTGCAGAACCCCCGGGAGCTGCACCTGGGACTCGACGGCGGCAAGGCTTCGCCCTTCGCCGCTGTCAAGCACACCCTTTCCGCCGCCAGCCCGTCTTATGTGCCAGGTGCGACGCGCGTGGGCGGCCCTGGTGCGATTCTGATTGACGCCGTGGCTGCCAGTGATGATGGTGGTGTGCTGCTGGATGACCTGACCGCTCTGGGGCTGATGAATGGGCGGAAGAAGGGGCGGGTGGTGTCGGGATGGCTGCCGCTGGAGGCGTCGCGGTTCCTGGGCCAGCTGGCCTCTCTCAACTTCGCCTCGCCCTCTATCGCCCTCACCATGCAGCAACTGGGGAATGATGGCGATGCCCTCGTGCCAGATGGGTGGCCCGGGGCGGCTGTGTCACAGGGCGATCAGGCCATGTGGACTAACGACGTGCGGGCGACGTATGGCCTCACTGGTGCGGGGGTCAAGATGGGCGTCTTGTCGGACAGCTTCAACAACGTGACTGAGGGCCTGACTCTGCTGACCGACTACGCGCAGGACATTGAGAATGGCGACTTGCCTGCTGGGATAGTAGTGTTGGATGACAGCAAGGCTGACGGCGATGAGGGTCGTGCGATGATGCAGCTCATTCATGACGTGGCCCCGCGGTGCGAGATGATGTTCCACACGGCTTTTGGCGGCATGGCCGGTGAGTGGATGAGTGGCGGGAGGGAAGGACGCTGGATGCACATCCGTTGTTTGGGTTTCTGTGCAGATTTTGCTCAAGGGATACTCGACCTCGCAGACGAGGGATGTGACATCATTGTGGTCAGCAACAGCAACCGATACTCCTCCCCCTTGGTCACACTCGCGCAATGCTCTTTCCTTCAGGATGACGTGATATATTTCGCAGAGCCAATGTATGTCGACGGCATCATCGCCCAGGCCGTCAACGAGGCCAAAGCTCAGGGCATCCCCTACTTCTCATCCGCAGGCAACATGGGCACACAAGCATACGAGGCAGCCTTCGCCAGGTCAAACGTCACCGGCGCCACATTCGGCGGCGAGCAGCACGACTTCGACCCTTCACCCGACGCCATCAAGACATCCCAGCGTCTGCGCATCCCCGTCAACACCCACGTGTATTTGGTGTTTCAGTGGGAGCAGGACTTCTTCTCTGTGAGTGGCAAGGGATGCACCAGCGACCTTGATGTGGTCCTCATGGACACGGCGGGCACGCGCGTGTCCACTGGGGGGCTCAATGACAACGTGAGCATTATCTTGCCCCCACATTTTTTACGCGAAAGACAAGCACGGGATGTGCGAGTGGTGTACTTGTTTGGTCAGATCGCCAGCGATTCAGTGGAGGTTTTGCAGTTTTACAATGACGGATCGTTCGGCGGTGAGCTGTTCGATCTCTCCATCGAGCTATACACTGGCGACCCTCCCACCGCCATGAAGTACGTCCTCTTCGACAGGGGCGGACAGGTCGAGATCATGGAATTCAATACAGAAAGCTCGGTAAATGACAATGCATATCACGCACACGCCCTCACACAGAAAGAGGGAAAATCTGTTTTCCAGACGCTGTACGGTCACGCAAATGCCGAGGGCGCCTGCACCATTGCCGCAGCGGCCTACTACAACACGCCTCAGTTCGATGTCGACCCCGCACAGATCAACGCCTTCAGCTCTGTCGGCGGCACACGCATCTACCGTGACACAGAGGGGCAGCTGCTCAACGGCGGCGACGGTGTGCTACGGGAGAAGCCCGATCTCTGCGGCCCTGATGGAGCCAACACATCGTTCTTCCCCCCGTTTGAGAATGCCGACGTCGATGAAGATGGGTAAAACACACACACACGCGGGGAGGGGGAACAACGACGGCCTACGTGTTATTTGCTATATATCTTCAGGCACCCCAATTTCTTTGGCACATCTGCGGCTGCCCCCCACGTGGCCGGCCTGGCGGCACTCATGCTGGAGGCGCAGCGGTCCCTGTCGCCCGATGAGCTGGTGGGTGTGCTCAAGGCCACGGCGCTTGACATGGACGACCCCATGAGTGGGGGGCACTTCGATGGCGGCCATGACTGGGCGTGTGGGTGGGGGCTGGTGCACGGCATGAGGGCCGTGGAGAGACTCAGGGGGGAGGGGACAACCACGACCACAACCACCACAACGACCACAACCACAACCACAACCACAACCAGCACGACTGAGATGCCCCCCGTTGTTGGTGAGTGGATGTCTGTGTGTCTGTGTGAGAGAAGAGAGAGAGACGTGCTTCCCTCTCTTTGTGTGTGTTGTGTTTTGGTCATTCAGTGCCCGAAGACACGTGTACGGCATCCCCGTTCCGCGACTACAGCTGCCTGGCGGCCCACGAGGGGCGGGAGAGGTGCGAGGCCAACGGCTGCTGCTGCGACGACACCAACACCAACTTGCCTGCATGCTTCTACAAAGATAACCCTTTCCAAGACGGTCAGACAACCACACGCACACACGCGCCCCAGCAATGCTGTGTATCGCTCCTGGTCTCTCCTTTCTGTGTGCAGGCAGCTGTCCGAATCTGCTGTTGGGCCGGCTGCATGACTGTCTGCCCGAGGGCGGTGATCGCTTTGCGTGTGAGTCGCGTGGCTGCTGCTGGGAGCCGCACCGGCGAGGGGGGCCCAGGTGCTACTACAAGTATGCCGCATATATACCTCTTGTCCAGGACACCACCCCCACCACATCATCAACCACTTCAACCACCACCACAACGACCACCACCACCACCACTCAGAGCCCTCCTTTGTCAATCCCAACAGTCACACCCAGTCGCAATGGTACGCCCACTCACTCACCCACACACACTTGCTCATGTGTGTGCATGCCGTCAGGACGTTGCGAAAGCGGCGAGTTTAGTCACTTGAACTGTCTGCCCTATGGCGGCGATGAGCGTGCGTGTGAGCGGCGCAACTGCTGCTGGAACCCCACTGCCGCCAGCCAGGGGCTGCCCTCGTGCTTCTACAAGAGGGACCCGATGGCCGATAATTCCTGCCCCAACATGCTGTACAGCGGAGAGGCATGCCCCGCTGACTCCAGATCTCAATGCAAAGGTAGAAAGACACGGAGACACATCCACACGCATCCGTATTGTCAGCTCTCCGTCCTTGTGTGCCTTGTGCAGCGATGGGTTGTTGCTGGGACCGTGGCAATGAAGCCCGTGACGCAGCGGGCAAGCGGATCCGGTGCTACCGGAAGAGAAGATCCGAACGGCGACGACGTACCACCGACAGCCCACGGTCATCCGGCAGTACCACCACCACTGAGTCCCCGCCACTGCTGGTGCCGTCTGGCGGTCAGTGCCCCAACAGGATGTACTCGACGATGGAATGTCTTCCTAGAGGGCGGGGGAAGGACGATTGGTCAGAAAGGGGAGGCACACGAAGGGATGGTGTGGGTGTGTGATGACGAATGCTCTGGCTGTGTGTGTGGGACCTTGGTGCAGCGAGGAGATGGGCTGCTGCTGGGACGCTCGCAACAGCATGGGCCCGGCGTGTTACTACAAGTACGACCCGTCGCTGTACCCACACTCACTACAAACAAAGGACGGTCAGCAACCAGTCGTCATGACGCACACATACATAAAGGCAATTTGACGCATGTGTGTGTGTCTGCAGATGATGGCAGCAGCCCGGACGAGTGCAGGGGACACCAGTGTGACGGCAGCAAGGAGGACAAGACGGACAAGGACGAGTGCCGCAAAAACAAAAAAAAATGCAAGAACGGCAAGGAGAAGGATGATGACGGTAAGCGAGCACACACAAAGTGGTGCCTAGCGCCTTCCATCACACACCCACAGCTGGCTATCTGTGTTACTGTGCCGGGCGTGTATGCGTGTGTGGTCTCTCCAGAGTTCCAGTGTGGCGGCGGTGGTGGCAGCGATGTCAAGGACTACGGCAACTGTCTCGCTGCCGGTGAGTGGGTGGGTGGGAGAAGGGGACCCATGTGGCTGCGGGTGGATCTGAGTGTATCTGTGTCATATGTCTGTGTAGGTTCGTGCCCCAGCACTCGGCTGAACCACCTTGAATGCAAAGCCGACAACAAACACGACTGGTGGGCACACAAACCAGCACCGGGTGGCTGCATGAAGCTATCCATCCATCTATCAACCGCTCAATTGTGTGTGTGTGTCTGTGTGTGTGTGTGTCAGTGAGTCCAAGGGCTGCTGCTGGGACCCTCTCAACCCATCGCTATACGGCCACCCATTCAGATGCTACCACACTAAACCGCCCAAGAAAGGTCAGCAAACACGCTTATCTGTTGTCTGCTCTACCCGCACCTATGTCTGTGTTCATATTTGTGTGCAGAGGGTGTGTGTCCCAACCGCGCCACGAACGACATCCGTTGTCTGCCCGACAAGGCCAGCCAGGCCGAGTGTGAGCAGGCCGGATGCTGCTACGAACCCAACAGCAGAGGACGGCCATGGTGCTACCACAAGACCAAACCCAAAACCACTGATGGTATGTGGTTGGTAGGGGAAGACCCTCATATCGTCGCGCATCATACCATATACAAATGTCCGGTGCGTGTGTTTGCGTCAGGTGTGTGCCCCAATGGTGAGTATCGTGTGCTTGACTGCATGCCGGAGGGAGGTGGACGCAGAGCATGCGAGGTGAGATGGTGTGACAACACATACACGAAAATACATCATGTGAGCCACACGCCGATTGTGTGTCTGTGCGTGTACGGCATTGATCGATCAGGCGAAGGGCTGCTGCTGGGATGCCGACGCACACAGGCTGCCGAGGTGAGATAGCAGCGGAGCACTTACTGACCCTTCATTGCATTCACGTGTGGATGGATGGACATTCGTGTCAGATGTTACTTCAGTGCGGCTGCCTACCACACGTCAGGAGGGCGGTCATGGGGCAATGACAAGTCGGGCAAAAAAGGAGGAATGGTTGCAAGCCCCTCCCTAGCAGCATACGACGTCCGCGCAGGTACGTCGATGAAAACACACACACACACGCACACACGCACACGTGTCCGCATCCATCCATTTGTGTGTCCATCCATCCTTGCGTCCGTCAGCGAGTGTGCGGCGCACCCAAGACGAGATGGGCGACACGCAGACAACCATCGGCGCCTCCCCTCTGTTCTCCCGATGGCGCCTATGGCGGACGAGTAACGAGACGGACAGCGACAGCGACAGCGACGGACATGCTGCTGAGCGTCCGTTTGATGCGTCAAGCCCACCAGCACCGCCACGCGCAGACAAGAACAAGTGAATGCCGACGGCCGGCCGATCGACAGGAAGAGGGGGCTCGGTGGCCACTGTGCGGTGTGTGGCCATTCAATCCCTCAGTTACTTATACAGCTGGTCTGTTTTTGAAAGCCAGCCGCCCTTGTGCGGTGTGTGTCATTCATTGAGCTGATGTGCGGCTGGCCATTTAATGTGCACGCCTCTGATCAAAGGTAGTCAGTCAGTCAGTTTGTGTCGGTCGGCAGGTCGTTCTTTGTCAATCGCAGTGAGTAAGCAAGTAGCGGAATTCGAGCACCTGGATGTGTGTCGACAGGCTTGTGTATGGATGACCATGTAGTTGCATTTTGTCTGTGTGTACGTGCCTTGTATGTATGTATTGTGTCTGTGTGTGCGCACCGCGTGCCTTGCTGTGATCATTGAACACGCCTAGCAGCTGATCATGAGTAGGTCAATTCTATTAAGATTACTGACGGGGAACAATCCAACACGTCAGCGCACCGAGGCAAGACACAGCTGCACCCCTGGCCTGTCTCGTCGATCTTTCAATGTCTCGATATCCGTCTCAAAACTCATGGCATGACACACGCATAAGGAGACAGTGTCACAGAGAGTCCGTGCAAAAAAGAAAACAATGTGAGCGCACGAACGCAGAGTGGCGAGACATATAGGGATGTTTGGGTGTCATGTTCGAACCACCAACCCGTCTCCTGCCCATCTATCAGTGCCTCTGTCGACTTAGACCAGAAGAACTGCGGAAAAATATCTCCTAAAAGAAATCTCTACTTACGACAATAAGACTGCTAATACCATCAGAACAGCCGCTAGAGCTGCTGCAGACGTCATCGAATGCATCGGGGCTGCTTTGCTGTCGAGCTCGTCCTGTGTAGGCTCTGATGGCGAGCCGTTCTCTGGCGAGCCGTTCTCTGGCTGATCTTGAGGTTCCCCTTCGGGCAGCTGGAAGTTGTCGCCTATTGTGCCAATGCCCTTGAAGCACTTGTCGTTGCCGGAGGAATGAGGACCCACAGGCAGCACCTGCACATACATCAGGAGCGACAGAAGTGAGACACAGGCAGACAGACAGAGAACCTAACAAGTCTGTACGGTGCTTTTCCATTTCTCTGTGTGGTGCTTACATCTTCTCCGGCTGCCATTGGCACGCAAATACTGAAGTGTCTCAGCAACCGCTCGACCTCAGGCTGGAAAGAGGGGTTCGACGCGCCGATCTGATCGCTGGTCGGAGCAAACCATGCTGCGCGCAGGGAGAAAGATGGCATGAATGGCCGCCTTTGGATGGGTATGGCAGCTTACATGGGTCATATTGGATGATTGTGTGTTGGTTGATGTCCCCTTTCCTCCAATCAGCGAAGGATTCATTCGCTTGAAAGCCTTCTCCAATCTGCACAGTGTCGCTGCCGTGATCCTCCCACCCCTCGATCCACCTGCCGCGCGCCGCTGCCCGCAGCTCCGCCAGCGTTTTGTATCGCTCGCTGTCATCGGGCTTGCCCTGACCGATATCGACCAGCTTCGCAGCAGCAGGCAGCTTATATTGGTTGTAGTCGACGATGTACTCTTCTCGCGGGAACAGCTGGTTGCCAGGTGCCACAACGTTCACACCCACGGTGTCGCAGTCCACAAACAGGCTACATCAGCGAGACACAAATGTGTACGCGTACACGCACAAGGTGAACATGAGAGAGACGCATTGGGCTGCTTACTTGTTTTCGATGGTGAATTTGCCTGGATGTTTGAGATGTCTCTCGACTGACCGGACACATTTGGAGGCTCCGACGACGACATTGTTCCTGCAACCACGCACAATGCGAATTCTCACATGTATCCGTGTTGTACACCAAGCGTACTCACATGAAAATGTACTCAGTATCCTGCGCAGGCACACACACAACAGAGCGTCAGCAGGTCTGCTACACGCTCTGTTCTTTAGACCGTCTTACCAGTTTCTCGTTTCTGTGCCACGTCACGCCCTTTTCTATTGGTCAGTGCGCGAGAAGGACAGACAGTGACGTATTCACATGCAGTGTGCGTACTCTGACCTACCGTGAATGTTGAAGACAACCTGGAGGAAAGCAGGTATGCCATGCAATTAGTCCAACCCTGCACACACCTTCTTGGGTCGGCCTACGTACGTTTCTGAAAAAGACTCCCTGAAAAGACAAGCACGCGGCGACATAGATCCGGCCACGAGAGGCTTTCATTGCTTCCAGCTCACGCCGTATATGTACTCGGCGTACATGCCTGAACCAGCTCCAGCACACGACCTCTCGATGTGGGTCCCGTCCAGCCGAAGGTGTTGCTGATTGTCTGTGCAGGGAGACACGATGCTCGATAATCTTCTCGCTCAGTCCCCCAGGAATTTCTATGGCGCCTACGTTTTCCTGACAACAAACAAGGAGATCGAACAATGAAATAAGGCACACAGCAGAAGGGCAATACACAACTGACCATGAAGAGAGTCCCAAAGGGCTTTCTTCCACTGCAGCAGCGGATCAGCCACCCTCTTGCCTGTGCTCTTCCACTTATATGCACTCAGTCGTTCGCTCACCTAACAGCTACTGTGCCTGCAAAGCAGTAAGTGTATCCATCTCTGCGCTGCCTGCCCCATGGTCCATCCATCTCTCTGCCCACCCGCATCCGACTTCATTTCGGCTGCTCTGTTGAATGTGTTCCACGCGATGAGATTGTCACCATGAGCAGATGGGTGAATCTCAGGATATTTGAACGCATCTGAAGTTTCTCCATGTTGTCCGTATCTACATTGAAGTGCATACCCTCCAACCACCTGCAATAAGGCATGAACTAATGAGGCAAAAGGACACAGGAGACAGCTTTATGTCTCTCTTCAGCGTTGCGAACGACGTGACCTCGATAGTGTTGTGGACGAATGTGATGTTCGTTGCGAAATGGAACGTGACGGCTGCAGGGGTGTGTGACGGCTTCCCCACCTGCATTGTAAAACCCATTTGTAAAAACGTGACCATACGCAATGCGTCTGTATTCACCTTATACAGCGGGTACCTGCACACACACATTCATTTGCCAAGATGACACACACGGGCACTCACGCCCTTATTTGAGCACTCACTCGTAGGGGAAGCTGGAGTGGTGAAATCTGTTGCCGCTAAAGTACAAGTCGCGCACACTAGCTTCGCCTGCACAACGACAGCACAAACCAAACAACACACACCCTTCATAGAGTCGAGTCTCTCTTACCGTTCACGGGGTCGCGGCCTCGTTCGTTTTTGTTGCCCTCAGTGAAGAACGGAGTCGAAAAAATTCGTTGGCAGTGAAGCTCCAGAACCGCGTCTTCTTGTGTGGCTTCGACCGATCCAGCCGTCGAACCAGCCAGACACCATTCACGGCGCTGTGGAAGGGGCAGTTGTTGACATTGATGTGCTCAGAGGATCTGCTGGTGGGGTAGGTTTCCTTTAGCATCTCCTCGAAAAAAGAGAAGGTGAGTCCCGACAGCTCGACAAAGCTCTTGTCGGTCAGGTCGAGGGCAATCTTCTGATCGCTGGCGTCCCCCACGATCTCTATATCGCTCCATTCGACGTCGTCTGGCTTCCACACATACAGTAGGCCTGTACTCTCGTCAGAATAATACTACAAGCACACAGTGCCGCACACAGAGGGAGACACAATGAAAATCCTACTTCTTTCCCGTGTTGTACGCTCACTTCGCCAGGGCTGTCGAGAAAGGCCATTTTATTTGCAACATAGTAGTGGGCAAATGCACGGAATCCCGGAAAGCTATTCGCACGGAATCAGATATTGGGAGCCGAATTGCTTGATGTATTTCGCGTACGTTGGGTCTCTGCAGTAGAAATTTGCTTCTTGGGTGTCTGCAGAACAAGAAAAGCGACTCTCCGTTTGTGAGACAGAGGGACAGGTGGTAAATGTTTTACTGATGGTGATTTTTCCGGCTTCCTTGTCGTGTGTCTTGACTTCTGCTTGCATGTTCCAAAAGCCATTTCTGCCGCTAGACTGCATGATCGAACAAGCAAAGGCAACAAAGGGTCAGAAGTGACTGTCCAGCTGGTTGTTCGGCGGGGAGTCACTTGACGTACCGCAATTATGATGGCACCAACCAAATCGGGTAGCGTCTTGAGGTTCCCCTTTGGCTGAGGATCTCCGCTCTCGGGAAACGTATCGACATCGGTCATAGTGTTAAATGACCACGTATTCTCGTCACAAAATCGGTCAGGGCCCTCCTCAGCGGATGGATCGCAGCTTGGGACCCTACTACCTCCGTCGGCCACGTACCAATGCTGCGAATGACACAAAACAGCAAAACGTCCTCCCCCTCCCACAAAACCAGAGCCTTTGTATTCGTTGATGCGGCTGCATGCCTGCAAGTATTTGTATTCATCTGGAGGGTCCGGCAGACGAAAGTTAGGACTCCGAGCGACATGATACTTCTTGCTGCAGACGCCAGCTGTCTTGGTCTCACAGAGCCACCTCGGGGCTCGACTGAGGCTCCACGTGCCGACATAATTTCCTCCGTCCTTCAACTTTGTCACATCAGCTTTGAAGATGCTTGCTTGATCTGAGGTCCACTCGAGCGCACTGCAAAAAGGACAGATGAGAGACGAACAACTGTCTGTGTGACAACACAATTGCACGTTGCCCCATACAACGCCCATGCTGCACCCACTCAGCACGGATCGACCCGACAATGGCTGTGTCCCTGGTTTCCTCGCCAACAAATCGGATGGGCTTGCCGGGTTCGCCATTGCCTTTCAGCTTCAATGCTCCTCGATACACTCGCTTGGCAATGTGGACGGTCGTGCCCTGCCGTGCTATCTGAAATCGATGAGACACACGCGGGACAATACATGGCGTCAGGCGTCTCTGTTTTCTCATTTGTGTCAGTCGCACCTCTGCTGCTCGGACTATTGATGCGAGGGGGCTGTCTTGAGTGCCCTCGTTTGTGTCTGCTCCCGTCTGTGCGTTGACGTACACGTCAGGGAGGGATGGCACGTACATCGAAATGCGATCAAGGCTGAGTTGTCCTTGCACGTTGGCTCCCCAAGTGACGTACCTACAGACACATATTTCACACGCAGAGACACACCACGAAACCATGAATCCACCATTATTATATGTGTCTCTGTCTCTGCAAAGTACCTACCCGACGCGAACATTGGTCACGTCTGTGTCTGTCAACATGAGCTCCTGGAGCGTCTTCTCAAACAATAGATTGCCGTCCTCGCACACGAACACCCCTCCTTCGCCACCCGTCCCCTTGGTCAGCGTGTAGCCGATAACGTACTCGTGCGTCGAGCCATCATCCTGTAGGCTGAAGGCATTTTCGCTGCTTCTCACCTCCCCAGACTCACTCGTATAAGTGAGCATGCCCTTCAGCGTGCTGTCATGTCTGTACACGACCAGGCTTGCAACGCGTCCATTGCTTTCCCCCTTCATGTTGACAAGCTCGAAACCGTTCTTGCTGACCCCGTCGGTGCCCGAGAACCTGTCTTCCGACGGCACATTTGGTAGATTGAGCTGTGAGAGGTCCATTGTCGCGGACAGGGCTGCCCGGGTGGATGAGGGCATATTGGCAATGCCCTGCTGAAGGTCAAAGTAGGCATTCTTCGCTGTGGAGATGACCGCCTTCCCGTCTCGAATCGTGACCCCCTAAACCCGCCTTTCCTGCAGACATCAAAGTAACACACGCAATGATTGCCGGCTCTTTGCATCTTATGCATGCGTACATACATACATTCGCCAACCCAGGCCTTCTTCGTTGCTCCCAAATGTGTACTCCGCAAGCGGCAGCCATCCTGTCCCTTCGCAGTTGTTCGCGCCGTCATCCGTCCATTGGTCCACCGTCGCCTCACATTGGGCCCCGACCAAAAGGGAGAAAGCTACAAAAAGCCGCAGAATCATCCTTCGGTGCCGCCCCTTACCTGCATCCGAATCACACATCGATGCACCAGAACACAGCATCCTTTGCAAGCTCGCGCCCTTGGCCCCCGGCAGCCCCCAGAAGACGGGCGCTAGCCTTGGAGATGGCCTCAGAAACGCCAACGGCGAGAAACTTTGCTCTCCGGATCCTGAACAAGGCCAACAGCCCTGCATGGGTAAGCGGACAGGTTTCGTGAAGTGAGAAAGCACGTCAGCATGTACTTATGTCAGGTGATGCTTGTGCCGGCGGCTCCACCTAAGAAAGTTCGGAAGCAGCTGAAGAAGGAAGAGAGCAAGTACAATAGAACAGCCATCGGACTGGAGCTTAGCGGGGAAATCAGCGGCGTTGGGGTCGGCGCAAAGCCAACGATCGAATGGGAGACCCGGTATGAACAATGCAGAGGGAGACATTATGACACTTTCTCCTCTCTCACGCAATGCAGGAAAAAGAAAGAAGAGGAGAAGGAGATAGAAATTGAATTTGGCTTCTTCCGCTTGGCAAAGGAATGGCACGAGCTGGTCCCTGGCGCAGAGACGACCCAGGACACCATCAGCCCCTGCTACATCTCCATCTTCATCGAGGACAGCAAACACCAGGTCGTCGACCGCATGATCCACCCTGGCTTGCTGAAAGACGAGAACGGCATAGTACTCGTCAAAGCGAATCCGCTCTTCATGCCCTACAAGCAGTATCTTCGCCAGCAGGAGAATATCAAGGCTGCATTCTTCCGGCTGCACATGTACGACATTCGTACCGGGAGGAGTGACATGGTACTTACCGCTGAGAGCGGTGTCGGTCGCACTTTCATTTTTTTGAAAGAAAGGACGGGCCGCAACGAAGGCGAATCTGTGGATCCATCCCAGCTGTGGAGGTGGAAGAAAGACTCTTTCTGCACCAGCGACGTGGCCCGTCGTCTTGTGCCAATGGCGTTTCCGGATAAGACTCTTCGAGTCTACAAGAGCAATAAATTGGTGCTGGACACGCCGGGGGAACAGACCGGCACGACCGACGACAAGAAGGAGGAGGCCGAAGATGAGCAATGGGAGATGCTGCCTCCCGACGAGCCATGCGATTTGTATCGTTTCATCCCTGACGCATGCTGCAAGCCTTCGGTCTCGATGGAGCACGACGAGCTTGTGCATAAGGCGGAACGAAGGGTCAGCACCAGCACCACGTACGACACGAAGCCGTCGACATTATCGTGTAAGGGCCTGAAGGAGCATCTGATGTGTGCGGTGGGAAACACTGTCGTCATGAAGAAGATCGGATGTTGTGACTGGACGCCCCACCTGTGGCAAGCTGGTGAACCAATCATGATGGAAGGTACTCATGGGCTGGAGAGGAGACGTGTGGTGTGTATATTAGTGTGTGTTCGCATACGTGTCGTGCCTGTGTTGAATAGTGTCTCGCTTCTGTTCTCAGGCCAAACGCTCTCAGTCGATCGGAAAGGGGCGGCTCAGGACGCAGACACGACAGGAAGCGGAGAGGTCAAGCAGGGAATGGAGCGTCCGTCCCTGCCGTGAATGCTTTGAAGTCCTCTTCATGTCTCTTGTCTCTCGTTCCAGAACAAAACCATCTTTGAAGCGTGTGCCGAGGGTGACCTGAAGGCGTTGATCAACTTCATCGAAAAGAGGGCCGCGAGCGTCTCGAAGAGGCTGACGATGACGGCTTCACGCCCTTGCACTACAGCGCCCAGAATGGCCGGGAGAAGCTGGTCAAGGAGATTGTCGAGCAAGGAGGAACACATCTGATTGAGAAACGGACGAAGGTTCGAGAAGAGCCCACCCCGATTCACCTAGCGGCGAAAAGAGGGCATGTGTCGGTGGTCAATCTGTTGCTGGGCACGGGGGAAGAGCATCTTTTGACCATCAAAGACAAGGTCAGTGTCTCCAACAAACAGACAAACAGACAAACAGACGCACACACACAGTGTCTGTCTGTGTCTCTTGATTCAGTACGGCCGCACAATTGCCGGCGTTGCTGCGGAGGAAGGACAGCTGAAAGTGCTCACGGCCATCGTCAAGCGAAAAGAATTCGACTCCATCCTCTCGCTCGAGTCCTATGTAACAACACATCATGTGTGAGCAGGGCTACACGCCTGATCTGTGTCTGTAGTGCCGGACGATATTTCACAACGCTGCCTTCGGTGGCCACGTGGACGTGTTGCGGCAGTTGGTGGAGTGGAACGGCAGCCCCGAACCCCTCAAAATCCCCGACCAGCATGGCTTGACACCCCTTCACATGGCTGCAATTGGCAATCGTGTGGAGGCGATGGAGTATCTGCTGAAGGAAGGAGGAGTGACGCTGCTCCAGACAATCAACACGGTGAGCAAAGACACCGGAGACATACTTTCCGTAATCCCTGTTTCCTCTTTATCCCTCTGCGTCCCGTTTGGCAACACCCCCATGCACATGGCGGGTATGCAGCGGCACAGGGAGGCGGTCATGTGCATGGTCAACAAGCAAGGCGGCCGCGAGCTCCTCAAGCGAACCAACAATCACGTAAGTGGGCCGACACAGAGCCACGGCGAAGCAATTTCTCTCCCCGTCTCTCTCTGTGTGTGTGTGTGTGTAGGGAGAGACGCCGATCGATTTGGCGAGGGAGAGGGGCCATGAGGATCTAGCGACAGAGTTGGAGCGTATGGTCTAATAGAGACAGACATAGCGTTGTGAGTTCTACTTGACATTATGCTGTCAAATAGGCTGACGCCCGCCTTAGTTTCAGGTGTCTGCTAGTAGACCGTAATCAAGCCTGCCAATCGACCAAGGGGTATAAAAGGCGTCAATTGGCGTGAAATTTGTGTCTCCCCAGCCTTCTGCGTAAGCAGTTGAGCAGTTGAGCATTCCAGCTGGGCAGCATATTGCAATGCTGAGAGAAGCATTCTTGCGTCTGTGTGGGTGCGGCCCAGACGCACATGAGATGAGCGGGCGGGCGGACATCACAGTAACATTGCTGACATATCGAACAGATAATTGCTTTAGACCCAAGACGAGACGACGGGCGAGTGAAGCACAGCACCCAGAGAGCTGTCTCGTGATCGATTCAGAGCCTAATGCAGCGACACACCCAAAAAGCATTCAGACACAGACACAGAGAGACATAGACACCTGCCGGCCATAACTCCCTCTCTCTCCCTCTCTCTCTCTCTCGGTGACTGTGTGGTGGAGTGTGTCTGCCATGGCGGACATGCATAGAGTGAGCTGACAATTGCGCCTTTCCTTTGGCGTCTGTCAGACAGTTATCAGACCCATTCAATAGCAAGAGACAGACAGAGATGCCGCCGACACCATTGGCAAGACAGACCTCTCTCTCAATGATTGTTTAAGTAATGGCAAAGTGAGCTCACATTTGTGTGGTCGGCATCTTTCCTTTCATGTAGCTAGGCAAAACGGCACTTACACTCACACGATCCATCCATACATCCACCGATCTGTATACGTCTGTATGTGTGCACACACGGGAGATCTAGAGTCAACATGTCTCCGACAAAGGCTTCACAACCGACACACTATATAACACCCCCCGGCAATCGGCGCGTGACAAAAAGAAGAAAAATCTATGGAACAGACAAGACACACCCACAAGTGACAGACAAATTGTGGCTCCTCTCCGTGTCGTGCTTGTTGTCATGAGGATGGGCAGCCTATAACAGGTGGTGTGAGTGAGAGACAGTGTTGACATGTGCTTGAAGACCCGCCCTGACATGTGCTTGAAGGCCTGCCACTGGTCGTGCCACTGGGCCGCCTCCCGTTAGTTCCCACCAGCTCTCCAGTCTCCCTCCATCTCGGCGTCCCGAGAGCCAAGAGAAACACCCGCCATCCCGGCAGCCAAGACTATTTATCAGACACGCATCCAAGTACTGCCAGACAGACACACGCCCAAAAACAACAGACATGTGCGATGAGATCTGTCTGTTTGCGTATGTGTGTGTTGGCTGACCTCTTCGGTGTTGTTTGTCTGCCAGAGGAGACGAGTATGGTGTTCTGGACACTCATGTGGAATGTCATCGAGTGGTGCTGCTGGTTAAAACCGCCTCGCCTCTCTCGGTGCTGTGATCTGACGATGAATTGATCTCTCTCTCTCGGCTCTCAGATGCACCAGAGCCGAGAGCATCCACGCCAATGGCATCAACAGCCCCACCCTTCTCAATCCATCCACCCAGTGACCCAACCAGCCCGCCATATCCCCAAGTGCTCTCTTTTGCGCTCCTACACAGTGGTGAATGCGCTACGCCATGCCGTGGCGCACCACGTCGGTGCGTACGGGAAGACGATAGCTTGTCATCGCCCCCGTCTACGCAGCTCACGCTCTCTCTGTGCAAACATCAAATCTCTGACTGAGAAAAACTCTCACCAAGTCCTCCCACCTGCCCACCTCTCTGCATGCTCCCTTCTCACACCGTGACGAAATGCAAAATGGGGGCTCCGTCTCATTGAGACGATCCCATTGTCACTCTCCAGATCTATTCCATCGCGCTCTCTCTCGCTCTCACTCTCTGCTGCTGTTCCAATGCTGCTCTGACGAAAACCGCATGTATTGCAGGTCAGACAAGGGAGTCGCGTGAATGAATTGATGGCTGAAACCTCGGTCTCAGCCAGTAGTAACGCCCAAATGCTCAAGAATCTCCTGCCCGTCTGGACGACGCCACACACAGACACGGCCACACAGACAATAAGCACGTGGAGAGATCCTTGAGCGTGTTTCCTGCTCACCGACGAGCTCCTGGGCAACGATACCGGCAACGGCGATCATGGCCAGGCGGCCGTTGTTAAGCTCCTTGGCGCGCAGGTCATTGAAGGCATCCTCGGTATCTGGCTCGAGGTTGAAGGGGTCGAAGCCGAGGTTGCCCGCCTCGTAGTCCTTTCTCAGTACGAACAGTTTGTTGCTCCTCGGCTTCGCCCACCCCCTGCGGATGCTGCGCACCAACACCAATACACACAGGAAGGACACGGGCGGAGACGCAATGCAGATAGATGAGATGCTGCGTCGATCGGTGTGTGTGGGTGGCTGGGCCGAGAGCTCACCTGTAGGCCTCAATGCCGAAGATGCCCGCCACGATAATGGCCTGGAAGGGGAAGGGCACCTGCTGGAAATGATCTGCACACACATCGACATCACACAGTGACAGTGAGCACAGGAAAGGTGGCTGCTGAGTGTCCTCGCTGCTGCCACATACTGATAGCGGGTCCAGTGATCTTGCCGTCGAAGAGCGGATTGAAGTTCTCCTGCACGAGCATGCCGAGGGCGGCGAGCATGCAGACACGGCCGTGCTTCAGCTCAGCCTCACGCCAGCGCTTGATCTGCACATGGAGGACAGCCACAGCACAGCCACACACATGCAGACACACAGACACACCGAGTCGTCTCCTCCCTCGCCTTGCGTCTTTCGAATGCCTACCTCATTCTCACCGACATCGGGGCCGCTAGCCAGACCGAGAGGGGTCCCAGCCAAGGGGAAAGGGAGCCACCGCACCGTTGATGCCCTTGGAGATGTCGACAGCCATGCGGGGCACACTGCTTTGACGGAGTCGGCGGAGCGGGGCCGGCAGGGCGGCGGGAGGGGACACGAACGCCTCCTCTGCTATGACACTGCTGACAAGGGCAACGAGGCCAACGAGGGCTGCTGCGAACTCCATCATCATGGCAGATCTGACGGGGGAGCTTGTGCAGACAGGTGAAGCTGACGTGCTAGAGATGAAGCGTGAACAGGTGAAGCTGACAGGCTAGAGATGAAGCGTGAAACGACCGTGAAACAGGTGTGCGAGCTACGTCTGTTACTGCAGCCTCCGAGACCAGCAGAATCCATGGGGTCAGCTCTGATGCCATGGACCAGCAGGGAAGCGTCTGAGGTGATCTGCTGATCTGCCCGTCTGAGCATCCAGGAAGGTTTGGAGAATTGATTGATTGATGAGCATCCAGGAAGGTGAGGAACTCGAAGATCTGAAGGCAGCATGCTTGTGGATTCCTCAGCTGTCGCTTTGCTTCAATTTCTGTGCAGCATCTCCAGTGAGGACCTCCGCTGCCGCCCGTCCATCAGCGTCAGGTACCGAGGCAGACCACACCGAGCTGTGAGCCTCGCTGGGATCGGTGTGTGTGCGTCAGATCGGTCAATTTTGCCTCACGTGTTCGCTCGCCGCCTCGATAGACTCAAACAATCAGACTGGTGTCTCACGCAGGTACAGGTACGTCAGGGCCGAGAGAGGCGCGCGGCATCCGGCCACCCGACCAATCAATCAATCAGTCCCCATCTGTCTGTCTGTCTGTGTGTGTGCATGTGACTGACGCAATTGTAGGCACGCAGACCATGCTGCTGCCGCTGCTGGTGGGAGTGTGGGCCACTGCCGTCGTCGCATTCGTGCCTCCTCTCGGCCATGCCGTTCGCCACCTGCAGCATGTGGGTGTCCACTCTGCTGGCCAGCAGCAGCTGGACGTGGGGCGAGCCGAGCCGACTGAGTGGATGGCCGCCTGGCCTCTGCCCACCGTCATGGTGCCGTCATCTTCGTCCACTCCCCCTCGACGCCGGCGGCTCCGTGGCTCCACTGCACTCATGGTGGGTCGGTGGGAGAGGGAGGCAGGCGAGGCGGCCGATAACTGACGCAGGCACGTGAATGTGTGTGTGTGTGCGGGGTGCAGGTAATCAAGGACGCCGACGCCGTCTCCGCCGCCGACCTGGACAGTCTCATCAAGGAGCTTCGGGAACAGAAGGCGGCGCTGGAGCAGGAGAAAGCAAAAATCGAGCAGGAAAAGGCAGAAGTCGAGCAAGCGAGGGCAGAACTGCAGCAGCAGCTCGAGCAGGAGAAGGATCCCGACAGACGCAAATTCCTCGAGCAGCGCATCCTCAACACCGACCAGCTCATTCTGGCGACCATGAAGGCACGCAGCGACCTCGATAACCGACTCAATACCCTGGACCAAGCAATCGGCAGCACACAGCGCCCTGGTACGCTCGCACCTCACACACAGAGAGGCAGGGAGGAGGGAGGGAGGGAGAGCGACACACACACACACACAGATGACGACAAGAGAAAGAGAGAAATGCGCACATATGACGACAGAGAGAGCGAGAGAGAGAGAGAAAGCGACCTGGCCACGGACATAACGCGCCACATGGGTGTCTTTGTCTGTCTGTGTGTACGTGTGCGCTGCAGACGCCGTGACCAAGGAGTTCTTGAACAAGAGGTTGAACGAGGAGAACGACAAGACGCTCCAGTTGATCACCATGCTAATGCAGATGAAAGAGCTCGGGGAGGAGGAGAATTTTCGCAGGCGCCAGCAGGAGCAATCATCTCACTAGTGACGACAGGGAAGGTCAAGCATTTTTCTGTGGAGCTGCTGACATGGCGTCAGATGATCAAGGCTATCACTGGCTGCACTGATGACGAGATAGACGAGGGCCTGAAGCAGTCTGCGGTCCTGCTGGCGCAATTTGAGGATATGCAGACTGAGTCAGAAGAACTTAGGCAGGAAGGGAAGAGGGAAGGTCCAGCTGTGCGAGACCCTCTGGGTCGTTTAAAGGGTCCTTTCTTGCAAGTGTGTGGCTTGTCCAGTGGAGTGTCTGTGGCTGTGGAAGCGGATGACACTGGCAAGCCAGTACCTAGGCTTCTTTTCAAAACTTTTAAGGAAGGAGAGAAGCAACTGTCTTACGAGCGCTTCACGGGCAAGGCAGGGGACACGGCGTTTTTGTTTGACCAGGCAGCCTCTGTCATTTTTTGTTGTTCTGAGGCGAAGATGGCACCGAAAACCAAAACAGACTCGTTTTTGCCCAACGTAGAGGAGCATGGGATGTTGGTTGGCGGCAGGCGCTTTCTCCAGCCACGCACACCGAAAGAGATTCGTAAGTTACTGCAGCAAGCTTCCTTTGAGGGGGGTGCATCGAACTCTCCTGTGATTGTCACTGACTTGAAGCGGCTGTGGTGTGTGTGTTTTCCTCGATGCGATTACTTTTTTCGCGGGTCCGACAGAGAAGATGATCGCGATGTGGTCATGACACAGATGGATTGGTTAGAGCAGGGAGACAAGAAAGAGGCGCTGTGCTTTCTTTTTTTACTCATACGGTACCTGCATTCGCACACACAGAAGGTCGCTGAGTCTTCGCTGGATGTTCTTCTTTACATTGCGAGACGTGCGAGAACGATAGGCGACAAGGTGTGGTTTGACAGGTTAAGGATAACCCCGGATAGTAGGTGGAGAGTCAAGCGGATACCGTATGGGAAGGGAAAGGGAAAGGGAAACGGAAGAGGAAGAGGGGAAAGACGACCTGACTTTGTGTGTATGTGTATGCGTATGAAAGCCTTTAGTGTGCAGCACAATTGGATACGGACTCAAATTGGTTGGCTTGTGCATACACACCCACAAACAAACACCCACAAACAAACACCCACAGCCGCTTCCTCATGTCTCATCTGTGCAAGTGCTTTGCAATGCCCAGTTGGTTGACAGCTTTTCAGGTAACGCATCATTCCATGTTGCAAGTCAAGCAAGGACAGACAACCATACAGACAGACAGGCTCAAGATTTTGTCTGGGTCTATCTATGATGGACAGACAGCCCTCACACACGTGCAAAGACAGCAACCAGCCAGCCGTGTGCCCCACCCGACACATCCATCCCTCCCTCACTGCTTCTTGTCACTGTCGTCTTTCTTGTCGCCACCCTCGGCACCAGACGGACCCTCACCCTGCCCACCATGCAGCTGCACACATAACCACACAGCACACCACATCTCACCACACACTTATGGAAGCATGGACAGTTGCGTACCTGCTGCAGTGCCTCCCTGATGCGGGGGTCGTTGACGTCGACGCCCACCAGGCTGCCCAACATCTGACCTTACGCACACACACACACACACACACACAAAGAGGATCGACGGGATGACATCCTTGTCTGCTTCTGTGTGTACCCGCTCCACGAACGCGGAAGCACCCAGCACCAGCACTTGCAGCAGCAGTTGCTGAGGCTCCTGCCGACCCAATGACACACACACACACAGGCAAAGCGTCGTGAGAGAGAGCGAGAGAGAGAGAGAGAGAGTGCCGCGCATGTGTGTGTGCGCACCGGCAGCAGCGGCAGCGGCAGGTGCAGCGGGTTGCTCCTCCTGCTGGCCTGCTCCATCGGGACGTCTGCACACACACACAGATACGAACAGCGTGTGCATCACCTCACATCCGTCATCCCTCCCTCCCCTGCCAGCCTGCCTACCAGCGGCCGGCGGTGCAGCGTCTTCCTGCAGCGACAGCAGCAGCGCCTGACGCAACTCGTCATCAATAGCTGCCAAGAAACATGGACACACGTGTGTGTGAGGCCGTTGTCCATGCGCACGCACACATACACATGAAGCAGACGCATCTTCCATGGCCTCGATCTCTGCGCGTGTCATGGCGCGGTCGGCTGATGTGTCCGCCGGTGCCGCTGGGGCACCTGTGGAACGAAAAAAAACCAAAAAAAAACGCACATTCACGTGGGTTTGTGCTGTAAATGAGTGAACACACTCGTACAGGCGGTCTGTGGCTGTGTCTGCCCCTCCTGTGCTGTGGCTGTGGCTGTGCCGCCCTCTCAGTGGTTTGAGTGCCTGCTGGGTGGGTGAGAATGGAATAGCCACGGTTGCGAGCGGCCGACTCCGACGCGCCACACACATATCCCACACCACTGCAAACAAAGACCACACCACACACACGCAGGCAGCCAACCACACGATCGCCTTCGAGTGTGTTCTCCCTGCCCCACTCACCGGTGGTTGTACGCGTATCGGTATCCGTAGAGCTCTGCAAACTTGTCTAAGGCGGCCTGGCGGCGGCGCATCTTCATCTCGTCGCTGTCGAACTCGCCCATCAGTGATAATGGATCCACACACACACACACACAGAGAGAGAGAGACGAGCAGCACTCAGCAGCGGTGGGGAGAGGGCCATCGCGCCACTAGACGGCCGCATCGTCACCATCAGCGCGGCGAAGCCATCGGCCACTCAGCCAGACAGCCACACCTGCACACAGACAGACAGACAGACAGGCAGGCACATGATGCCTCTGTGAAGCTGTGTTACTTACATCCGTTGGTCCACCGTCGCCTCACATTGAACCCCAAAGAAAGCCGTGGAGAAAGCTACAAAAAGCCGGAGAACCACCCTTCGATGCCGCCCCTTGCCTGCATCCGAATCCCCCATTCGATGCCACCCTTCGAACTCTCCCCCTTGCCTGCATCCGAATCACGCGTCAACATAACAGCGGAACACATCATTGTTCGCTGCCTCAGTTCATTCCCTTACCCTATCGATAACAGCAGGAGGTCTGGCCACAGGCAGTTGTTCAAACGCGTTCGGGCTCGAGACTGTTGCGCCCCCACTGGCCCCCAATTGCAAGGAGAAATCGAAATGGCTTCGGACACGCCAATCGCCAGAAAATCCGCGCTCCGCATCCTCAACAAGACCAACAGCGCCGCATCGGTAAGCGAAGCCGGGGGTAACCGTTCCGCTGGGACAGTGGGCGTGCCTTCTGTCAGGTGAAGCTTGTACCTGTGGGCGATATACAGAAGGTTAAGAAGCAGCTCAAGAGAGCTGAGAAGGAGTATGACAGGGGAGCCTTCAGAGTGGGGCTCAATGTGGGAGTTGGTCCCGTCGATGCTGGCTTGGAGGTGGAGCCCCAGAAAGAGATCAGGTATGAATCGTTGGAGAGAGAGATGCCCGTCGGTTGCATGCATCAGATTCTCGTTAATTCAGTCACGAACAAGACGAAGAGAAGGACATAGAGATTGAATTCGGATACTTTTGAGCTGCGGAGGACTGGCAGCTGCTTGACGTCAATGAAGACACCCACCTCGAAACCATCAGCCCATGCCGCCTCTCAATCTTCATCGAGGACAGCAAACACCAGGTCGTCAACCGGATGATTCACCCTGATTGGTATCAGGACGAGAGTGGCATTGTGCTCGTCAAGGCCAACCCACCATTTATCGCCCGAAATGAATACATTCGTCGGCAAAAGAACAGAGACGCCAAGCCATTTCGGCTCCGCAACGTCTACACAGATTGCTTTCTCACAGCCGAGCCTGGAGTTGCTGATGAAGTGTATGTGGTCTTGGAACCGGCTACTGGTCGCAGAGTGAGTTGGCTTTCGAGCCGTCTTGAATTCAAAACTTCACAACTTTGGAGGAAGTACGAAGACTCCCTCTGCTCCAGGGACACCTTTCGCATTGTGCCAGTGGCCTTCCCGCGTCTGACGCTTCGAGTGCACGAGAGTAAGAAGGTACTCGTACTTGGTATTCCTACTGACGAGCCGACCATCGGGATCGACAAGACTGACAAAAAGAAGGAGGCGGAGAATGAGCACTGGGAGATGATGCCTGCCCACATGGGCAAGCCATTCGACTTGTGCAAGTCTTTCTCTGCTTGCTCTGCTTGCTGTAAGCCCTCGGCGTCCAAGGACGACGAAATCAGCACGGAAAAGCACACCCGGGGCGGAGGATCAGTGCTACGTACAGCAAGCTGTCGACTCTGTCGTGCGTGGGCCTGTCGGACCATCTCATGTGTGTGGACGACGGCACGGTCGTCATGAAGGAGGAGCGGCAGCGGAATGCTTACGTGTGGGAAGCCAGCGAACCAATCAGCGTTGACAGTATGCATTGGCAGGAGAGACAATAGTTCAGCAAAATCTTGTCTCGTTTTGCTTTCAGGCCATACCACAGCGATCGATGATCGAGGTACAGGTCGAGACACGGATCGAAGAGCAAGCGGAAAGGCAAGGGCATAAATCATATGCTTCTCGTGTTTTCCCCCTGTTTGTGTATCATGTTTCGTGTATCTCCTTTCATATCCTCTTTCAGATCGCCCGTGTTGATGGCAAAAGCGCGCATCGAGATGCAAAGACGACAGCAAGTGAAAAGGTCGGCAGAAGATGAACCATGGTCGGCAAAATGTCTTATGACTCGTGTCTCTTGTCTCTTGTCTCAGGACCGAATCTTTGAGGTGCCCACACTGCCGACAGTTTACGACTCAGGCCATGTCATTCTTCCTTCACGTTTTGGACTTTTCCCAGTTTTGTGCCGAGGGTGACCTGAAGGCGTTGATCAAATTCATCACCAACGAAGAGGGGCCTGAGTGTCTCGAAATGACTGACGATAACGGCCTCACGCCCCTGCACTACAGCACCCAGAACGGCCAGGAGATGTTGGTCAAGGAGACTGTCAAGCGAGGAGGGAAGCACCTCATTGAGAAACGGACGAAGGTTCAAGAAGAGCCCACCCCCATACATCTTGCAGCGAAACGAGGGCATGTCTCGGTAGTCAATCTGCTGCTAGACATTGGGGGAGACCGCTTTCTCACCATCCAAGACAAGGTCAGGGTTGTTTTCAAATGACAGACAGGCAGACAGACAAGTGTATCGTTCATGCAGCTTTCGCGTGCCTGCTGTGTCTCTTGCATTTAGTATGGTCGCACGATTGTCGGCGTTGCTGCGGAGGAGGGACAGCTGGCGGTGCTCAGGGCCATCGTCGAGCGAAAAGGCGTCGACTTTATCCTCTCACTGGAATCCAACGTATAGTCGTCTCATGCACAAATCATGTCTCCTACACAAATCTTGCCGCTGTCTCTCTTCAGGGTCTGACAATTTTCCACGACGCTGCGTTCGGTGGTCATGTGAGTGTGTTGCAACAGCTGGTCGACTGGACCGGCACCCCGATGGCACTCGAAAGCTTCAACCAATACGGCCTGACCCCCCTCCACATGTCTGCCAGCGGCAATCGTGTGGAGGCGATAGAATATCTGTTGAAGGAAGGAGGAGTGACGCTGCTCCAGAAAACCAACACGGTCAGCGGAGACAGGAGAGAAGTGGTCTCTGTTGTCACTCTCTTCCCTCCGTTTCCACTGCATGCAGCTCGGCAACACTCCTATGCACCTGGCTTGCCTGCAAGGAAATAGGGAGGCGGTGATGTGTATGATCAATAAGGAGGGCGGCAGAGAACTGCTTAGGAAAACCAACAGACGCGTAAGAATACACACACAGAGCCATGGCGAAGCAATTTCTCTCGCTGTATGTGTGTGTGTATGTGTGTGTGTGTGTAAAGGGGAAGACGCCGATAGATTTGGCAAAGTGGAGGGGCCATGAGGATTTAACGACAGAGCTGGAGCGTACAGGCTGATGCGGGCGTGCGGGCAGACAGCACGGTGGTCTGGTGTGGTCCTGAGTGCTACTACACCTTAAGCCGTTAAATGAGGGTTGCGAATCGATGGATGCACTTAAGCTTGAGTGTCCACTACACACCACTATGGCGTCGTGGCGTGTGAATTGCGCTGCCTGCACTGCATTGCACTGCATCACTCACTCAAATGCCTGTCAGACCTGATGGCAAGCTTGCACAGTTATAGCACGAGCACCCTGCATCCATCTTAGCATGAATGTCAATATGCGCCTGTATGTCTGAGTGTGTATGTACATCAGAGTCATGATGATCAGACAAATGGACCGTTGACAATAGATTGAATACCCCCCCCCTCCCCCCCCTCAGGGCCCCAATGGCCCCCAATTGAGATCGCCTTGTTTCCCCTCTCCCCCTTCCTCCCCCCTCCCGCGAGAACGTCATGGCCAAGACGCCTCGCTTTGTGATAAAGGCGATGGACCTTGTTGTGGAACAGAAGCCATTTGGTCAGCTCCAGGGACGTCGGCTCTTGCGGGGAGTCAGCAAGGAGTGTGTGTGTGTGTGTGTGCACAAGGGGAGGGAAACTTCGGGCTCGTGTACAGCGCTAAGTGGAGGGGTGACCCTGTCGCGGTGAAGATCCTAAACATGGAGAGATACAGGGGCATGAGAACTGTCGAGGAAATGAGCAAACAAGTGAGCGAAGATGTGAGCAAGAAACCGGAGGGCACACACGCACAGTGAGCGAAGGTGTGAGCAGAAACACAGCTGGATTTTGTCCACAGGATCTGATAGCTAAGACGATGGAGGATGCTTTGATGGAGGCTGAGCCGATGTTCCCACTGCGGCATCCCAACATAGTCAAAATCTTCGGTGTCTGCCCACACGTGAAGGATGGCCGCGTAGTGCTCATGCTTGTGACCGGTACTAGGTCCGGTAGCCTTATCTGTATCTGTGTCCTCCTCCCTGTGCCTTCTTATTGATCAGAATTGTGTGAGGGTGGAAACCTGTCGTCCTATCTGGAGAAAAACAGGCCGCTACCGAAGGATGTGCGAGACAAATTTGCTAGACAGGTACACCGGACAATCCACCAAACAAGCCAAGCCTGGGCCTTTGCATCAGTGTATGTGAAAGTTATGCCTTTGTCAGTAATATGAGGGTGTCCAATACATGAACGACAAAGGAATCGTGCATCGAGACCTGAAACCGGATAACGTCCTGGTTGGTCAAGGCAGAAAGCTCTCAATAGCAGTGTGGATGGCTACAAAGTGTCTCATCTATTAAACAGTTGGATGAGAAACTTGATCTCAAGATAGCGGATTTCGGTTTAGGGCGAAGCGTTTTTTTGTCGTCCCAATTCAATGACGGTACGAGGCACGAAACGAGAAGTGAATCCGTCCCTGCGTACGCCCCCTCGTCGGCTGCAGTCGTAGGGACTGTCAACTATATGGCCCCCGAAGCATTTCGCAACAGTTGTGCGCGCGAAATACTGGATGAAACAGCAACATCATATATTTTTGCGTCCACAAATACAGATTCGGACAAGGTTGATGTGTGGGCACTAGGAGGCAGTAAGTGATCCATATACAAACGAGACGTGCAACTAGTGCATCGCCTGTTGGTGCATTTGTGTATGTGTGCGTGTGCGTATCTTCAGTACTGGTCGTGCTTCATGGAGGTTCAGCACATTCACGAAAAAGCCAGATACAACAAGGCACGGCGGTTTTGATGTAGGTCCGCCACCGTTTGAAGCCCTACGTGACTGGCAAATCAGTCAGGCAGTCGTCAATGATAGAAAGGTACGCTGCTATCTCATTCATGTGAGTGTGCTTGTGTGCGAGTGTGTTCATTCTTTGGATTGCAGATCCCTGACATCCCCGCAAACCTGCCGAAGCACACCAAGAATGCCATCAAGGCAAAGCACCATAAATAGGCCACAAGTGTGCCTTTCTCGATAGTCTTTCTTGCTCGCTGCGTTTCCCTTGTGATTGTGATTGTTGATCAGAGTTGTTTTGCCTACAACCCGACCGAGCGTCCCACAGCCGAAGAGGTCACACATACAACCAGAGACGGCAAGTAGCGAGGACCTTACGTACCCATGATGTCTGCCGGCAGGTTCTCAGAAAGCTGGGGATCTCGCACTCGACTGCAGGTGAACAACGAAGTCCGGGACGGAAACTGCTCAAGCCCTGGACGTGGCGTCGTAAATCAGGTCTATATAGATGCAGAGCGTCAATTCGATTGCTCTCTGGTGTATTCGTGGTCGTCCTATTATGCAGGTCCTACCACGCGTGGAAGTGTGCGTTCGGCGGTGGGATCTGACTGTTCCCCGTCTGGCGTCCCTGACTGCCCAGTACTGGCCGACAGTCCCGTATCGGGCGTTCACATTACCACGCCCACAGATACAAGGGGGAGGGGAGGGTCACTGCAATCGTTGTGGGCACGGCTACGTCGTGGCTCCAATCGACGAAGTCAACCCATATACCTTCAAACGCCGTACATTGCCGATGTCGTCTCGTTCTGCCCTATAGGTGACGTCTCGCTTCGTTCTGCCCCTAGCTCCCCAGTGTCGGTCTCGCAAAGATGGCTGCGTCCGTTCCATCGCAAGATTGGCCGAGGTTTTCACGCACAGCTTCGCATGCTCTACAGATTCAGCGTTTCCTGTGTGTGGTGTCGCTTACAGACAGCACGCCATCGAGCGTCAACAACAGCATCGGCACCACCACCATCGCTTCTGCGAGTGTGTCATCTGGCAATCGCTCAACGGGTCATCACACGACTGTGACGACCAGCGGCGTCTCTGTCTGTCAGCCCCCCACACAGAACAAAGATTCTCCGCGTGGGTCAGGACCGGGTCTGGGCCCCGGAAAGGGACATCTTGTGGTGCCTGCACTCGATCTTCAAAGAGCCAAATCCGTGAGTAGAATGTAATCCGGCACGCACGCGGCATGAGACATTATCTCCTCCATGCAGCTCGCACGCTCCACAGATCAAGAGCACAAGAGCATGGTACGGAAAAGCGCTATGTCTAGTCAGAGAGAAGAACATGCCAAATGGTTTGGTTGACCTGCAATGTTATGTTAGCATCTACCTCCATCAGAGCAAGCAGGTGCGTATGTACGAGACAAAGATTTGATTTTGTGTTCGCTATCACTGTAATGCAGCACTCGCCGCTCAGCAACCACAAGTCAAACACGTGAGAAAGCAAACGGTCTGGCAGACACCATGGTGCCATACGTCGTTGAGCTCTCGCTATGCTGGTCATATGCCAGCTTGACATTTTTGGGGCCGTGGAGGCCGGCGACGAAGGGTCTGTAGATGAGCTTCTCTCACGCCATAGCAACGAGATTCTCGAGAGACGAGGCGGATCCGGAGAGGTATACAATTGTGCGTACGACAGATATGTTTTCAGTGTTCTGTGTCTCCTCACTTTCCTAGGACCTTCCATTTCTTGTAGCAGCACGTGAAGGCCACATTGGCATCATGCGGATTATGCATGACAAAGAGCCGCGAGTCGTGCAGCAGACAAACGGAGTACGAACACACTAAAGAGCCAACGCTGATCAGATGCCTTGACTCCGACGGATTCAGACCGGTTGGAGTGCCCTGCATGTGGCCGCCATCAGAGATCACGTTGACGTTGTCAATCAGCTGATGGAGTGGGATCCCAAGCTAATCGATGCACGCACGAAACTGGTAATAGAGCACACACGTCTCTGACGCCCTCGACTGCCGTGCATGTGCCTGCTGATTGTAGTGGGCTGCCACGCCATTCATCGTTGCTGGCATGTATGGAAAGGTCGATGTTTTGAAGGCTATGTTTGACAAAAAGGGGCAAGAGATACTGACACAGTAGGACAATGTAAGAGACACGGGCGGAGCAACACCGAAATTCCGGCATGTGCTCTTCTGCGTGTCCTCTCTAATTTGATTGTGTTCATGACAAACACACATGAACACGAAAGACGGCTGTACGGCACTGCATCTGGCTGTCACGGAGAATAAGACTGCGGCTGTGGATCAGCTGTGAGACACCGGCGAATGATGCGAATGGCTTATCTTTTCTTTCTCTTCCTGCGTGAATGGACTAGGCTCGAGTGGGACGGCGGGGCGTCCATTCTGAAAATCAAGAACAACAAGGTGAGTGCACACAGACTGTGACAGCGCGCATTCCTTTCTTCTCTGTCCCTAAAGGGGAAGAACGCGTGAAATCTTAGTGAGGGAAAGCCTGATATTCGACAGCTTATGGAGAAATACACGATTGGGGTACGAGAAGGGAATGATTCCACCGCCTACATGGATTCCAGTAAGCAACATTAATGAATGCAGAGCATCTTCGAGGCCGTGGAGGCAGGCAACAAGCACTCCGTCGCTCACCTGATTACACAAGGCGAAATAGAGATACTCAACACACGAGACAAAGTTCTTGGGGTAAAAGCAATCGTCGGACCCACAAGCGGACTCAATGGTCTGTACATTCCTCATGGCTGCTCAGCACACACCTTTCATAGCAGCTGCACGTAACGGCGACGTCGACATTATGTCGGTCATGTATGATCGCTACGGGCCACCAATTTTGGAGCAGACAGGCTTGGTACCAATACAGGACAGGATCTTTGTCGCTGCGACAACTTTGACGATTTTTCACAGAGCCATTCTACTGCAATGCATGTGGCTGTCGGGTGGGGTAGACTCGCAGTCGTCAGGCAGCTGCTGGCGTGGGATCCCAAACAGCTAGACGCACGCGATTGGGTAACCGAGCACGCATATGTCTCTGATGCCTAAACCTGTCGATTTTGTATGCGTTGGTTTCAGCTTGGCAGCACGTCATTCATCGATGCTGCCTACAAGGGTGATGTTGCTGCGATGAAAGCTATGTTCGCCAAACGAAAGGACCTACTCACACAAAAGGACAATGTAAAACAAGAGGACCTTCTCTCACTGCTTGATTGCCTCTCTGTGTATTCATGGGACACGCAGCATGGGAACACGGCACTCCATCAGGCTGCACTCTGGGACCGCACTGAAGCTGTGTCTCAGCTGTGAGCGACATGAATGACTGGCGAATTTCTCATCCGCACTCTCTCTCTGTCTGTCTCTGTGTGTTTGTGTTCCTGGATGGGTCAGTTGTGACTGGTGTGCCCCACTTGACGTCAAAAACAACAATGTAAGCGTTCGTTCAACTATCCCACCGCGCAATGGACTCGATGGCTCGATATGTTCATTGATGTAAAAGGGGCAGACCCCGTGGGACATAGGAGCGCAGAAGCCGAGCATCAGAAAAGTCATGGAGAAGTACAAGCAGCAAGGAGGTCTGCACGTGAACAAAGTGACCACGTCTTGATCATCTTGTGTATGAATGCCCGTTGATCGGTTATGCAGTCACTCTCACACCAGCTCCGGCGCCACAACCAGACACCAAACACGTACACACTCATGAACTCATATGAAGCGGTGAATGCAGCTCTCCTTCTCAAAGACAAGGGAAAAGAGCCCTCTTGTAGTGCTTGCTGGTACTTGAAAATGCCACTCATGGGCAAGATTGCTATGCTTGTGACTATGCTCGGTATTGCAGGAGGCGATAAGTACGAGGGCGAGTGGGTTGGTGGTGTCTTCGACGGCTACGGTGTGTTGGAACGGCCAGATGGACAAAAATACGAAGGACAAGTCAAAGACAATCAGTACAACGTGAGCTGCTGACAAAGGACGGATATATAGGCTGACACGAGTGGTGCTTCGTGGTGCACGCAGGGCACCGGGAAGCTCACAGACAGAAGCGGTTTCGTGTACGAGGGCGACTTCAAGGACGGCCGGTACCATGGAAAGGGCAAATACACGTATGCTAACGGATCAAGGTGCGCGAGGAAGGATCGAAAGAGACAGTTGAAAGAAGACAGCAAGCCGGTTTGTTGTATATACTGCAGCTATGAAGATGATTGGACGGAAAACATGTACGGTGGCTATGGTGTCGAGTCGTTGGCAGACGGATCAATATATAAGGGATGCTTCAAGTGGGCACGCACAGTCAATCAGTCAGCGACACAAGAGACGCACATGATTGTGCAGGGGCGGCAAAAGGAACGGGGAGGGTGTCATCACTTGGCCTGACGGCGGTTGTTATAAGGGGCACTTCCACGAAGGCAAGAAACACGGATGGGGCAAGTTCTCGTGGCCCGGCGGCAACTCTTACGAGGTGCATGAGAGACACACATACGTCACTAAACCCATTCGATGTGACAAGTCCCTTTCTGGTATATCAGGGCGAGTGGAAGGATGGCGAGAGACATGGCAAGGGCACATATACACATGCCAATGGATCCAGGTAAGCTCAAGTGCGTGAGGATAGAGGGGAAGGGAGCAGGCAAATTTGTCATGAGCGCTGCAGATACGAGGGCGATTGGGTGGAGGACAAGCAGGAAGGCTATGGCATCGAAAAGTATTCCAGCGGACAAACATTCAAGGGATACTACAAGTATGTGTCGACTCACAAGACAGCCGGCCACGTTAGACACACACACGATTTCGCCTGTTGCTGTGCTTTGTTTGGTTGCGTGGATGCAGGGGCAACAAGAAGAACGGTAAGGGTATGTGCACGTGGCCTGATGGCAAGACATACGAGGGCCAATTCATTAACGACGACATACACGGAGAGGGCACCTACAAATGGGCTGACGGACGCCTCTACAAAGGACAGGTCATACACAGCACACACACATACATCCAAACAATAGCTACGCCGTCTTCTCATGTATGAGCACAGTGGGCGCAGAACCACATGCACGGATCGGGGACTTACAGATGGCCTGACGGCCGTTGTCATGAGGGTCAGTACAATGAGGACAAGAAACACGGATGGGGCAAGTTCTCGTGGCCCGGCTGCAACTCTTACGAGGTGCATGAGAGACACACATACGTCACTAAACCCATTCGATGTGACACGTCCCTTTCTGGTATATCAGGGCGTGTAAGGATGGCAAGCAGCATGGCAAGGGAAAATACACTGACAAAGAAGGTATGTATCCACACAACAGCAAAAGGCACTCTACATGGAGACACGTATTTCTTCATGCAGGTGTAACGAGGGAAGGCATATGGGAATGCGGCCAGTTCAAAGAATGGCTGACGGAAAAAGGTCTGTCTTCTATACGCGGTACAGCATCTAATGTTGTGTTTCGTGCAGAACCCCAGGAAGGGCACGGCAGCCGACCGGCGTCACCACAGCCGCCAAACATCAAATTCGTACAGACACACAAGAGCACATGCAATCAGGGACCATCGGATCTGTGTCGGCGTCCTTGGCGACCGCAGACTAATATCTTCGAAGCCGTCAAGGCCGGCGATGCGCAGTCCGTCGTTCGTTTGCTCATTGAGGACATGGGCATACTCGAGAAACGAAACGAGTTCGGGTACTCACCCTTTCTCGTGGCTGCGGAGAAGGGACAAGTCGCTGTCATGGAAGCCATGTACGAAAAGCAGCAATCGATACTACAGCAATCGGACAAGGTCCAAATTGAGAAAAATCCTCTTTGCTGCCGGTGAATAAGTGCTGTTTTGAATGTCATGAAATGTAGATCGGTATCACAGCCATGGACTTGGCTGCCATCAATAGTCAGGTTGCAGCCATCGAGTTTTTGCTGAGATGCGGCGGCTCCGAGCTGCTCGATGCACGAAGCAGGGTAGGAGACACCAGCGGAATGCATCGTACCCTCGTGTCGATTGTCAGTGCATTGGGAATGCAGCTTGGAATGACGTCTCTTATGAGAGCAGCTCGGTACGGTCATGTGGACGTGCTGAAGGTCATGTTTGACACAAAGGGCCGAGACATACTCGTTCATCAGGACAATGTGAGAGACACGCAGGTGCACAGAATGGCTGTCATCGCAGTTCTTGTCCGTTTGTGAGATACACAGACGGGCGAGACAGCACTTCACGAGGCTGCCAAGAGAGGTCATGAATCAGCAGTGCGATTTTTGCTCGAGGTGGGCGATGCATCTCTCCTGGAAATCAAGGACAACCTTGTAAGTGTACTCAGATTTATAAGGAATGGAAGCTTGATGTTTCTCTTTCCGTCACCAGGGAGAGACGCCATGGGATGAGGCAAAAGCAAAGCCCGAGATTCGAACGTTGATGCAGACGTACAGAACATCAGCACAGGGGAACATACACGGCTTAGAAAGCCGCGAATCACCGCAAGGTACTAGTTGGCAGGGACACGTGACGCTTTTTCATGCATCGATTGTATGTGCTGTATGCATGTGGATGCAGCAAGTCTCGCTTCAATCGGATTGGCTCAGAAGGCATGCGAGAAGAATACTTTGATATCACAGGATCTTCTTCTCCCTTTTGTAGGTACTCGACGGGTTTGAGAGTATACTTATGGAGCTACAGACGGCATTCATGAACACAAAATTGCTGGAGAACGACGAAAAGGGGTTCCTGCAAAAGGCAACTCAATGGCTGAAAAGCGTGCTGGACATGCTGAGAATGCAGCAATACTGAAGATCGACAGTGGCGAGGTCGGCTGCAGTATTTATAGTTTCCATACTTGCCCATCTGTCTGTGTGGATGCAGAGTCGTGCACGCCTTGCCGAGCTGGTCGTGGACGCCCTGAAGAACGTGCAAGACTATCTCGCAAACCTCGATGAGAAGAAAACAAAGGCTGCAGCAAAGGAGCTCTTCAGAAAAGCGATGCGACCCGCCAGTAAGCGATATAGAGGTCCATGTAGGTGTATGACTTGCTTTGTGTGGTTCAGGGGACTGCATACTGAATCTCGATCCTGAGTTCGTAGTAAAGAAGTTCCTCTCAATCATCGACAGGTGTTTAAGGACTGCACTGCACTGCAGGAAGCAAATATCCCCATTGTCTGAGCTGTTGTAGAGCCAACACCCGACTACAGCAACTTGCCGCTACGATCGATAGCAAGGACCTCGGCCATCTCAATCAGATGCCCGTTCAGCTGACCTTGAAGGCGCGTGGCAAAATCGAGGAGGCCTGGCAAACAAGTGGCGAAGAGACGCTACATCATAGTCTCGAATCACTCATCTGCCTTGGAATCGAGTTGGCCAGAGAGCTGCTGGTAGGTGGTCATTATTCTTCATCTATTCTTCACATGATTCTGGTGCTTCCCGCTCTGCAGCGCGCATTCGATTCTGAACAGCGCATGTGCGATCGTGACGAAATCAAGCCAGTCTGTGGGGCTCTTGTTGCGAAGGGCCTCGAAGTAGTCCGTGAGGTCGCCAAGCAGATGAATGTCCCTCAAGAAGACCTGACAGAAATAGTTGAGTACGCGTCAACAATGCCTGACATGGTAGCAGCCTGGCTGCCAGACGTGGAGCTGTGGGATGCAGATGAGGCGGACACCAAGTTAAAGGATGTGACAGAAGGTATGTAGACATATGAAGAGAGCATGTACCTGTGGATAATGTGTTTCAGGGCTTGCGGACATTGAAAGCTGGCTCCTCCCTCATGAGGATCACGAGGAGATGACTGCCCGGCTTGGTTTTCCATCCTCTTGGTTAGACATGGGCGTCAAGTCGCTCGCGGAACAGATGGACGACATCGAGGGAAAAAAGGCAGACGCGCGTGATTTGTTGGATTCTCGAGTGAGGCAGATGACTTCATTTGCTCAGACGGCAGACATCGACAAAATATCAGGTTTGCAAGGTATACCTCTCTACCGTATTCAAAGTATGTCTCGGGTCTCTTCCATTTTCACAGAGAAAGTCGGCGACTTTGTCGTTGAGATCGTGAGGCAGTGCCAGAGCTTGCTTCACAAGATCGACTGGGGAGAAATATCAGAGACAGCCAGGAGGCTGGCAGAATGTGCTAGCGAGCTCATAAAAACGCCATTGCTCGCATATGTGATCGGAGTGATACTGTTCTACCCAGGGTGGCGGTCGTGGCTGCAGACTGAAGGCCCAAGGCTCATTCTTAACTGTAGCGCTATGTTGTGCCTCGCTGCTTTCGTACTAGATCTTTACCGCTGAAAGAGTTTCTAGTTTGGCGGTCGATCGAGTGTCTGTTGTGTTGGTAGGTCTGTGGGTACATGTTTGTTTCTCTTGTCCGTCTTGTCGCTTAGAGCCTGCGTGCGGGCGGAAGAGCAACGTGTGTCTCGATTGATTGAGTCCGTGTTGTTCGTCATGGGATAAATTCTCATGTCTGTGTGTCTGTGTGTGTTTCTGTGTGTTTCTGTGGGTGGGCGGGTGGGAATAGGGAACCGAGGACATCAGGCATTTGATTCATCCGTAACCAGATGTCATTGAAGCACGGACTATCCAATGGCCACACCAATATAGTGGCCTCTGCATAGCTAGTCGCGCATCAACTACACTGATGACAAAGAGGGAGGAGACACAGACATCATGTGTTTAGCTGGCGTTGACTGCCACACTCACTTTTCACTAACCAACCCTGGCCTAGTACACGCAAAAAGAACGAATGACAGCATGCACACAGGCACACAAATACAGGGACGAGACGTGTATGTGCCCCATCAATATTGCGTGGGGCGGTGCACTACAGGCTACAAAAGGCGTGACCAAACATGGCATCGAGCTATGTGCAGAGTACAGATTAAAAAAAGAACTTCACTTTGTTTGCCTCAGCCTCTGTCTATCGGCACCGAAGCGCTTCCGAGCACATAATGCCATTAAACATGAATGGATGAAACAAGTACAGAGCAGCGACCAACAAAGCGCCCGCCTTCTCACTGCACAAACAGCATCGCATCGCATCGCAACAAAAAAGTTCAATCTCATCATCTTCCACCAAAAATGGCCCTACACAAAGCTGCATACGTGTCTTCTCTCCCATCATCTCCTGCTCCATTGACATACGGCAGCCGCCCGCCATCCACAGCGCAATCCAATGATCCTTCAGTGCAGTGATCATCTAGTCTGCCGTTCGTGCTGGTGCCGTCTTGGCCCTCTTCTACGTGCCTTTCCCCTCGGCTGTCTCCTGTCGCCCTTGCCCCCGCCGCCCCTTGCCCTTCCCGCCTGGTTGGCTGCCCTTGCCGCATGCACTCGACTTCACGAGATTGGACGCCCTGATCCGCTGGCCGGCAGCGTCCAGCGCTACCACCTGATAGGTGATGCACTGGCCTGCCCGGCTGCCGTTCTGCAGGACGGTCGAGTGCTCGAACAGCGTCTTGTCGTGGACGTCGATAACTGCACCATTAGCTATCACCTGCGCCACAACACATGACCGGCGTCGTTGGGTGTGGGTGTCTGTTTTGAGGCTGACCGACCCTCCATGTGCGTGTGGTTGTGTCTCCGTTCCAGCTGTAGAACAGCCTGTCTTCGGCCTGTGTGAGTCTCAGCTGGGGTGGGGTCTTTGGCCGCGCACCCTCCCAGTGGAACCGATACGATCGGTAAGCCTGCAGCTGCACAAGAGGCCCACACACACACACACACACACACACAACACACACAGAGGGGCATGGGCGTTGCACAACAACAACACAAGTACACACCTGGAATCTCTTGTTGACGAAACTCATCTCGAGGACCTTCTGCCCTCCACGTGTGACCTCCGTGTAGAAAGGGGCGTCATCAGGGAACGACTCAAAGAATCCCCCCTAGAATAAGAAAAATGCAAAAGTGACGGCCCTCTTGTGCGGTGTATGTCAGGTATATATGTTACCTCACCCATGATACGACCTTGTTGCCGTTCGCCAGCGTCTGAGCACAGACACCATTGAACAGCACGTGATTGCCCGTCTTCTTTGCAGCCAGCCATTTTCTCCGCTCACCTGGACGTTGCCCGTGGCGGCGCCGAATGTGCGCTGGTCATTCCTGTACTCCCACACCCTGGTGGCCACCATCCTCGCCTCGTCGATGCGATACTCGACCGCCCGACTCAACTCAGGACGGTGAAAATTGCCGTTGTCAAATAGAGTCAGTGTGTGTGGGCTGGGCATCCGTGCGTCGTGCTGGTAGGTAAAGCCGTGGTCATTGGCGAAGGTGAAGTGGCTTGAGCGGCCGCCCAGCAGCCAGCGGACTTTGCCATTCCTGCGGTTGATCTTCACCACCTGATGGGAGGGCACACAGAGAAAGACAGGGGGTACGGCCGACCTGTGCTGTGCTGTATGACATAGTCTCTGTACCTGCGACGTGTGCCGCAGTGAAATGACGATGTCCTGAGCGACGGAAAAACATAGCAACAGAGAGTGGGTTTGTTGGTGTGTGGTGCGGTTGTGCTCACGCCGTCGGGTGCCCACGAGCATGCGTTGGGATGGAGGTGGTCCCAGAAGTCGTTGGGCGTCCGCATCCCACGGGTGTCGTCAAACTGATTCGGCCTGACACGCCACACACCGCACGAGATGAACAGGCAGCTGAGCTGTGTGTGCCTTTTCCTTGCTCACAGGTGGTCCCATGAAGACCACTGGAATACGACCCGCCCTTGAGAGTCGTGCTCCTGCACAATCATCCCTATGACCCCGTGGCGAAGAGCGTGCCCCATGACCAACACGCGGCCGTCGTCGCGGATCTGCACATCGTGATCATTCGTACGGAATCTGCATGACACGACAGGATATGACAAGGCATAAGGTCCGTGTGCGTGTGTGCACGTACTGCAGTGTCCAATCCACCACTCACCCTCTTGCTTTGATGACACGCAGTTCGGTGTAGGTCTTGTCCAGCACCACAAAGCCCTCCCTCTGCGGTGAGTGGAAGCTCAACAGACCAGCAGGATGCGCCTTCAGGTCTCTCGTGCTCCAGCCCCGCCAGCCGTGGTTAGCCGGCAGCCTCTTGACCCACACCGGCTGGCCACTGTCGTCGATTATCATCAGCGAGCTCCTGATCGTGTTGGAGGGATCCGCAATGGTCTCGGTGAAGATGTAGCCCCTGCTGGTGCTGTTGGCCATCCTGGGCACTCTGACCATGATCTCCGGGACGGTGCCGACAGTCTTGAAGATGCCCCGTGTGCCGTGTGGTTCCGACCGCCCATCGTCGGGATGGGCGGGGGCGGGGGCTGGCGGGGCGTAGACGTCCTTGTCCTCGCGAGCGCCATACGGGATGAAAGGGAAGCGCTCAGTCAGCTCGGCCGGCATCTCCTCGGCGATCTTGAATGACCACTGGTAGCCCTCAATGTAGATGTCGTTGCTTCTGTGCCCCTGCCGTGACGATTGGAAGGGGTCAACCGTCACCGTCACAGCCTCGCCAAGTGCGAACGGCCGGCGGCTCTCGAATACGATGGTCTTCTTGTCATCGCCGAGATCGAGCGTCCCTCCATGGCCGCCCGTTTTGCTGCCCCTCACCCGCACATTGCCCTTCACTGCCTCGGCAGCCAATGGCCTGTCGAAAGAGATGGCGATGGTCGTGTTGGGTGAGATGTCCTCCGTGTCGGGCAGCGGGTGGATGTAGACGACGCCCGACTCTGCCGCGCGCGAGAAGACCCGATCGTCGACAGGGAGGAAGTTGGTGAGGCGCTTGAGGCCCTGGACGCTGAGAGCGGTGGTGTTGCCGGGGATGATGTCATTCAGAGAGGGCTGAGGCGCTTCTATCCGTTGTTGACTCCTCGCCAGCTGCAAGACAGCAGCAAAGATAAGCCCGACAGCGCCAGACCTCATCCCGGGCAGCCTAAACAACAAGACGCCATCCAACTGTAACGCCTGGGGGCTGGGGGCCAAAGACTGCATGCCAGTGAGCAACTTTTGACTCGACGCAAGGACGGAAGCAGTCGAGATGGCTCCCAAGAAGAAGGGCGGTGGGAAGAAGAAGGAGGCGGTGGACCCCATGCAGGCCGCACAAGAGGCCGAGGGGGAAAAGATGAAGCAGGAACTCCTCATCGAGGTGGCATGGCCCATGATTGGAACACCGCGCACGGAGACGCAGACTACTGGCGACACGCACCGGGAAGGGCCTCTCATCCTGTGTGTGTATGTGTGCCCGTTCTGCAGGCGAGTCTGTTGAAGGCTCAGTGTGAGAGTGAGGAGCGGCTCATGAACGAGCTCATGAACGAGCGGGAAAAGATCAACTACTTCTGGATCGTCGAAAAGAAGGGACTCATGGTACCACATACACAGCCATCTCGCTCACCACACGTGTGTGTCTGTGTGCGTGTGTGCGTTTGTCACTGCAGAGGAGCCAGGCAGAGCTGCGTGCCAAGGCACGTGAGCTGCAAGACCTCGAGGAGCGACAGGGCATCGAACTCAAGGCACGCACACACACACACACACACACACACACACACATGCATAGTCCCGCTCCCAATTCCGTCCACTTGTGTGTGTCTGTGTGCAGTTGTTCAAGCAGCGTGTGAAGCACCTGCGGTATCTGCAGCAGGACGAGAGCGTCAACCTCCGCATCGACGGAGAACTGGCGCAGAAACTCGCGGAGGATGAACACAGAGAGGCCGCCAGGCAGCTGCACACTGACAAGAGAGCACTCAAAGGTATTCTGGTGTACTCAATCCGACAGAGAGGCCAACGGAATCTCTTTCCCTTTCTCTGTGTGCGATACGGTCAGTTCAGTTGAAGGAGGAGGAGGTCAGTCAGGAGGAGTTTCTGCGGCTGCTCAAGCTGCGGCAGGACAAGCAGGTCCTGGGACTCAGGCAGGACTTCGAGCGGAAAGCCAAAGACCTCCAGCAGAAGTTCCAACTCAGAATGAAAACCGTACGCCCAAACGGGGAGAAAACAAGAAGGGGAAAGAGCGCAGGCTGACCTCTCTGTCTGTCTGTGTGGCCATTGGCCATCGATTCCTTTGTCAGTTGCGTGAGGAGATGGAGAAGCAGCGCAAAAAAGACATTTCCCGCATTGAGGAGAAGAAGAACCAACACATCGCGTAAGCAGCCAGCGGCCGATGCACAAATGTGCGTCTCCTTGAATGTCTCCCTGTCCGTCATTTCTTGCCTGCAGTCGAGTCCAGCAGCAGAATTTGGCCAGTCTGCAGGGCATCAAGCACTACTACACCGACATCACCTCGTCCAACATCGACCTCATCAAAAGACTGAAGGTCAGCAGCAAACAAGGAGAGTGCTACAACAAGTCATGTCGGTCCATTTGCCCCGGCGCTTCGTGTTCAGGAGGATCACGAGGAGCTGAAACGGGGCGAGTCCAAGGACGCCAAACTCATGGCGGACCTCACCGCCAAGAACAGAGCACTCTCAGGTACGTTTGTATGTCTGTCAGGGAGACATTGCCACCTCCCATGCATGTGTGTTGCTCTTGTTGGCACCCCCAGAGCCTCTGCGTAAGGCCCACCAGGATGTGGAGAGGTTACAGGAGGAGCTGGCACTCTACGAGATTGACAAGAAGAAACTCCACAACGTCAAGGTACCAACGACATCGAGATGACCGCGTAGGCATTTCCACCCCTCGTGATGGTGTCTCTTGTCTGCTCTTTGTGCGCAGGACACGTTGGGCGACAAGGAGGAGCAGATAGCGGGCATCAAAATGCAGCACGAAATACTCGAACAGCAAATGAAGAAAGTACAGGCGGTCAGCGCAACACATACACCACACACAGACGGTCCATCTGCCGGGAGACAGATGGCTTCTGTCGTGGCGTGACAGGAGAGGGACGAGCTCTATCAGAAGTTCCAGAATGTCATATATGACGTGCAGCAGAAGAGCGGCCTACAGGTCATCACAAAGAGCTTGCTTGTGTCTCCCCCCCTCCCTCCCTCTCTGCATCGGTCGTCATGTCTCCCTCTCTCCCCTTCCTGTCAGAATTTGTTGCTGGAGCGCAAGTTGGAGGCGTTGGAGGAGGCCATGGAGATCGCCGATGCCCAGATCAGTGAGCTGCTCGTGTCGGCCAACATCGACAAGGCCACGGTGGGCGGCATCAGCGAGAAGCTTGACAGGGTCATTCAGTACAAGAACGACTCCATCGAAGAACTACAACATGAGATACAGAAGCTCAAGGTGCGCTACCTATGGATCGTCCATTCATCCACGAGCACTGTCTGCTTCTGTGTGTGTCTGTGTGTGTGTGTGTCATGTCTGCAGGATTGTCACCGTGCGATGGTTAAGGCGTATGAGGCCCGTCTGGCAGAGTTTGGGATCGACAGGCAGAACCTGGGCTTCGTGCCGCAAGTGTCCTCACACTGACGGACGGACTCATGTGTGGTTGCTGGTCTGGGGCGTTTGCTATGAGTGGCGGGTGTGTGTGGGTATTTGTCGAGAGCTGTCCTGTTGACGGTAATGTGTGTCGTGTGTTGGTGCTGGACAGCTGATGCTCTGCACACACATACATTGCAATGCACGTCGGTCAAATTGCACGTGAGAGACATGCACACGAAAGAGTCGACCATTACATGCCCCGTCGTCCGCCCTCCCCCTCCTGTCGAGCTAGCTGTATTCCCCCAACACCTGCCCCTCCTCCTCTAGTCTCTCTTGTTTGACCTCATGAGCGCCTGAGAGCTTCAGCATCAAGGTCACGGTGCTCAGCTCCTGGATGTTGTAATCGGCCATCGTGCCTCCGTCTTCCAGATGCTTGCCGCCGTAGATGAAGCGCTGCTCCCGCTCATCGGTGCTCAGTCTGTCCTTGATCATTGTCTTGAACTCCCGCACCGTCGTGCAGGCCTCAACCTCGAAGGTGTGTGTCCCGCCCCCGCCGTTGCACAGGTCCCTTACAAACATCTGAAAGGTGCGCCTGTCCAAACATAACACAACACAACACACAGCAGGGTGGGTTCAACAGCGTCCGCCGCTGAAGTCCGCTGACCCACCCTGTCTTCTCCGTGCTGTAGGTCTTGAGGGCCTGCTCGAATGCCGCCCTCTCGCTCGCCTCGACCACCGGCCGATGCACCGTAATCCAGCTGGGCATCGTGACGGTGCGACGGGCGTAGTCTACATGAGCACCAACACAGACAGACAGTTCGGTGCGTCAACTGAGTGTGTGTGCCATGTGTGGACAGGCGGATGTGGGTGCCCTCACCGACTATCTTGGAGAAGTGTGCAGCTGATATTTGCAGGACGGTACTGCCCAAAGGATGCTGCCTACAAGGAACACACAAGTGTAAGTGGGTGTTGGTCACACGGCTTCCCGTGTGCGTGTGCGTGTGCGTGTGTTTGCTCACGGTGAGAAGCGCTGGGCCAGGTTGCTGGGACCGAGAAGGGCATGTGTGCGCTGCATGATGCTGACCCGCTGCACGGCTGAGCTGCCGGGCCAGCTCGTCGGGCAGCCATCCCATGTAGTCGGGTGAGGCCTCGAGGTAGGGCCTGTTGTCCTGGTCAGCAGTGGGCAGCCGGGAGCCGAACTGCAGCAGGAGGGTGGAGATGTAGGTGGTGCGCATGAAGGGGTGGAGCAGGGCCCGAGGGGAGATGGCGATGACCTGCCCGCCGACGTTGAGCTGGATGGCAGGGGCGTCCGCATCGACTTCATCGCTGAGCTTGCCGCCATTCTGCAGAATGGTGGGCCAGCTGCTCGACCTTCCTCGATGAGGCCTCCTTCAGTGACTGCAGATGCTGCAGGCATCCCAGTAGCGATGATGTGTCGCGTGCCTCCATTGCAACGTGCTGATCCGCAGACGCCAGGCCGGTCCTCACGCCCTCGAGAATCGATGTGAGAGGCTCATCAGATGCGCCGCCGCCGCGCTTGCGCTTCTTGGACGACGCGCCGGCTGCTGCAGCAGCCGCCATCTGCTGCAGGCCGGTATTGCGGGCTCAAACATCACCTCCACACAGCCGTGGCTACAAGGCAAGGGCACGAAACCACGAAAAGGCTGCGAAATTCCCCTCCAATTGCGATCGACAAAGCTCGCAAGAACGAGGAGGAGAAAAAGAAGGGAGAGGGCAGCAAAGCAGGGGCAAGTGCTGCTGCTGCTGAGAGCCTGCCTTGATCTGCTGGCAACACTGCTGGTTGCAGGACGACATTTCTGCTTCATTACTCGTGCTGTGCTGTGCGCCGGGACAGAGGCCCCGGAGGCCTGCTGCTGGCTATTTCTGTCCTTGCTTATCCCCGGACTGCCTCTTTTCTTCTCTCTGACTGCCTGCCTGCCTTGTCTGTATCGTGTGCTGTGAGTTGGCTGTCTGCCTGTCTGTCTGTCTGTCTGTGTGTGTGTTTGTGTGTGTGGCTGTGCAATTAGCGCTCCTGCGTGTGATGTGTATGTGTGTGCTGCGTGTCGTGTGTGAGTAAGGCGAGACAGCCATCGGCTGACTGTCTGTCTGGGTGTGTCCTCGTGCGCGAGGTTTTGCACACCACCTGTCTGTAGAGCAGAGCAGTGTCTGTCAGTCAGTCAGTCAGATAGCGACAGCAGAGAGAGCCTGTCTGTGCAGTGTCTTTTTCCCGTATCGCACCGAGACCGTCTTTATCTGTTTGCGTGTTGAGGCTGTCTCACATCTACCAAAACGATGGTACGTCACCACACGCTGGAACGACATCTGTCTGCTGACTGATTGTGATTGTGTGATTGTGCGTGTGATTGTGTGCTTGTGTGTGTGGTTCTTTCAGGGTCGGCGTCAGTCGTCGGCTACGGCCTTCTTCAAGTACCTGAACCACAGACGACCGGAGCTCAAACAGATCTACCCCGGTGAGTGAGTGAGTGAGGGGAGGCGGCCATCAATCAACAGGCATTGAAAGATGCGGTTTGTGTTCTGTGTGTGTTTCTGTGTTGTATTGGTGCAGGTGCCGACTCGAAGCAGATGGCCTGCATCGCTGGCGACGAGTGGCAACAACTCGATCAACACACCAAAGAGGTGACTGACACACAGACCATTGCCCACCCACACATACATACAGACATGGTGCGCACTCCCTTTGTCTGGTATCGTTCCCTTTTCGCCGTCAGTTGTGGAAGGAGGCTGCCCGACTCGACGCCGACGCGGCCACCAGCACAACACCCTCCCCCCGCCCCACCTCACCCATCCGCACACGCAGCGGCGCCACACGCAACCACCACTATGAGTCCTCCGTCAACTCCCCAGAGCCCAGGCTACCACGCAGAGGGCGAGGCAGACCCAGGAAACGCCATCCTCATCCTCCTGCTTCTGCTGCTCCTGATGCCGAGTACGACCAGGATTGGTACCAGACCGGCTCACACGACGACGAGCTGCTCCAGGTCGACGCCACTGGTGGTGGTGGTGGTTGTGGTGGTGTGGGGTCGTATTGGTGTGGCGGCGTGGACCACCCCATGTGTGAGGGTCTGGAGTGCGCGCAGGATGACGACGACGACGAGCGGTGGATGGGGATGGAGGGGCTGGAGGCAGCGGCGTGTGACGAGGAGGAAGCACCAGCGATGAACGACCCACCGATGCGGGAGTGTGACCACCACGCCGGTGTGAAGAGACTTCGAAGGTCAGTCAGAGGCCTTACACGCACACCATCCATCCATCCATCCGTCCATCCATCTGCGTGCATGTGTGTGTTCAGGGGTGACACCAAGAGAGAGGTCAGGAACCGCAGCACCAGGTACAAGCGGCGCAGGACTGACCGTCAGGCGGGAGGCCCCTTACGCCCTAAGATGCCCCTCTCGCCCTTCCTCTTCTTCCAAGCCGCTGAGAGACCTGCCATGGAGGAACTGCACCCTGGTGGGTCACAACACCACACACACCGAAGATGAGGTGTGCACCGACCGATGCTCGTCTGTGTGTCTGTGTGTGTAGAGTTGTCGTACAAGCAGATTTTGGTGGCGCTGGGCGAGCGATGGCGGCGCATGACCAAGGAGGAAAAAAGGGTGAGACCATGCCCCATCACACACTCGCCCCACACACACCACTGCACACAACCATCCATGTGTCCATCTGCGACTGAATGGATCTTCGTCGGTCTGTCTCATGACTGCCTGCCTGTCTGTCTGCAGATCTATGACGAGGCCGCTGCGCAGGACCGTGTGCGTTACTACGAGGAGTGCCGACAGCTGCAGGAGGAGCAGAAGGCTCTCGAGGAAGCATCACCCAAAGACGCGCCGTGGGTGGGGGGAACCACACTTGACGAACTCGGTGAGACGCCCATGGGCATACATATCCGTCACGCGCAGACATGATGCGTGGCTATGTGTGTGCAGCTGGGCCTGTGAGTTCTTGCTCGGGCACGAGTCGGCCGTCGCCCATCGACACCACACGCTTTACAGGTACACACGAAGCCTTAGCTGACACGACGCAACACGAGAAATCCCTCCCCTGTGCTGTGTTGTGTCATCCTGTGTCGCAACCGATAGGCGGCATCCACCATGTGGATTACTCGTCCAACTCGCCCCTCTCCATCACGGCCGGACTCACACCCACATCCACTCACAACACACTCTCCCCGCCGTCGTCCCCCCACACCGCCGCCACAACCACCGCCGCCGGCCACACCACTCGGTTCGACGAGCGTCTCAAGTCATCGATCGTCATGTACCACCAGCTGTGGCAGCTGTACCTGCACGCCAAGCAGCTGCGGGCCGAGCGGCAGCAGCGGGAGCAAAACGAGAGGGACGCTGAGCGGTTTGTGGGCAAGGTCATGGCCATCGACACAGCTGCAGCACATGGGGAGGGGGGGGAGACGGAGAGGGAGAGGGAGAAGACTGCTGCCGCTGGTGCTGCTACTGGGCCAGCCAAGCCGCCTGAATCATGGTACAAAAGTGCATGTGTAGATCGTCTCAATGTGTACACCCGTAAAAGTGTGTGTGTGTATGTGTGTGTGTTTTGCTGCAGGGTTGAGATTGCGGCATCTGGTGTGTTCCGTGCCGTGACCTGAAGACAGACACAGCAGAGGGAAGGGAGGTTTTCGAAAACCTCGGCCGGCCGGAGAGGCCGTGATGGATCCTCGCTTCCCTCTCCTGTTGCCGATCAGTTTTTCGTCTGGGCTCCATACGCAGATGCATGCACGTGCGCTGTTCTAATTCGCCGTGACTGGATGACATTGCGTGATGGGTGGGGCAAGAGGGACTGGAGGGATGTGCTCGATTGAGCAGGCACGCTTTCGGACTGGAAATGGGAGACAGGCGTGACGACTGCTGTTGGGGGCGGGTTGATTAAGTTGATCGAATTCAGCTCTCTCTAACAAGTACGTGCACGTACGTATGCCTGCATGTGAATGTGGCGCGTTGTTTTTTCGGGGTTTCCGCGTGTTTAGTTCTAGGCACCAGCACATACCAAAGCAAACACATGGCTGGCAAGGCAAGCGCACAGCCGAATGTGTCCCACTCTGGCTCTCTGTGTGTGTGGTCTGTATGTTGTCGTGGATGTACTCCATGTTTGTCCAGCCGTGAGATGCGACGCAGCATCGAGTGCATCGACGAGGACGCACAAACCACACAACACCAGGAGCGAGCAGCACTACACACACACAAAGCACTGTACGGTCGGGTTATGTGTGTGTGTGTTTGTGTTCGCCTCGACGTGAGAACGGATATGGCAATTCAATTGCGTGTGCGTGTGCGTGTTGGGGGATTTATTCTTACCATGCATTTCGTTTGCTTTTATGTGTTCGTGTTCGTGTGTGTGTGTGATGTGTATATACCGATGTGTGTGTGTTTCTGTGTGTTATGTATTTATCTAACCGTTGTGTGCCTATCCATCTGTATGTGTATGTATGTATGTATTTAACCTGTGTACGTACCATCCAACACCCTCACAGACGAACGTCTTTTTGCTACCACTACCCTCGCGTGGCCACCCTGACCGCTTTTTGCCACACACATGCCTTGTCTAACTTGCGTAACAATACATACACACATGCAGACGCGCTGGTTCTGTTACCCATCTGGTTTTGCCACTCATGCCTTCCCTCCCTGCTCACATGGTCAACATCACGAATGTCTTACAGGGAAGGGCGGTGCAGTTAAGCAAGAGACACGCATGAGACAGACAGACAACCAAACAACATGCACTCTCTGGCGGCACGGCTCATCGGTTCGATCATTGTGAGTTTTTCGGTGTTGAGATGGATGGACAACGAGATGAGTTTCGGTGGCTGACAAGTATAGCACACACCAACAGAAGTGGTGATTGACTAATGTGGGCGCTGCTACTCGGTCCACAAGTAGCTGTGTACTGCTACTTTTAGGGTCAGAAATGAGCGTCTGTAATGAGAAGTGTTTTCGCGGTTGCGTGTTAACCGGTCGCATCACCATGCAGTGACATTCCTCCATCGCATCGAGTGGAATTCATCCACACAGACGCATGCCGGGTGATATGGTGGGGTGTGTGTATGTAATAGTATGTAACAAGGACCGTCTCAGTCACTTGAGATACGAAAAGCGAGTGAGCACCCACACGTCATTGCTCGGCCATGCTTGGCCCGGCCCTTCGGGCCTCGCCTTCGGAATCGGACCGTTCTTGAAAAATATATAAAACACATATATATATATATATATATATGCACAAAATGTACATCGCTTAGATGCCCCTCATTTTGTCCTCTACGAGGCTTTTTCAAGCTTGAAGAAGGCCGAGGACACCTCCGCCCCATCAGCCCGGTCCGCATGATGTGGGACTTGCAGTGAAGCACGATGTGGAGCACACCAGCTGTACCTGCAACCGCTGTTTCCGTGGGCAGCAGACGCCGCAGGGGTAGGAGAAGGTTCAGGCGGTGGAGGCTGCAGCAGTGCCTTGCTTCCAGCGACTCTGAGCTGTCCAGAGACGGATGGAAAACGTCTACGGTGAGGTAAAATGTAAGGAGGTGAGACGGGCAAAACGATGGGCACTCGGGGTCACATGTGCACATGCATGGTGAAGCTCAGGCATGCCCTGGCCACTCCGAGTACGTCTTCAAGCCAGTCTGCGTGCTGCATGCGAGACGGCGGATGGGGGCCAGGACCTTGTGGGCGGGGCACCCCCCACACACACCCCCACGCCACACACACCAGACTCACACACACACAAACAAACACACGAGCACAACCAGTTTTTCAGCCGCCAGCCCTGCGGAATAGAAATAGCGGCCGGGCGCTTTTCCCCCGCGCTTCTAAAATACGGGGAATGTGAAACCCAGGGAGTAGCCAAGGGAAACCTTGGTAAGCCGGACTCCCGCCCTGGGAATGAATGCCTTGTGTGTTCATGAGGACGCCCAAATGAATGAATGAATGAGTCACTTGAGATACGAAAAGCGAGTGAGCACCCGCACGTGGACCAAAATGTGTCTGTGTCTGTGGATAGCGCTCGTGATCTGCCGTGCTTGGCCAGTGGTCGAGAACCCTGGGGGCATTGGGGGCCGAACGGACAGCGGGGCTGCCAGTGACGAGTGCGTAACTTCGCTCCTCATGGCTTCCCCCGTCCCTCGCCTGTTGATCAGGGCGAGGGACCTGACTGTGGGTGACAAGAAGCTTGGTGCGCTCACGACCAACTGCTGGCCCGATGTCATCGATTGGGTGACCTCTGTGTACATCTGCATGTGTGTCTGTGTCAGGGGGCGGAGCATTCGGTATAGTGTACCAGGGCAAGTGGAATGGTCTGGACGTGGCTGTAAAGATCACAAAGATGGAGAAATTGAGGGAGGCCTCCCCACTTACCGGGGAGGAGCTTACCGACAGCGTGAGCATCGCAGGGCGTGTCAAATCATGTGGCACACAGGCATCATGTGATGCAGGAGCTGATGGCTGGGGCGATGGAGGATGTTCTATCCGAGGCTCAGGAGATGCTTTGCCTCCGACACCCCAACGTAGTGCAGTTTCTCGGTGTCTGCACGGACGCCAAGCACGGCCTCATGATCGTCTCAGGTCACCTCGATTCATTCATCTGTTTCCTGACTGTGTGTCGCGTGTCCATAATTCTCAGAGTTGTGTAAGGGCGGATCGCTGGACAAATATTTGGCCAAGAACAGACCACTGCCGCTCGACGTGCGAGACAGATTCGTGAGAAAGGTACAGCACAGCAGACAGCGTCACATCTAGATTTGTGTGTCGATTGCCGTCAGATATGTGAGGGGGTGCAGTATCTGCACGACCACGACATCGTGCATCGAGCCTTGAAGCCGGGCAATATTCTCGTAAGGGCAGACAACCTTCACCTCTCGGTCGATGGCTGCAGCATCTTGTCGTGTCTCGTGTCTATCAGTTGGGCGAGCATTTGGTGATCAAGATAAGTGACTTCGGCATGACGCGGAATGTTCAAGTGACGTCGAGCTCTTTTGCAGGTAGCAAGAGACATGGGATGGCGGAATGCGGTGAGCGAGGTGCGTCTGTGTGTGTTGGTGCATCCGTCCCTGGACTGCAGGCGGCATTAAGGGAACCCCCAATTACATGTCGCCTGAATCATTGGATCCAGACAACTGTGAGTGTAAGAAAAGCCGGTCGCCTTGGGAACTTGAATGACTGCCGGTGTGTGCAGTGGGGAAGCCCTCTATGGAGGCGGACATATGGGCGGTTGGATGCATTATCGCGCAGCTGTTTGGCGGTCAGCAGATGCACTTTCAGTCAGAGACAGTAGCCTTCACTTGTAATGTCCAAGCGGGCCCCCCTTTGAGGGCCAAGCACCTCTCATCATCATCACCGCCGCTGTCGTTCGAAAGCAGGTGACCTGCCACGTTGACACATGTTCACAGATCCTCTGAAGTTCTCTGCTTACTTTTGTCAGACCCCCCGCATCCCCGATTTCCTGCCTGAGCACATCAAAAGTGCCATCAAGGTAAACCGAGAGCTCTTCTCGTGTGCTGCATTTCCCTTCCGATTGTGACGGTGATCAGAGTTGTTTTGCCTTCAAGCCGGAAGATCGCCCCACAGCCAAAGAGGTACCTGACACGCACCACTGGACAAACGCGTCGGCATGTCGTGTCTGCTTGCCTGACTGTGGTAGTTGTTGGCCAAGCTGGGCATTCCAGCGAGTCCGTCAAAGGGTGCAGGTCCACTGACGCTCCACTTTGACACGAGAAAGCCCCCATTTGACTGCTTGACTGTGTGCAGACCCGGTGTTGGTTCCCCCTTCCCCTGTGTCTCCCGTTGACGTGCCTTCCGCTGGCGCTCCACCGGGTGTTCACACGAGCATGGCCAGCACAGTGCCGGGGCCGCCGATTATGGTCCATCCAGCACAGGTCGAACTTGTGGTTGCTCAAGAGCAGACAGGTCGGTGTGGAAGGCACGAAGACAACACATGGAGAGACATACGACTGGTCATCCATGGTTTGTGTGTTGCAGCGCTCCCTGCCCAGCAGCCGTTAGTGAAGACACCGCCGAGCGCCCCACAGCCACAGATCAAACACGTAAGGGACACAGCAGCTGAACCCCACACGTCAAAGGGACGCTGTTCTTGTGCTGGATGTGTGGCAGGCTGACATCTTCGATGCCGTCAGAAAAGGCGATGAGCAGTCGGTTCATTTGCTCATCGAGCGAGACGGCAAGGATATACTCGACAAACGAGACGAGAGCGAAATTCTTTCCAAGGTATGCAAGTTTGAAGATGACAGGAATGCCCTCAGTGGTCTGTCTGTGTGTTCTCATTCCTACAGAAGACACCCTTCCTGTTGGCTGCAGCTGAGGGTCACGCGGGCGTCATGTTGGTCATGTATGAGAGCAAACCTGACGTACTGCAGCAAACAGACGAGGTACCAACCTAAGCATCTTGTGTGCTGGTTGTGAAGAGGAGATGTGCGTTGGGTGTGATGGAATGCAGCTTGGTTTGACTGCCCTGCACTTTGCTGGCCAAAAGGGCAATGTTGCGTCTGTCGAGCAGCTGCTGGTGTGGGATCCCAAACTGATCGGCGCACGCAGCGATGTAACAGAGCACACACATGTCTCTGACGCCTCACTGTGCTGATTGTGTGTGTGTGTGTGGTGATTGCAGTATGGCAGCACGCCATTCATGGAGGCTGCTAGGGAGGGACATGTCGATGTCATGTCGGTCATGTATGAGAGCAAACCTGACGTACTGAAGCAAACAGACAGATGGGTACCGACACAGACAAACCATCTTGTGTGCTGCTGTTTGTGATAGTGAGATGTGTGTTGGCTGTGATGGAATGCAGTGGGGTTCGAATGCCATGCACTTAGCTGCCCAGGAGGGCCAGGTCGCGGCTGTCAATAAGTTGATGGAGTGGGATCCGAAACTGATCGATGCACGCAACAAACTGGTAACAGAGCACACACATGTCTCTGACGCCTCTGTATGTGTGTTGCGTGTGCGTGTGTGTGTGTGTTGGTTGCAGCATGGCCGCACGCTATTTATATTGGCTGCTGGGTGTGGTCATGTCAATGTGATGGAGGCCCTGTATGCCAAACGAAAGGACCTGCTCACACAGACGAGCAAGGTGAGGCAACACAGTCTTCTCTCATCTGATTGATTGCCTTTCCTTTGTGTACATCACACACACAGGATGGAGAGACGGCACTCCATTGGGCTGCATCCGAAGGCGAATCTGCAGCTGTGTCCCAGCTGTGAAATACAGATGAATGACTGACGCGAACATCTCATCCACACACTCTCTGTCTCTATGTGTCTCCTTCTCAAAGGCTCGAGTGGGGCGGCGGTGCGCTGCTCGACATGGAAAACGAGGACGTGAGTGCCCACAGACATTCACATCTTCGAGGGTTTGAGTAGTGTGCTCATCTCATCTCATCTCATCACAACAGGGGGACACGCCGTGGCGAGTGGTGAAGAACCGGGAGATCAGAAAGATCATGCGGCCGTACAAGCCTGCTTCTGGGCCTTGCTGTGTGATCATGTGAGTCAAAGTCTGTCAGTCGCTCGGGTGTGCATCGAATAAGAAGCTATGAGGCACTGTGAGTGGGTGATCTGACAGTGAGACCTGACCGATCATGTGTCGTCGTGAATGACACGGCGAATGGCAGCCCTCGGGTTCTTTCTTGTGTCTTCGTGTGGACCACTGCGGGGGGCTGTGAGGTGTTGTGTGTTTGCCAATGAGACATCAAGACTTGATTGGAAATGTCCATCAACACGTGAGCATGCAGCCCTCAGTTTCTCTCTGCATTGATGCTGCCCTGATTGCTGGTCAGCTGCTCACGGAGGCTGCGATTCTCCTCTTGCAAAGCGCCGAAGGTCTGTATCAGTGACATAAGGAGACACACACCTCACGCCGATTAGCAGCCTTTGTCGTTGGCACACACACCTGTTGGTTGACAGTCTGTCTGGTCCTCTCCTTGTCGAGGCAGCTCTTGAGCCGCCGATTCTCCAACGCAGCCGCCTGCAACTCACGTTGAAGACGCAATATCGCATGACAAACGCACACACCACTGGGACCAAAATGGCTAAGGCTCTACTGTGTGTCACAATCCTCAGTCATGATCCTCAGACATGGGGGCCCGCCCGTGTGTGTAAACACGCATGAGTTGCCCTCCTCCGTCGGGGAGTCGGGACTCGCTCGCGTTCGCGCGTCACGAAATGCATGCAAAGCCCCCAAGCTCGCATGAGCATTCATCAAAAAAGACGGTACCGAATGAAAAAGTCTCGAGGCCCCAATTTGGCCCCAATTACGAACACGAACTTCGGGTATGAGTTGCCCTCCTCCGTCGGGGGGTCGGGACTCGGAGGCATGCAGCGGGTACAGCCCCCGAAGCAAACCTACGCAACCCTAGGCAAACCCAAGCAAACCTAAACAAACCGAAACCCTACAACAAAGCAAAGCAGAGCAAGGCCCAAGGTGAATGGCCATGATGGAGGGGAAAGATCAATGCAAAGCAAAGCAAAGCAGAGCAAGGCCCAAGGTGAAAGGCCATGAGGGAGGGGAAAGATCAATGCAAAGCAAAGCAAAGCAGAGCAGAGCAGGGCCCAAGGTGAATGGCCATGAGGGAGGGGAAAGATCAATGCAAAGCAAAGCAAAGCAAAGCCACAGGTGACGAGGGGGAGGAGACAAGCAAAGCAAAGCAAAGCCAAAGCCAAAGCCAGATGGATGGATGGATGGATGGATGGACAGACACACAGACAGACAGACAGGCAAGACGCTCATACACCACAATGATGGATGGATGGATGGATGGACAGACACACAGACACACAGACAGACAGACAGACAGACAGACAGGCAAGACGCTCATACACGAAAGCATGGCCGCACACAATCATGGATGGATGGACATCCGGGAAGACATGCGGGTTGGGCGAATGATAGGACCGATGTCTTGCTTTGCTTTGCTTTGCTTGTCTCCTCCCCCTCGTCACCTTTGGCTTTGGCTTTGCTTTGCTTTGCATTGATCTTTCCCCTCCCTCATGGCCATTCACCTTGGGCCCTGCTCTGCTCTGCTTTGCTTTGCATTGATCTTCCCCTGCCTCGTGGCCTTTCGCCTTGGGCCCTGCTCTGCTCTGCTCTGCTTTGCTTTGCTTTCCGTGTCTCCTCTCCCTCGTCACCTTTGGCTATGGCTTTGCTTTGCTTTGCTTTGCGTGTCTCCTCTCCCTCGTCACCTTCAGCTTTGGCTTTGGCTTTGGCTTTGGCTTTGGCTTGCTTTGCTTGGGGCCGTGGGGTGTTTGGGGGGCTCGCTGTTCCAGCTTCCGAGTGTCTATTCAGCGAGCGGGTCTTAGTGGAGAATGGATGTGTGAAGTGACGAGGCGGATTGGCTTGGTGGCAAAGATCTTCGCTGTGGTTGAGTGAGAGTGACCGATGATAAAGATATCAGTCGCTGTGAGCGTCCGTACACAGACACTGATAATGGAAAGGACTGTCCGATGCTCAAACAAGCACGAAAGGGGGAAACGAAGCAACACACAGAGGTCAACCAGTCGGAATAAGGAAGGCGCCGACGCAAGAAAAAGACAGAGAGACCGTTGCCGCTGTGCTGTCTTCAACGGTCTCTCCTCCCCTGTCTACTCCATCCTGTCTCCCCCAAGTTTACAAGACGCGGCTAAGCTCGCAGTAGAGGCCGCGCGTCTCATTCATATGCATGAGCATACACACGTACACTTACACATGCACATACAGACCCAGAGGAGCGAAAGCAGACAGTACACCCCACAAAGTAACCAGAAAATGCTCGTGCGCTGATGGAGTGACGAATCACTGACGATGAGGGACCTTCCCTCCCTTCATCAGCGCAGCGATATACACCACAACATGCACGCAAGACACCACTTTCCTCATGACAGACTCATCATTGATGTGTCATTTCTTGCACCCTGCAACATTTCCCTCCCTTCGAGTGCTGAGCTCCGAGCAGCACCCGTTCTATCTACACAGGATGACACATCAATGCCTCGCTGATGAAAATACACAGTAAGCACATTACAATACACTACAATACAAGGAGAAAACCCACAGTCAGTAGCAAAAACTCCTTGTCTGCCTCGCCTTCGGTACGGCCCAACCCATCAATGACCGTCCCTCAGTGTTCTGGTGGTTGGAGATGAGAACCGGCTGCTGAGCAGCACCCTTTCTAGGCATGGGAGTCCTCGTCTCTGGCGAAAGCAGCCATAATCCTATCCGCATGTAAACTACATGCGCATGCAGCGTGGGCAGGCCCCCAGAAGAAAACAGCACTTTCAGCAAAGACTGTACACATCAATGCTTGAGCAAAGAACGCGAGTGCAGCGGCGGCCTGTCATTCAGCCTTCCGCTCCCTGTTCGTCCTCGTACTCATCCCTTTCTCGCTCCCATTTGTAAAAACGAAGGAAGTCGGCCAGCGATATGGCACTCTTCATCCCCACGATGCTCTCCTTCTTTGACCGCTTTGTGCGCGTCGGCTCCTTCAGGTAATGCAGCTGGATGCCATCCTTGTCAAGCTTAGTCACCTTCACGGTGTATTCGCGGTTGAGCTCCTTGCAGTGCCTCACGCGCACAATGGCGTACAACGGCGGGAATGGCGCATCATCGAAACGCAGGTCAGAGCCCACGTCACGGTTCTCGTAGTCCTGCACAAGTTGTTTGCAGAGCACGTCGCTCTCGTCCTCCCATGACGCGCTCGAGAGTGGATGCCAGCGCCATTTGCATTTGTATTGGACACGCCCCTTGTGGATCCTCTTCCCAACGATGGCTTCCACTTCGTGCTCAACGCCCTTCTCAAATCGTGCATCCGGCTCGACGTCATTGAGATGCGGATCATTCACCATCGGGTCCAACGCAGCTCCAAGTGATGATTCTCTGTTCTGTGTCGGCATGTGGTCTTCTCCAAGAGCGAAGCCTTTCAAGGTATCCTCTTGTTCAGGCGACAAGAATGCGTCCTGATTGAATACCGTCTGTCTCCTGTCCCTCGTCAGGTGGCTTTCTGGCACCTCAAAGGCTCCATCGTGGATGCATTCGCCCAACGGCGGTGTGGATGCCTTCAGTCGATCAACATTGATGGTTTTCGCCGTCTGGTCGCCGCACACACGGACCTTGTATGTGACGGGTCCCGTCTTCTTCTCGACGATGCCGACTGTCCGCCAAGGTGAGATGGCTTTCTTACTGAGGCCCCTGGGCACCTGGTTGTTGAAAATGCGCACCCTGTCTCCTGGCTTGAATTCTCTCGCTGCAGGAAGATCCCTCTCACGAGCAGCTCCTCGCTGTTTGGCTCTATCCATGTTCACGCGGGCCTTCTCATGAATGGCTTGGATGCCCTCGACTATCAGCTTGGTGGCATCTTGCAGGTCAATGTCCTTCCCTGCCGACTCGTTAAGGGCAACGAGCCGCACAGTGCTGCCGGGATGGACTGCCTCTCGCCCTGTCAGCATTTTGAAAGGCGTGAATCCGGTGGATTGGTGCTCCGTTGTGCGGTACGCATAGAGGAAGACCTGGATGGCCCTGTCCCAGTTCGTCTGCTTCTTGTCCAAGTACGGACGAATGCCATCCTTCAGAGAGCGATTGAAACGCTCAATCATCCCATTGCCTTGTGGATGCAGCGGTGGAGCCCGAGTATGTTTGATCCGCAGCCTGGTCGTCACCTCATGCATCAATTGGTTGACGAAGTGGCTCCCATTGTCGGTGATGATCTCTTCTGGAACTCCGTGTCTCGCGATGACCCTGATGATTGCCTTAACCGTGTCTTCACCTGTCGGTGCACTGCGGAAAAGCTCAACCTCTGGCCATTTCGTGAAGTCATCCTGGATGGTAAGCGCCCACTGATTGCCATCTTCTGAAGGTCGAAACGGACCGATGAAGTCCATTGCGACCCTCTGGAATGGTCTCTCAGCTCCGCCA